TTAGGAAGCTCTATGAATGTACAGACTCTAGAGGAAAAGCTCCTCATAGGGCATAGAGTTAATACACTGACTCTAGAGGAAAAGCTGGGCCAGAAAAGCTATAACCACAAAAGCGCTGACATCTTGGAACGTTGTCATTGTTTCCATCACAGTACCTAGAATAAGCGCTGAATGTAAACCTCTAAAATACTCAAATTTTTGCAGTATAAATCATAAACAAGCGTGTTCACGTATTATAAACAAACACAATATGTACAAAGTTTATTAAACTTACTTTTAGGACAAATACAATGGCAATTTATTCAATTTACTGAGCGCGAAGAGAAGCGTTTGCAGGTTTTTTTAGTAGATGGCGACACCATTCTTGTAACCTTGAGAGCGTCGTCTTGCTTGCGCTCCGGGTCAGTCGGCGTCCGTGTTTTCGGTTGCCAGGAGCCAAAAGCTCGACCTAATTAATGTGTCAGTCTTTTACTGCGATGTAACAGAGATCCACGAAACAGAGACAATGCCGGGCGTAATTGCAGCATGCGGTGGTGACTGCGAGTGGACGTCACACGAAGGCTGAGTATCCTTTCATCATGGCGGCACCCACGTGGTTATGGGTTTTAATGCATGTGCTCTATGGGGAGCTTTTCATCTAGAGACTATATATTTACTCTATGCCATCGGGCCCATTCGCCTTGATGGAACGATACTCAGCTTTCGGGTGACGTTCATTCGCAGACACCACTTGCATGCTGCAATGAAACTTGGTATTTTTTCTGTTTCGTGGATCTCTGTTAAATCGCAGTATGAGACTGTAACATGAAGTCGACTTCTTGGTTCGTGACAGCAAAAAACTCACTCGGCGCGCAAGCAAGTTGGTGCGATCGGCCTCACGCCAAATCGCCCCGTCCACGGAGGAAGGAAACCTTTCCTTCCTTCGTAACCATGCTAAAGTGTTCTAGAACTCTATAACCATGCTTATGCTCTCAACTTTATAAAGGTGGTGACGTCATCTACTGAACAAACCTGTAAACGCTTCTCTCCGCGGTCAGTAAATTGTATAAATGGCCACTTTATGTTGTCTAAAAACAATTTGTATTTTTTTCATACAATTAGTGTTCATTTATAATACCTGAACACGTTTGTTTACATTTTGTACTGCGAAAATTTGAGTGTTTTTTTTTACGTTTACATTTAGCGCTTCTTTTAAGTATTGTGATGACAACAATGACAACGTTCTAAGATGTCGGCGTTCAGGTTTATAGAGTTAATAAACAGATTTTAGAGGAGAAGCTGGGCCGAAATTGTATGAAATTATATGGCTATAATGCTGACGCCGGTGAGTTTCACGCAGAACACGGGCACAGTGGCTGGGCGCTGGGTCGGCCTCGTGTCGGAATGCAACCGTTGAAGACGCACGACCAATCGCGTTGTCTGTGCAGTTGCTGAATTATTGATGTGAAAACTATCACCGTTGTCAGTGCATCTAACGCGCGTTCTTTTGTACTTGCTTCGTTGTCGGTGAGCTGTTACTCGCTGTTAATGCTCGGACGAAATGATTTCGCCGAAGCTGTCACGCTGGCCCAGAGTGTTGATCCCCATTCCATCAGTTTCGGATCATCACGACACGCGCGCTGCGCAGCTCACGTGCTTTCCGAGCCGGAGAGAGAGTCGTGCCTTCGGCTTTACGTTTGAAAGTAAACAAGAGAGGAAAATTTGCCCAGACAATATGGCTGGCTTTCGGCTTCATCGCGGCTTCACAACAGATGACGTCAGGGCCTCTCCTAACTTTCCTTCCTCTGTGATCTATTTGTTTGTTTAGTCATCTATCTATTATACGTTCACGTATTTATTCATTTATCCACACACTTATTTACTCATCTAGTCGTCTGTCTACCTACTTACTTCTTCATCTATCTATTTGTTTGACTAATCTTCTATCTATGTATACGTTTACTTATTTAAGCATCTATCTATATACTTAGTTGCTTATCTAGTTATCTATCTACTTACTTACTTAATCATCAATCTATATGTTTGTCTAGTCATCTATTTATTTATACGTTTACGTATTTATTTATTTATTCATACACTTTTTACTTGTCTAGTCAATTGTCTACCTATTTACTTCTTCATCTATCTATTTGTTTGAGTAATCATCTATCTATGTAAACGTTTACTTATTTAAGCATCTATCTATATACTTAGTTACTTATTTAGTTATCTATAGACTATCTACCTACTTACTTAATCATTCATCTATATATTTGTCTAGTCATCTATCTATTTACACGTTTACTTTATTAATTATTTATCTATTTACTTTGGTACTTATTTAGTCATTTATCTATTACTTATTTATTCATTCATCTATTTGTTTGTTTAATTATCTATTTCTTTATACGTTTACCTATACACTTATTTATCTATGACCTAATTACTTATCTAGTATTTTATCTACCTACTTATTCATTCATCTCTCTATTTCACGGAGAAAAAAAAAGGTTGGAAAGGGCTTGCTCAGCCAGCGCGCCATGTAAAAATTGTGGAGGAAATGACATCATGGCGGCCATATTCACTGGCGGCCTTCCTCCGTGCTGGGCACAATGGTGGCGTTGCTATAGTCATAGAAACCTAGGAGGATATATATATATCCTCCTAGATAGAAACTCTATGGCTATAGTTACGTGTTGCGCCACGTGTTGCGCAATGGAGCTGGTCTAGTGAGCGGCCGCGGCTGGCGGCTTAAACGTGTGCCTCCCCAGGTCTCGAGCTGAGCCGTGACGGACAATATTCATGCTCTGCGCCGCGTTATTGGTTACGCAGTGTTCTCCTGGCAGTTACTGTACTTTCAGCAGCGTTTACAAATCCTTTTGTCCATTACGGGGTTCCAACAGTGCGTAGAACGAGTGCATATCTATGTGTCATGCGGCGGATGACGCGGATTAAGCAATTAGTGTTTAGCGAAATTGCGTTGGGCACCATGACGAGGCGGAATGACGAGGAAAGCCTTGCAGGTCAGTGACGGTGTGGCAGTGTCCCTGCTTGTGACAATGGACGGCGCTGTTGAGCCCAGCAAGACGCAATGAGGACCATGTGCACATACGTAGTTTTGTGTTGTGTGTGTACATTAACAACTTGCATGTGCGTATTAGACACCTTTTCTGTTCCGCTTCGTATACTCTCCCCCAGCATTGCATAACGTAACAGCAGCCGCGTTCAAGTGTCACTTGTACCGTGCTCAAAATCACCACGGTCGCAGAATGCTGACGCCGGTGAGTTTCACGCGGAACATGGGCGCAGTGGCTGGGCGCTGCGTCGGCCTCGTGTCGGAATGCAACCGTAAAAGGCGCACGACCGATCGTGATATCTGTACAGTTGCTGAATTAATGACGTGAAAACACTCGCCGTTGTCAGTGCATCTAGCGCGCGTTCTCTTGTATTTGCTTCGTTGGCGGTGAGCCGTTACTCGCTGTAAATATTTGGACGAAATGATTTCGCCGAAGGTGTCGCGCTGACCCAGAGTGTTGAACCCCGTTCCATTAGTTTCGGATCGAAACGACACGCGCGCTGCGCAGCCCACATGCTTTCCGAGCCGGAGAGAGAGTCGCGCCTTCTGCTTTACATTCGGATGTAAACAGGAGAGGAGAATTTGCCCAGTCAATGTGGCCGACTTCAGGCTCGTGTCGCCAAAACACGGAATATTTCTGCAGCGGTGCGTATGTAGTCGAATGCGCACAACGACGCGTCTTCTGGGGAAACTGAATAGAGTCGCAGCAGGCAGTGCGCTTCCCTTTTCTGATCGTGTCCGACGGTCATATCTCAGAATTAAGTAGGCTCTCTGCACAGCTGATCGCGCCGCGTCGACCACGAGCGACGACGGGGACGCTACGCTTCCCCTAACTGTGTCAGCACAAGACATATCGTTCGGACTATATTCAGTTTCCCCAGAAACGCGTCGTTGTGCGCAGTGGACTAGGTACGCACTGCTACGGAGATATTCCGTGCTTTGGCGACACAAGCATTCGCTTCCCCTTAAACATTCATACGCGTCGTCCCCAATACTGATCGAGACACGATCTCATAATTGCACAGCAGTACACACAGCAAGCGAATGCGCCCCGACTTCTGCAACGCGCGGTTCATTCCGTTAATTAAAATGGCCAACGTCGCACTCGCGAACCAGTTCATCGCACACACACACTAGCGAAATGCGCGGCGGACGATGCGTCGTTTCCCTAACTCTGAGACACGATCTCTTATTTGCACAGCTGCGCACACAGCAAGAGAAGGCGTCCCCGCTTCTGCAATGCGTTCCGTTAATTAAAACGGCCAACGTCACTCACGCACTCATGAAATGCATCGCGGACGACAGAAAGCCCGCACGGTGCAATTACTACAGGGGCAAAGTTTTTCGCCAAATTTGGCGGCAGTTTGGCAACACTTACTTTTCTAGTCTGGCAACAGTTTATGCAACACCAAACAGACCATTGCTCTAGGATCTACGATTCTCTAGTGTGAATCTATGAAATCTATAAACAAGCAACTGCAGGCACACCAATGGTGTAGCCAGAGGGTCGTTAAAGAACTTCGCAACCCCCCCCCCCCCCCCCCCCCCCAAAAAAAAATGTTTTATTTAAAAATTTCTGGCCTCGCTACAGAAGCCCACTGTGCGCTTTGAAAGAAATAGAATGAACGCTTGAACAGAGAAATTTGAAGCCATGTTACAGCAACAAAAATGCAAAAATTCGAGCCAAACTATAGCAGAAATAAGTCAGAAACAAACAGGCACGCCATGACTCACGCAAAGCACCGATATTTAACAAGCCAGAAAACAAGACAGAGATGTCAGTAAGTGATTTGATGTACATATGGCCAAACGTATTGTACCCTTAATGCAAATATAACGATTCAACTAAATCTCGTTACTTGTGTAAAATATTGTAATAAATTGTGCATTGTCACCCTCGTTGAAGACACCAAACTTCGAAAAACTTCCTGCATAAGGCACCTTACATTGTGTGCCTCAGCAGTCAGCTGCATAATTAACAGGTAAACCTCTTATTAAGACATCAAAATAAGGCTTAATATTACTTTATAAAAAAACTCTAACCGATGCATCAAACTTGATGCGCCAGAATCTTGAAAAGAATGTTATTAACAACAGCGCTAAGTTTTGTGTTGCGAATAAAATTCAATTCAATTACGGGGTGATTATAGCAGCAGTACATTTAATGCCTACAGCTCCGAATGCTGATCTACATCATCAAGCACGATGACCTGAAGTTCACAGGTTGTGGCTTCTTTGCTGTAGACCTATCGACCTTTGCAGCGGTAAGTGCCAAGATTTTGATGCAAAATTATCATATTTCCAAATGAAATCTGCACATGCTAAACCTTGTCTGCCATATAAATACGATCATCAAAATGATGCAGTGAAGAATTCCAGAGATGACCTTTACCAGGCAGTTCAAAGGTATACTTTGATGACGAAGAAGAAAACATGGAAGACTACTCTTTCAGGAGCTGAACACGTAATGGGGCCCCTTGCCCAACGCCTTCTCAACCGCTAGCCTAGCTTTGGCTCTCAGAGCATGTCTCAATCGTGCCGTAAGAAAACGAAAGACAGCAGTGAACATAAAGATTGGTCGTTTCAAACTATCCAAGAATGCTTATTTTAAGTGCTGTTGTTTGGTTCCCACTACACCATAATTGCTGCTTTTGCAAATCGGCGAAGGGCCCACCATGTGTCCGTAAAGGCAACAGACGAACATATGCAGCTGCTCACTTGTTGATGATTCTGCTGCTGATGATGCTTGATTATGTCTGACCGCGTTGTAATAGATGGGCCTTAAAATGCCCACTGATTGCTAAATTCACATGTTCTGACGACTGGTGCGATTCTACGCTTCTGCCACGTAATGTTACATGCCGTTAAACTTTTATACCTGTCATTCATATAGTGTTTTTTGTTTTTACTTTTTCAATGCGGTTTCAAGCAATATTATAACTCTGTGGTGGAACACCTGCTCGCCCCGGAGGCAGCCTAGGTTCAATTTTCTTTCGTAACGAAGTTTTTTTATTATTTGTTATTTTCACAATCTTTCCGTCATGGACAAGATGATCCTTATCTCACAACCAATGAAGCAATGGCAGCACCGGAATTTCTGCAAAACAAGCTTTTTAACGCTATCACTTTAAAACACTACAATGTTTTCTTTTGGCAACATTTCGATCGACAAAACGTGACAGCTATAGAGTTTCGAAGACGGTGCCGCTTTGTTCGTATGCCCGCTTAGATTTTATATCGAGACTTGACAATAATAATAGTAATAATAATATGGACGGATGCGGAAGTTTATTTGAAGTCCTGAGGTGCACGACTTAACCTGCAGCTCCCACATTGGGACAGTCAGGCCAACCCCGACTGCCGCATCGTGGGCCCTCTGGACAGCCCACAGTTGGTCCCCGACATAATAATAATAATAATAATAATAATAATAATAATAATAATAATAATAATAATAATAATAATAATAATAATATATTATTATTATTATTATTATTATTATTATTATTATTATTATTATTATTATTATTATTATTATTATTATTATTATTATTATTGGATTTTATGCCCCAAAATAATGACGCGGATATGAAACACACCGCAGTGGAATTTCGATCATCTTCTGTACTTTAACATACACTGACAGTACTCGGGCCTCAATCATTTCGCCTCCACCGAATTGCGACCGCCGCGTCCAGGATCGAACCCGTGAGCATCGGGTCAGCAGCATAGCATCACAACCACTGCTGCACCAGGACAGACGGCGCTTGAAGAGTTATTGGAAATAGAATGAGTACTTTTCAAGGCGTCCTGCAGTATTTTTGGAGCATGGTTAGAAAATGGTGCCGATCGTTAGTCTAGGACACGAGCCAAATATTATAGGGTAGCACGTAGGCTGGAATTCACAATAAATTCTCGAATTCAAATAAACATTCCTTTCTCTTCTTTCAAAAGATGATGCTATAAGCTAGAAAATCACTCATCACAGCCACTGTATCAACCACTGGCTGATTTGAGCATGGCGTGCTCGGTCGTAACTGGGTCCGCCGTGAAAGGCCGTTACTTGACAACGCATGTGTGCACAATCGCACTAAAATCCTCGTATTTGAAGAGACAAAAAAAGAGTGCTCAAAGGTCCTGAGACATGCGTGATATTTTCCTTTCTCCGGGCCATCCCTTCCTGCTTAGCTTCCAGTGTTCTCATCGGGACGAGTGAAGAATGTAATTGCAGCAAGTGACAAATCTTTGTAGCTTGCTCGTACTTGAGTTTCTAAAAGTTGTTTCCTGTATTTTCCTGTAAAAGTATTACAGGGCCCCTTTAACTGGAAGCACCTATCAAAAGCGGTTCTTATCAGCACCAACTTGCCGCAACACCAGCAATTTTTCACTGACCATGTCTTGCGCACTTATCTTGCAGATCACCGGAGCGGTCATCACATACACTGTTGTCTTGGCCCATACAAGTGCGAGTTACCTCTGAGACACACGTCTGCCTCCACGCAACATCGTGGACATTGAAAGAGCACACGCCGCTTACTGAAGTTATGCGTATTTAAGCAAATCATCTGTACTCAACTCGGATGTCAGTACAACAAAGTAATGTTGAAATGGTAACGCATGAATGTTTGTGAAGCTTTCACGGCGAGAAATAAAGCGTGGGGAAGTGTGATACGTTGTACGACGCTAGAGTTACTGTCTATTCTACCTTTAGGTAGGTAGCAATGAAGCTAGCTTGATTTTGTTTTACAGCGAAAGCAGTATATGGCTAGGAGAAACAAAAAACTGTTCAGCTTCGGTGTCACGAGCGGTCTCCATTGGCTGTACTAGCAGTTCTGTCGTTCTCATCGTCGTACCCAAGTAAGTGCACCATTGGCTGCATTGTGAGTGACATCGTACATCTCGTCGCAGCCAGGGTGTTGAGCCCGCACACATCGTTTCTACCAAAACCTTCCATATGGGTAAGCCACGGACAACTCTAGAAGAGCGCTGACAGTGGAAATGTGAAAGAGCTCGCATTCACTGGGCTGATGCTCCAGTCCTGGCAAAAAAACAAGTGCAGAAATTTGAGTGCTGGCAGCAACTGCATACCGATGATCCAGCAGCCTAATTCCAAGCCGCGCTAAATCGCGAACGGAAATGCAAGCACCGATGGCGGGCGGATCAAGCAGACAATGTCGCCTATGTCAAAGCTTGCGATGTCAAATGCTTGCAACAACGCCACGCCGAACAACACAGTTCCGAGTACAACAGCGTTAACGTGATTATTGCGGGAGCCCATACGCCTGGGCAAACGCTCACTTTTGGCAGGAATTTTTCCAGCGGCACGTCAGGTTGAACCCACTGCTAAACACCGGGGCCGCAAGTTTCAGCTTTCACTGGTTAACCATTCGTATGAAGTGCTTGGGCGGTGATTTTTCATGTTTTTATCCACAACATACCTTACCACAAACTCAATTTCCAGGCACATGCTGCTAAACCTGCAGAGCCTTTTCCACATGTTTAGAGGCATTTATTATATTAGAGATCGAAATCTTATGACACTCCTAGCGAAAACTGGAATTTTAGGACTGCCCTGTGATCAACACAATGACAAATAATTGTGTAAATTACCATTCAACTTTTACAAAAATATCTTACCAAGGATATATCTTTCATCCAATACTCTGAAATGTTTTGTGGTTTGAGTTTGCTAAAACAACCTGATTAATTGTACTATACGTATTTTAAAATTATGTATCCTCAGCCCCTTGCAGTGTACTGAAAATATCGTAAATCTAATGAGACTCGTTTAAATTTTGTTAGTTGTCTTAATGGTATGGCTGGCTGGACGATGTGTTAGTTCAACATTACATATATATGTCTTTTGCACTACACATGGTATGATGTGACATGCGATAAAATGTGTAACACGTACACGAGAGCTGTTTCGCCCGTTGTAATCTGTCAGAGAAACTCTGTGAATGCAGCTGCCAGTGTGACATTACATGCAACATCAGACACTGAATCGCAGCGAGCCTCTCTCGTTGGATAAAGCAAACGAAAGAAGTGGATTATCGGAACGCCACTGCTTTTATTAGGCTCAACCTAATAAAGCCAGCAAATAAAGTCAAAGAAAGCTTAAGAGGCATTATTTGAAATTTTTAATAGCATTGTTGTAATTATGACATAAATAGAAATGAACTACGGTGAACAAAAGCAATGCAGTGCCGATGGGGCATCTTTTAACCAACCATCATTGGATGCTGAAACAATACATAAAGCAGTCAGCCATCTTAAATGCCAGCGTGCGAAAATTCTTTGATACTTCCGAAACTGCATAAGGCACTTGTGGGGCACTGTCCAGTTCTTATATAACTTTAACATATTTATTTTTGATCTGTAATAAAATTAGTGCTACGATGCCACAATGTAGACTAGGTGATGTGCTGCTTCTTCACAGCAGCACATGGAAACGTGGCACGCGGCTGCCTTCTTGCGCCTCCCAGGCGAACACTTCACCGTGATCGTCAACAGCATACAAATGCTGCTGGTCTTGCGAGTAGGTCAGGCTGGGCAAAAGAGTGACAAAGCAATCATTATCAGTACACATTTTAGAATGTTCTAGTTAAGTTCTGTACAGTACTCACTAATTAAAACACAAAAATTTGGTGCTCAGTATTGCGGAAACTGTGATTTCAAGCTTCTAGTGTACGTGCCAAAGTGGCATAATTTGAACTCGCACACTTGCGTCAAAGCCAACCAGATTTGCAACTAGATTTTGAAGCGACATAAAATGATTATCATGAAAAATTGCTCAAGGCAGTCAGTATAATAAAGAAACAGTGTCACGTTTCAATGTGCAAGTACACTACATATCATCTCTTGATGGAATTGCAGAACAACAGGAATGTAGACAAAAAACGCCGACTCAATTCTCTCTCAATAATCGTGCACTGAAAACAAAGTACATTGTTCCCCAATGGAGCCACAGGCCAAGTTCAGACAATTTCATAGAGCCAATGTACCCAAAATACATAAGACACCATGAAATTCATGATGTCATTATTGGAGATCTTCGCTATTGGAGACTTCTGACACAAATTTTTGGATCTATTAATAAATGCATGGTGGTGAAATTAATGACACTAGAGCTTTCTGAGCACAATTTGTCAGTCCAAACTAATTTCCCATTTCACTGTTGAGTGCCTTTTGGGAAGCCCTAAAGGTTGGTTTCACACTTCTGCTCTCCTAATAGAATGTACCTCATATTTTACTGCAGCACTTGGCTATATCGTCAACACCTAGATTTGCTCACCTGACAATGGGAAATACGCATTTTTCCGAGTGAATTTCTTGCACAGGACTCAGATCCCACGAGCTCCAAAGCCTGAAAACAAAATAAAAAATCAACAAATACACAATTTTTGAAGGTACAACTGGCATCCGGCAATTGATCTAAGAAGACAGGCTATTGCACGATCCATTAAAATACGAACTGTTCCCCGATTTATTTATTGATATGTGGGGTTTAATGTCCCAAAATCACCATATGATTATGAGAGACACCGTAGTGAAGGGCTCCGGAAGTGTCGACCACCTGGGGTTCTTTAACGTGCACCCAAATCTGAGCATATGGGCCTCCAGCATTACCGCCTTCATCGAAAATGCAGCCACCACAGCCAGGATTTTATCCCGCAATCTGCAGGTCAACGTTGCAGTACTTTAGCCACTATACTACCGCGATGCAGCTACCAACTGTTCTAGAAAGAATACATTTCTCTAACCGAAAATCATGATTTTCACTCCCAACTATAGTAAAACCTGATTATTTTTACTAGGCTATTTCAAAATCACGCTATATTCGAAAGATCTCTTCGGTCCTGTATATCACAATATAAGTTGAAGTGGATAATGTGAGGCGGCGGTCAGCACCAGTCTGGTTAATTCGAAAACTTTGGGTTCCATCTGCTGATTTCTGAACCCGATTTCTCGGCAGATCCGCAGAAACTACGGCCCTTAGGAGCCATAAGGCAATGCAGTGTAGCAATACTAATGAGTGGCAGATAAACCACCCAGCCAAGCCTGTGCCAGCGCAAAAAAAAATAAAAAAGGCGGTTTCAAGATTGACTTAAATGTGCGCCTCTAGAAAAAGAAAGACATGCTTCACTGCGCTACAGCAGTGACACGCGGGCAGCACGTTGCATGCTTCTCGCAACCTCAGCGCATTATGATTTAACCCTTCTTTATGGAAATATAACGGAATTAATAATGGACAGTCTGATGCAATTTGCAATCAATGCAAAATTATGAATGGCGGTTTCTCCAGCAATTAGTGTGATTGTACTGCTGGCAAAGTTCCTGTCTGCAAGGCCTATTTCAAAAACTCGGTTCAAAAACTTCAATGATCGTGTTTTCCAGCCAGAACACATTCTATCACACTGGCTGTTATCAAGTTCTTTATTTTACCGGAAAGAGTCTGCAAATGCTCACGTCATAACGTGCCGACGCTGTGAGAAACAGGTGACATCTGCCCACGTGTCACCACTGTATTGCACTGAAGCACATCTTCTTTTTCGATGGCACACGTTTCAGTCACCCATGAGATTTTTTTTTCCCCCGCTGGCAGCAGCGTTGCCCGGCGTTTACCTGTGTTTGCGGCGAAACTGGGCCTAGGCATTGCGAGAAAACATAACCTTGGAGCTGCGAACTAGCTGGCATAGCAAACGACCACCTCTGACTACTTTTAATAATTCAAAGTTTCTTGCATCCCACTTTTTGTATTTTCATTTATTCAATAACCCACCTAATTCAAAAATTTTTTTCGGTCCCAGTGACTTCGAAGTAATGAGGTTTTACTGCATGTAATTATGTATGATTGTGCCGGTTTTTGTTTCAACTTTCTGTTACCTTAAAGAATGTTGACCTATAGTTTATTTGACCTTGTTTACCTTGATTTTAAACTTGTTTTATGTATTCTTTTATTGCTTATTACTATAAAGATGTGACATGTGGTACTCAAACTGTCTACTGCCTTCCAGGCAACAGAGGTATTCTGCAAGTGAATAAATGGCAGTTGAAAATTTGCAAGACAGTAGTTCATCCGGGCGTGTCAAACCTACCGGATGCACCCGTCCTCACAACCGGCAGCGAGCACGTTGACAGAGGTGCCCTCGGGTGCAGCAGAGTAGCAGACGGCTCCGATGGCCATGTCCATGCTCAGCTGTCCCACGCGGGCACCGTTGATGGTATGAACTCGAAGACAACTGCCAGAAGAACCTGCAAAACGCGCAGTAATAGCATGACACTTGTTGGGGCTTTACGTTCCATAACCACAACAGGATCATGAAGAGCATCAGAGTGAAGGGGTCCGTAAGTTTCGACCAATGGAGGTTCTTGCATGTGCACCTAAATCTAAGTACACGGGTTTCTAGCCTATTGCCTCCATTGTAATGTGGCTTTGCCTTAGCCAGGATTCTATCCCGCGACCTACAGGTCAGTAGTCGAGTACCATGGCTTTGCCTCAGCCAGGATTCTATCCCGCGACCTACAAGTCAGTACTCGAGTACCATGGCTCTGCCTCAGCCAAGATTCTATCCCGCGACCTACAGGTCAGTAGTCGAGTACCATGGCTTTGCCTCAGCCAGGATTCTATCCCGCGACCTACAGGTCAGTAGTCGAGTACCATGGCTTTGCCTCAGCCAGGATTCTATCCCGCGACCTACAGGTCAGTAGTCGAGTACCATGGCTTTGCCTCAGCCAGGATTCTATCCCGCGACCTACAGGTCAGTAGTCGAGTACCATGGCTTTGCCTCAGCCAGGATTCTATCCCGCGACCTACAGGTCAGTAGGGAAGTACCATAACCGCTAGACCACCACTGTGATTGCAGACCATGCAAATCACAGAGTAAAATGGGCACTTTAATGAGCTAGCCAGGATCGATCCAGTTGGGCCTGATTGATAAGGCAAGTTAATCATGTAACGAAAGTCGGAAGTCTAGACAGTGGTGAGAACTGGATGACCAAGAGATGCTGATGAAGGTTGCTGTGTCCCCTGGTGAAGACCCCTTGAAACACTGGCTTCGACAGAACTTCTTGAGTAGCAATCGTTTTAATCCTTTATTGTCCCTTGAAATTCTGTCATGTAACACAGCATACTGTGGCACGCGACTACTGCACTAGAGCATTCTTAAAGAATCCTCGCGACTGTTTTACTTAGCGAGTGGCAGTTCTCCTAGCACTATAGTGTTCATATTCTTCCAAGCTACTCTATGAGAAGGAGTAGCCATCACCCATGCGACATGGTTAACATCATGTTTGGGAATGTTCAATTCAGCACACAACTACGATACCAAAGAGTAGACGACAACTTCGATTCCTTCACCATGAAGTTGCCACCAAGTTTCATCAACACTCTTCAATGATTTCTGAGAAAAATATTCATAAACAACCATTTTCAATGCCTACTCAATGCAATGTATCGAAGCGATGTTGTTCGAGTTCACACTCACTGAAATCACCAAGGAGTACAATAAATCCATGGTGTCTTCGATGGTTTAAAAGTGGTGCTGTGTTTTACATTGTGAAGTCGAGAAAGAGGCTTGAGTCAAGGACCGGTCATGAATGCAATGGTCAACCTATGTACTTCTTAAAGGGCCACTCACCAGGCCGCATACGAAATTTAGTTGGACCATGGAAGTTGTTGGGTGTCCGATGAGGAACATTGTGCCACAAAACTTTTTTGAATCAGTTCATTACGAGCTGAGAAAACTGTCTTTTTGAAGCGACGTGAAACGAGGATGAGAGGAGGCGAGCTCAAAACCTTTGCCACTTCTCCGTGTAGCCTTTGCAAGCCAAATCTCTTCCCTAACCTCTCTGGCATCCTAACTCTCTGGCATCCGTTTTTTTTTTTTTTACTAGCGTTGTTTTCAGGTGTATTGCCTGTTTCTGCGGGATGGTTTGGAAACGCTGGCTAAGACGCGGTAGAATACATGAGCACAATAAGTGCGCTAACGCGTAGGAGCGTTCCACGGCTGTCGTCGTCTGCTCGATGCGCTGGCCGCGGTCTAGTACACTGTAACCGCGCGGACACGAACGCATGCGAAACGCCGGCACATTAGGCCCGCACCTCGTTACAATTCACGGGGAAAAAATAAAAACAAGTAACGCTCACATGCCCTTATTGCATCTCATTATTTATCTAGAGATTTATTAATCTCTTCAAGCAACAAATACATAAACTACGCATTTCGTGTTAAATAATTTTCGCCATGCCACGTGCCACTGTTTGCAACATCAGAGCAGAGTCGTCTACGTAGAGGACCAATGTCACTGCATTGCCATGTACATAGGGCCATTCATACGCGCACGTCATGCCCTCGTTTTCTGGGCGCGCGTCCGCGAAAGGAAGGGGGAGCAGCGTTCATATTGAAATTTGACCTATTTCTGCAGCGCGTAGCGTTGCAAATTTTGGCAGACGTGATCATGAACACCTCATCTACACACTTCGTTTGTCACCTCAAAATTGTCAAACCAGATGAGTGGCCCTTTAAGTAGTTTTAATGGATTAAGAATACTAAAACTGAACCCCTCTAAGCATGCTGAATCGCATTTAGAAACTCTCAAACACATATTAATTGTTCGGCATTTTACATTTGCAAGGTAACAGAATGACTAAGCCTAAAGCTAGATTCTCATTGCCCACCATCTGTCAAGTCACCACATCAACCTGCAAAGCAATGGATAAATTGGTGCACCACAAGACCCTGACACAGCATTGCGCTGATTGGGGTAAATGCTTGGAGTGTGCGAACATTTTAAATTTCGAAAATTTTTTAATAGTGTTTCCTATTTAATTCAATCTGCATCGAAATTGTACTATTTAATCTATTCGTACTTCCTGATGACACAAACAGTCTATGTCTAATTAACAGTGACCCCTTCAGATTTGTATTATGCTCCACCCCATCACACTCCAATATTGCAGCAAAGCTGCCTTTCAAGTTTTGCTACGATTGCAAACGTATTGACTCAATAAAATGCTGGTTCCAACATGTAGATAATAGATGTGACAAAGCTAGGGCTGGGGGTTCAATCCTTCTTTAGAAATATGCTTCGAAATCCTCTCCAACTTCTTTTTCTGCAATTTCACTTCAAAGTATTTCAAAAATATACTAGAAATAATAAAAAGATATTCGATTCGATTTGCACTCACACTAATATCCGAATTCGCTTGACACTCAAAATTTTGCTATTTGCCCAGCCATATTCTGTTTGAAACACAAACGTGTCGAGCGCTTCAGCACACCAGCATGCATGCAGAAAATTGTGAGCACAGCTTGTCAACCGCATTGATATCTCTATTTACATACTGGGAATTGGTACTTAAGATTGGTGTGCAATTGCTGCAGTCCTCAGTGCAGGATCGTCAGTTTTTACATTAGCTTCTCACTTCATAAAAATGTTTTCTTGCTTGTCATTATATTTCTGATCCTGTTTATACAGGATCAGAAATATATTTTGCGGCCTGCAGGGATTTGCGGCCTGCAGCAGCCATGGCTAAGTCCTCGTTTTGATTGTTCTAGGTTCCTGCCTCGTGTTCCTTTTGCTGCTTGGTCGCACACCGTCACCGAGGATTGGCACTGATTCATCCTTTCTGCGCCGTCACCACTCAAGAATGACATCATCCTCCCGCTGACTCATAACGAATGTAGCGCCACCGGACACTACATAAAGACGCTGCCCACAGCTCTTTCTTGGGATTTGCCGCCTGCAGCAGCCATGGCTAAGTCCTCGTTTTGATTGTTCTAGGTTCCTGCCTCGTGTTCCTTTTGCTGCTTGGTCGCACACCGTCACCGAGGATTGGCACTGATTCATCCTTTCTGCGCCGTCACCACTCAAGAATGACATCATCCTCCCGCTGACGTCATAACGAATGTAGCGCCACCGGACACTACATAAAGACGCTGCCCACAGCTCTTTCTTGGGATTTGCGGCCTGCAGCAGCCATGGCTAAGTCCTCGTTTTGATTGTTCTAGGTTCCTGCCTCGTGTTCCTTTTGCTGCTTGGTCGCACACCGTCACCGAGGATTGGCACTGATTCATCCTTTCTGCGCCGTCACCACTCAAGAATGACATCATCCTCCCGCTGACGTCATAACGAATGTAGCGCCACCGGACACTACATAAAGACGCTGCCCACAGCTCTTTCTTGGGATTTGCCGCCTGCAGCAGCCATGGCTAAGTCCTCGTTTTGATTGTTCTAGGTAGGCATTTAGCCTTGCCCTCTTTACAGAACTGTATTTTTTGCATACTGCTGGCCGCTGATCCCCACTATTCCTTGTTGTGTTCTGTATCCTGAGCACTAGTATGGGTGTTGACGTGTCTACATACCGGGCACGCATCGGGTCATTTGTGTCTTGTCGTAAGAACACAAGTTACCCTAGAGCTCGCTTCAATGGCGCGTCTAACTTGTTCCGCTTTGCTAGCCCGAGACCATGTGTTTTGTTGGTGAGCACGTGCCTTTCTTTGCTCCTACTCTGTGCTGGTGACGTGGAAGTGAACCCTGGTCCGAAGATTGATGACGTTCTAGCTTTGATGAAAGATTTTCATGAAGAAACTATAGCTACACTGACAGAAATAAAACAAAACATCGCAGGCATTAATGCTAAAATTCATGAAATTGAGACAGGTCTGCAAAAGATGTCGCAAATTGAGTCAACGTGCGAAGATGTAGGTGATTCAGTACGTGAAGTAAAATCAAGCATATCAAAAGTAAATGAAGATCTCGTTGATGTAGTAGACGATATAAATAACAGGATGAGGCGGAACAACCTCATCGTTAAAGGCCTTCCCGAGACCGACAAACAAGACTACGAGGAAACAGAAAAAATTGTTAAAGAATTTTTTTCCGCGCACCTTGAGTTACAAGTTGGTGACATTGAACGCGCCCATCGCGTCGGTAAACGACGCCCGCATTTTGATCGACCCATTATAATCAAATTTCTAAACTTTAAGTCCAAAACCGAGGTCTTGCGCAATGCCCCGAAACTGAAAAACTTAGATTTTCCCAAGGTTTGGATTGACAAAGATTTCTCGCCGAAAGTGCAGATGGCCCGTAAACGGTTGAGGGATTTTGCAAAGCTTAAGCGCAAAGGAAGCGAGCGTTATTCGGTTCGCTTTAACTGTTTGTACATTTGGGACCGCGTTTTTCGATACAACTTTGTCACTGATAGCGTTGTCGAAGTAACTCCCAGACAGGAATTCACGCCCCATGCAATGAAACCCCAAGGCAGTTCTCTCAATGAAGTCTCTCCGCACCAACCTCTCGCTGATTGACAAACTACCTCTTCTAATCGAAACTCCACCTACAAATCTGAAGTAATGTTGCTCCTAGTAAATTTTAGAAGCATTTTAAATAAGCTAGACACCCTAAATTCCTTCTTGTACACATGTTCCGCCGACATTTTGATCGGTACGGAAACGTGGCTGTCGGCCGAGATTTCGAACTCTGAACTTAACTTTCCTGCACAGTTTATAGTTTTTCGCAAAGACAGATCGGTATCTAAAGGAGGAGGAGTAATTATAGATGTTAAACAAAAATTTCAACCGTCAGATATCGCTTACGACTCGTCTATCGAAGCAATTTGGGTTACTGCGCAGTCAGCTCACACCACTGTAAATATCGGTGCCTGCTACCGACCCCCCGACAGCGGTCCAGAGTTCGTCGACTTGCTGAATGATTCGCTCGAGTATGTGCATGCCCATTATCCAAATTCTGTTCTTATTCTCGGCGGCGACTTTAACTACCCAGGCATAGATTGGGCATCTTCTTCTGTCAGCAGTAACAGCTCCCACCGTCACAAATGCTTGCGTTTTCTACATTTGACACACATCCACCTCATGACCCAGATAGTAACAGAACCTACACGTGGCGATAACATTTTAGATTTACTTTTCACTAATAATTCCCAGGAAGCTCTTACCCACGTGCTTGAAGAAATTAGCGACCACAGAGTTGTCCATTGTTCACTATATTTACCACGCGCCGACAAATCAAAGGTAACTAAGCAGTTATTGAATTACGCATGTGCTGACATCGATAAGATGAACCGTATGTAAGATGATTTTATACCAATATTTGAGTCAAGTTTTGAACATCGCGCTGCAAACGAAAATTGGCTTCAATTCCGTGACACACTAAAAAAATAGAAGAATGCTGCGTCCCGAAACTAACAATCAGCACCAAAACAAATGACCCGTGGTTCACACGCGATGTAAAAAGATGCCTAAATAGGAAGAAACGAGCTTTTAAAAGGGCTACACGAACTAATACTCCGAAAGATTGGCTTAATTATAAAAATCTTTCAAAACAAGCTGAGGCCTCAATAAAAGAGGCCAAGGAAAAATATTTTAACTGCACCTTACCTAACCTTTTGAAAACTGACCCCCAGAAATTCTGGCGCGTGGTGAACCCTATAGCCTACGCTTCTGAGCCAACTCTACTGAGTGATCAAGGCAAAGCGTTGTCGCCAGAGGAAAGTGCTGAATGCTTCAACGAATTTTTTGAATCTGTGTTCACGGAAGAACTTCCACTAGACTCACTGGCACTGTTAAAACCTACCATTCACGACCCTTTTTCTTCAATCACAATAACTGAAAATGGTGTCGCACAAGCTGTACAACGCCTTCCTCGCAAGACTAGCCCGGGGCCTGACGGAATTAGTGCCAAACTCCTAAAATTAACCTGCCACAGATCAGCGTATTTATTGTCGCTGATCTTTCAGCAGTCGCTTGACACGGGCTGTGTACCGGAAGACTGGAAATATGCCTTTGTTAAACCCATATACAAATCCGGCCAAAAGTCAAGTCCGAACAACTACCGTCCAATCTCTCTAACCTGTATATCTTGCAAGCTATTAGAACATATCATTTACTCGAAAATTATATCTCACTTGAACAGAAACAACGTCCTCATCCCAAATTAACACGGCTTTCGGAAAAAACACTCATGCAACACCCAACTATTCGAATTGTTGACAGACTTGCACAAATCCATGCATAGCTCTGCTCCTACAGATGCTATTTTTATAGACCTTTCAAAGGCTTTTCATCGCATCCAACATAACCGATTAATAACTAAAGTCCGTAACCTCCAGCTTGATCAGAAAACAATCCAATGGATTCAAGAGTTCCTCTGTAACCGGTCGCAATCGGTCAAACTTAACCACATAATTTCCAGAAAGTGCATGGTAAAATCCGGTATCCCCCAGGGCTCCGTGCTCGGACCATTATTATTTTTGGTCTACATCAATGACATTGGATCTAATATTGTTTCTTCTCTACGCCTATTCGCAGATGATTGCGTTATATATAAGGAGATTACCGAACCGAATGACAGTAGCATCCTACAGTCAGATTTGTTAAAACTCACAGAGTGGTGCAACTTGTGGCAGATGCACATCAACGCTGGAAAAACCAAACATATTAGATTTACTTCCGTAGCCAACCCCTCATCATCCGTCAGATACATAGTCAATAGCACCGTAATTGAGACCGTTTCATCCACAAAATACCTCGGCATTTTCTTTAGTTCCGACCTAACCTGGAACAGTCACATTGAATACATCACCAGCAAATCATCAAAAAAACTCGGTCTTTTGAAACGCCGCCTCAGATGCGCAAACTTGAAAACTAAACTTCAAGCATATCAAGCTCAGATCAGGCCTTCACTAGAGTATGCGTCAACCATCTGGCATCCACACACGCCAATGTTATCTGATATGCTAGAATCGGTACAAAATAAAGCAGCTCGGTTTATCACCTCCTGTCATTCTCGCCACCAAAGCGTAACATATCTTAAGCGTTCTCTGAACCTTCCATTGCTTGCCACGCGCAGAAAGTTGTCCCGCCTATGTTTTTTCCATAGCTTATATCATAGTGACTCGTCATTTTCCTGATCATTCATTCACCCGGCTCCCTAGGTTTCTGATCGCGTTGGTCATGCACATAAGGTCAATCCAATATATTCACGCACTAAGAAATACCAATTTTCACCTCTGCTGTTATCCATTAACGAGTAGAACGCGCTGCCCTCAAACATCGTCGCTATTACAGAACCCTCCCTTTTCCAGTCTGCAGTACTAACTTACTTAGAAGTGGACAATAATTTGTAACCACCATTGACATTTAATGTGTAACGCATGCTTAGAGAATGTTTATTGCTATTTCTTGAAATATGTTTCCTGTTATGGTGAGCTGCTTACTGTGTTTTTTGCTTATTGTGTTATTAGTAATGTTGTTTGGGCTATCGGTCAGTTTGATTACTAGTATTACTCCCCGACATGTTGTTTTACTGATGCTATAGTAACCTCTTGTATGTATTCCCCCTTATGTAATGCCCTCTGGGCTCTTAAGGTACTTAAATAAATAAATAAATAAATACCTATTTCTTCACTTTTCCTGTTTCTACATTACAGTGCACTGCTATCGCGTAAGCCTCCAAAATGTATCTCTTATGATGCTTCCTGTGCCTCATTCCACAGATGTTCAAAATATTGCCCGATTCTCACTTCACAGAGCCAAACTGCCAAAAGCCTGTGCCACAGCTAGAGGAAGAATACACCACAAAGCAGTTTCCACTGAACATTCGATGAAGCCTAAACCAACAAGTGCCAGCAGTTCACAGCGCAACACACATACACACGAAATTCTCCTTACCTTCAGAGGTCTCTACAGTGGCAACATCTCCAAGAGTGCTGCTAATGCAAGCCAGCATGATGGGTGAGCTCCCAGCGATCAACGTGCGAACATACTCGAGCCTGCAATCACAATGAACGAGTTATTTGAAGGGGACGACAAGGACTTGAAGAATTACTGGCCAATCGGATTGCTCTCCATCGTGTACAAGCTATTTACAAAGGTAATTGCTAGCAGGACCAGTTTACTGCGGAACATGAAAGAGGCCTTTGTCTTGCAGTGGGCGTAACGAGGCTGCTGCTACTGATGACGTTGGACAGAGATCTGTCTGACTGGATAAAATTATAGATTAACAGACTCTCCAGCCAAGGTGAGTTTTAAGTATCTAATGCTAAAATCTGGTCTCACAATCTGAGACCCATTTGGTTTCTCCTTCAAAGGTAATGCTTGTTTTTAGTGGCTGTCTTATTGGTTGTAGGGACACACAGCAACACAATAAGAAATGCCCCATAAGCTATTCAAACATCAATAATGCGTCATTGATCAAACATGAAAGAGGTTAATTGACAACCACGTGTCTGTGGCACGGCACCCCAAAGAAATGTACTATATTGATTTCCTGGTAAGGAAAGTCTAAAGCTGAATAAAGCTGAATTTATGAACGAATAAAGATTCGTTCATAAAACACTACATATTTTTAACCTCAAATGTAATAAAATGTGTTTATCTACAACTTCAATACAACAAAGTCTCACTGCTGCCGCAAAAAAAGACACTACAGGAGCCAGCAGAGACAGATGCTCTGCTGACTTCTGTAGTGAAATGGCCGAGTTATACACAGTTTTTTTTAACACATTTTTCAAATCTCTCTCTTCGGCACAAGGTGGAGATGAACACATGAGACATGCTATACATCAGTCGAAATACCAAAGAACGATATGGAACACGTCCGCGCGACGACAAGTGGCACACATGCACTGTTTAAGCAATCACGACTAGCATGTTATGGTTCTCATTCATATAGCTTCGGGCTCAGCTTGTTTTGCTTGCGGTGAACCACATTTGCGATGTCTGCGTCATCTGAAGTTTGAGAAAAGCCAGTTTTCGATAGAAATGTTTCTGCAGAGGAAGAACTTCTATAGACGAGTTTGATAGAAGCAGGTTGCATCGCGTCTTTGCAGCCTGTTAGTGCTATCATGCTGCTAACATGAATAAAAAATAAAGACGCCCTATCTCCAACAAGCCCAACTGCTTGAATTAGCCATCAGCTCGTAGCCAAGCCTGCTGAGACCTCCACCTGTTGAGATCCCAGGCAATGCAGGATCCGTCGCGACTTGTCGTGACCACCAGTCCAAATGCTGTACAGACTTCGACCCTGGTGACCGCATCTGTGTGACCTAGCAGACAGGTGGGGCGTGAAGGGTGCTCCACCTGAAAAAAGGCAAATGAGATGCACTTCCAAACAAGGTCGTTACCGATGCATGCGTGTAGTAAATGTGCAGGAAGCAAAAGGTTATTTGTAATGCTTTCTGTTAGACATATGAGTGAGAAACATTGCCGAATTTAAAGAGGAACGCTACTGATAGGCCTGTGCAAATATTCGAGAACGTTGAATATTTGAATGAATAATACAATATTAGGATTCGCTTTGAAATGAACTCTAGATTTTCAATACTTTTATTTATTTGAAACGAACAAGCAGACCTATTTTGCTGCGCATAACTAGTTGAAAAGGTGGTTTCGCTGCACAGTAAATGCACTGTGCAACAAAACCACCTATTCGAGAAAAATGCCAACCGCTGCAAAGGTTGGATGTTAGGCTTGCACAAACAGCGAATTCTAGGTTCGAAGCGAATCGCGATTTTGGTCTAATAATTTCGAATCGACTTTAAATAGCATTTATTACATGTTATACAGGAAAAATGGGCATATTTGTCATGACCTGCACGATATATATATTTCTTTTAATTGAAACAAGGCCTGTGCAAATGCCCTTTTTTTTTGTGTGTGTGTGTGTGTGTTGTTTCAAGGAAGTGTAAACAACTTTGAATAGTAGCAGAATTTAACTTTTGATAAAATACAAGTAATAACCTGTAAAATATATTAAGGGGGGACGCGGCCTTTGAAAACCGAAAAATCGCGAAAAAGTCGATTTTTGGCAAACCACATATTCGGGCAGTATGTGTCATAAACTACCTTTTCTGTAAATATCAACGTCTAATTCGTCGCGAAACCATTTGAAATAAAGTTTAGAACATGCCGCGGCGGCCCTCGAGCGGCGCGCGAGCGCTCACAATACCCCAACTTGGCGTGATCGCAGTTTCTCGACCGCTCGACGGAGCGCCGCCATTTTGGTGTTGTTTTGTTTGTGAATTCTTGCTCTTTCTTTCCCCGCCACCTGCGTCGCCGGCGGCAGTGCAGGAGAGGAGCAAGCCGCTCATGATTGGAGGGCTTGCGAGAGCTTTCAAGTTTCCCGCGGCTGAGGCGCGCAGCTGGGATTGGGCGAAGCGCGCGCTCTCCAAGGACGCGGGGGAGCCCGCGACTGCCATTGGCTGCTGCGCGCGATGATGTAGCGCTCTTGCGCATAATGCGGCCGATGCGGCCGCTCGTCTGCTGCTCCTCCGTCCGGCGTCTTTGTGTTCCGCTCGCTTCCGTGTATCGTTGCAGCCGTTCGCATACTCTCCACGTTTCAACTGTCTTCGAAACGATTTTCAACCATCTTTACGAGACGATTTTCAACAACTACACGAGACCGTTGTTGTGTTCGCTCACGATGCGCCCAACGAAAAAGAAGACGCTACAATCGTTCGGTGCAAGGAAGCGAGCTATCAAGCTTGTCCGCGCGGCGAGGCTCTCCGCTCGCACGTGCGCCGACGGTGATCGCGCCGACGGTACCTGTGGGGCAGCTTCTGCTTCATCTACGCAAGAGAGTGGTCGCATCGACGCGCCTAGCAACGGGACTCCTGCTCCGCCGGTGCAAGAATTTGTCGTTACAAGTGCGCCTGGTGTCTCGTGCTCATCGACAGTGGCTTCCGCATCTTCTCTTTCATCGGCCTCGAGTGCGATCGCGTCGTCAACTGTGCATTTGCGAACAAGTTTCCTGACGTGCGAGGAGAAAGAGGCGGCGGATCAACAACGCACTGCTGTGCAAAGAGAACTTGGCGCTATGCCAGCGACGGAGCGGAAATTTCAGGCAATGGAGTGCGATCATGAAGCTGCCACCGCTACAAGTGAAGGCAAAAAACTTTTCCTTGTGCAAATGGATGCCCTAGACGACCTGCTATCTCGGACCCCGTGCCACCGGTGCACCGCGATTGGGATGAAGGTACGAGGAGGCACCCAACTTGGACTTGCTGCAAAGCTTGAGCTAGTATGCTTGCATTGTGGAGTAGTTTCAAGCTCATGGAGTTCATCTCGTCAGGATGACACAAAGGCCTTTGATGTGAATGTAAGAGCCATTATGGCAACAAAACAAATAGGCAAGGGACAAACAGCTCTCAACGACTTTTGGGCAGCGATGAACGTGTCCCATCGTGGCCTCCATCACAAGACCTTTCAGAAGCACCTGAAGAAATTCAGGGAACCGCAGACACAATGCATAGAAAATTTCTATGCAGAATCTGCTTCTGCTGTAAAGCCACTTACAAAGAAATGGATCAATATTTCACCAGGGATATAACAGTTTGTTATGATGGAACATGGCACAAGCGTGGGCACACATCCCATATTGGAGTCGGGGCAATTATCGAATACCATACGGGCCTTATCTTGGACGCCGTTGTTCTGTCTAATCAGTGCCTTGGTTGCCAAGTAGGGCCAAAGCCTGGAGACGCAGACTATGCATGCTGGCTGGAGAATCATGTGTGCCAGAAAAACACCGACTCTAAATCAGGGAGAATGGAGGTTGAGGCAGCTATCATCCTCTTTTCACGCTCACTGTCGAAGCACAACCTCCGTTACACAACGCTCGTGTCTGATGGAGATAGTGCCACATTCTCTGCCCTTGTACAAGAAAATGTTTATGGACTGGTCCCCATTTCAAAAGAGGAATGCCTGAACCACGTTCAGAAGAGGATGGGGACTGCACTTCGCAACCTTGTGCAGAAAAGTGACAAGGCTTTGGGAGGGAAGGGCAGGCTGACAAAGGCCCTCATCGACAAGTTGACAGATTATTATGGCTGGGCCCTACGGAACAATTCCGATGATGTGGCTGCAATGCGGCGGGCAGTGATGGCATCGTACCAGCATGTGACGTCGACGGATGAGGAGCCGCACCACGACTTGTGCCCAGAGGGTGCAGACTCCTGGTGTCGTCACAATGCCAGCAAGATTACCGGTGTTCCACCTCCGAAGCATTCGTACAAGCTGCCACGCTATGTTGCAGATGCACTTCTACCCATTTATGAGAGGCTCTCACAGGCTTCTCTTCTGCAACGCTGCCTGGGAGCAAAGATGCAGAATGCATCAGAGTCCTTTCACTCTGTGCTGTGGTCCCTCATGCCCAAAGAGCAGCATGCGTCACTGATTGCTGTGGAGACAGCAGTGCATGATGCAGTGCTAAGATACAATGCTGGCTGCTACAGGGCCACCCAAGAGCTAGCTTCATCAGTGGGGCTAACACCTGGCCACCTGGCCATTCAACGGGCAGCCGAGAAAGATTCTCTGCGCTTGAAAAAGGCTAAGAAGCGATCCCTAGAGAAGATGGAAAGGCGGCAAAGAAAGAGAGTGCCAAAGGACACCTCCAGTTACGTTGCAGGTTCGTTTTAGAACTGCCTATGTGCTCAAAACTTTCAAACGTCGTTTTCTGAAAATGACTTTTTTGGCTAGTGAGGCTGCTTATTCCAGCCATATCTCTGGAACCACTCATTGGATTTCCATAAGTCTTTTTTTACTATGTACATGAATAAATTTCTGAGGGGGTGACAAGCCCATTTTTTCAATATATTGTGTGTGTTATTTATTATATTTAATCAAAATTTGATTGATAATATCCTAATCACGAACACAAAGTTTGATGGTCTGCTAGAACTTTTCAGCAAGGAAATTCAAAAAAAGGGCTCTGTTACCCCCTGGAGTATCAATCTGGGAATCATCATAGTTAATTTCACAGTTCCAGCACCTTTTGAAAGTTCTCTAGGCCTGGAATAAGAGAACCATGTGCACTACCCTGATATTCTGCTGTAACTTGAAAACCAGTGAACATAACTTGATGAAATTTTGTTGTTCTTCTAAAGCTTTTGCTATAAGTCTATCCTGAAAATTTCATTAAGATATCTCAATAAACAAAAAAGTTGGTATCCGATGGTAGCCTCCCCCCTTAAGTTCTAATATTTACTATACTTAGAGCATATAGGCCGGTACAACAAGCTTTCAAATGTAAAAAATTATGAATCGATCTGAAGGTGATAAGTTCATTTGACCTTGAAGTGAGACTTTGTGGCAGTGCGGATTGTCGCTTAGATGTTTTCATGGCTTAGCATCCCATCAATTCAGCAAAACCACCTTTAGAAAAATTACACGTGGGTTAATATGGTCATATTCAGTCATTTCGAGAGACTTTCTATAAATTAATTGAACTAAAGTGAACTGTGATATTTGTTCTATTACTCAAAGAATTCGAATATTCACGCAAGCCTAGTGGATATATTGCGGTGTTTTTGAAAAATAAAGTTAGTTGCCAGTTGACGCTCTTTCCTTTCGCCTATTCCCCTCCCCGATGGTTTGGTTGTTTATGTTGTCTAATTTTCATGTAACTTTTTTTTTAAGTTAAGATGGCATTAAGATGGATGCCACAAGTAAAAACACAATACCAACACACAGCACACAAAACAGTTCAAGAACGGAATACGGGGTTGAATAAAGTGTGTGCACGTTTCTGTTTGCAATGCTCTCACATTATTATAGAGAACTATTATGCATGGCTTCCACTAAACATTGTTTCGTTTCTGTATCTGAATCAACTGATTGAGCTCATAGCTGCTCCTTAGTTGGAATAATGTCATTGGAGCCTCTTGCAGCCCCTGACCCGCAGTGGCGAATCTCCGTACCTTTGAGTTTGCAAGTTTGATTGCATGTGCAGTCAGAAGACCGGAAGCATATCCCACAAAGATGAGTGGGCAACCAGGGGCCGTGGCACACGTTGATACCTGCAACAGAACGATGAATGCACATCACTGAAGAACAAATGTTTTTGAGAACAGAATAATAGTTTTAATAGCTTATGACGGCGTGCGTCAGAAACAGGGCCGACACGGAACACAAGAATAGACAAAAATACAGACGCAGCCGTAAGCTACCACGAATAGCATGCCCTGAGCATTTCATCACTTGTTTTCTAATATACCAGAGTTCTTGTACAAATGACTTTCTAACAATATCAAAAGTTTATAATATTTCTCTGGCACACTCTTCCTTTCCTTATGGGAATACTACCGAAATGATATGAGCTTTCAATTGCAATCTGTGCTTCGCGTAAATGTGCACATAACAAAATGTGTTCTTTAGAGAACATGCAGCTTAATAGCATGAAAACACAACAAAGGCCAAGAGCAGACACCGATAATCGTGATTGTCAGCGTACACTCTCGTCTATTGTTGCATTTCAGCGATGCCTTAGATCGTACAATATCAGCTAGCCCAAACTGCTGCCCTTCTAATCTACGAAAACGTCACTCAAGTAGCAATGAAGGCACTTTAAAAGCACATGATTCAAAAGTACAGGTAGACACCTACCATGTCTCCGGGGCATGGCGAAAGCAACGGCTGGGCCGGCTCGTCCTTCTGCAGTTTGAGTCGAACAAAGCCATCTGCGTGCTGCCACGACACAAGCGCCGTGCTCTGGATGTAAGTTTGTAGCGCAGCCTTCGGACCTGCTGAGCAGAAGGCGACAGGGCTGTTCATTAAAGTAAGCAGTGACACTCAAAGCACACCTGCTTTGTGTGATTAACTATAAATCAATTAAAATTATGGTACGCAATGCCTGAGGTATAAAACTGCTAAGCTCATAAATAACAACAGAGAAACATTACACCAAATGAAATAATTGCCTTCCACAAAATTGCATTAAAAAATATATGCAGATATAGTTACTTGAGTTACACCTTGTAGTGTCATCAGTGCAAACTTCTGCAGGTTGAATGATATTACACCGTTACTACGTCGCTCGTGTTACTCATAATCACATGAATTGAACAGACATATAGGCAAGGGAAAGTATAGAGGATGTTAGTAGTTGTTGGCTGTGTACCAATTGTGGCGTAGCTTGAAATGAATTGGATGCACAATCCCTTTTCCCACTAGTGAGAAAGGCTGATTTTTCCTCCACTTCAGGTCAATTTATGTCACAATAAGAATGCTTCTACAAACGACAACAATTAACATCCCTTATGCTTTCTTTTGCCAAACTGTCTTTTCAATTCATTTGGTTTTGCCTAATATATTAACAATGTTACGAATACATACTTATAACAAATTTTTGAACAGAATGAAGTCAATTTTGCATCAAGTGCGATTTTGCTATGTAGATGCTGTGGGGATCTGAGGCGCGCCCGCGACCATTTTCGCGGGCATTCCGCCACACGGCCACACCCTTTTGCTTTCCTGCTCTGTTAACGACGCGTGGCGATAGATGGCGCCACGTGCGGGCACAGCACATGGTAAGCGCGCGCCGAGCAGAGCGGTGCCTCCTTCTCCGTCGCCGGCGCCGGGTAAGCACGTGTTTTCCTTCGTCCGCGTCCCCTTTGGGAATCGCGGACTGTAGCCTGCTCGGGGTAGCCTTGGGCACCCGGCAGGCGTGTTTACTTGAGCGCTGGCTTCGGTAGCGTACGCTAAGCCCAGAGCGGTGCCTAGTGCTTGAAGTGGTCGTACCACAACGAGCCGCACTTGCGTTAGGCCTACACGTACGAAGTTTGCCCTAACACTCGCGACCAGACCCATTGGCCATCGTGAGAGTGTGCAGCATAGCCGCGAGGGACCTTTTCCCGACCGGCGTGTCAAAGCTCGCCATTGCCAGCTGCGACGTGCTCGCGGTTTTCCCCTTATTGTGAACGTCCGCGTGCGGGTGCCTTTGCTACCCGCGTCCCGGGAGCGAGCGTTGCACTGTTGTTCGGGGTGCCGCCAGAGGCAATAAAGTGTTGTGTACTTTTGCATTAGAACACTGTTTATTTGCCGCGCCGCGCTAAACGCCTTATTAGTTGAGCGCGCGCGGAGCGGTGCGCTACACGCGAGTAAACGCAGTAGCGGCCCTGTGGCTCGCTAAGCATGAACCCGCGGTGATCGTCCGCTGCAGTTAGTAGCGGGGTCCCGACAATGCGCAAGTGTAAAAAAACAAATAGCGCATCCCAACTTACCAGACGAGTTGCTGTAGGTGAGCAGCAGGCAGGAGTTTGCGGGAAGGCCCCAGACGTCGTTCGTGCGAAGCGACAGCAGGTGGCTCACGAGGGTCTGGTCCTTGTGGGTGCTGCGCCACAGCACCAGCCGTGCAGGTGGCTTGCTGGGGCTTCCCACGTAGCTGCCCCAGCGCAGCCCTCTTACCTCAGCCATGGCTGCCTGAACACCAAACAGCAGAAAGGCAGTGAAACTATCGCTCGGAAAATACTGACAAGTTTCGGTAAAGTTCATACCAGGATGGGACTGTGCTTAATTAAGCAAAGCACCAGTGCAGCCACACGTCAGTGCTAACGAGCACAGCTGCAGTCACACAGATGCATGACCTTACATCGCTTACTAGATTTTTCACTTACTAAGCGTGCCTTCTGTAGCATATTGTCATGTCGCGAGGCCATGGCGTTAACAAAAGAAGCAGCCGTGGTGACCAAGATGACACTCTTCATTTGACTGAAGTTGTAGCCGGGAAACGGAAAATCAACTACAAGCAATACACACTGAGTACTGACAGCGACAAACAGAGCGTCGGCCGTCGATAATCTGATCTGCAGCAAGGTGCGTCAGCATTAATACGTGTGGCATTGAACATTCAAGCATGATCACCGATAACCACATTTGTTCAAAGAATAAATTCCGATGTTGGCATTTGCATGCTCAAGTACAACAGATGATACTAAAATAATCTGCAATGCTCCCACACAAACTGACGTGGTCTGCACGTCAGTTTGTGTGGGAGCATTGCAGATTATAGCAGATTTTGCAGAAAAATAGCAAAATATACCCATTCAATAGGCTGGCAACATAAAACATAGAAAGAAAGGAGCATGCCTGGCATTATCAAAATTGTGGAAAGTCACTCTTGCATTTGCAGGTCACATGTGAAAGGGAGGTGGTTTTTCCAACTTTAGCCACGCACATCACATAGTAGTGGACTCCAGTAAACATCTCCATTGGCAGCCCAAACGTTACTGCAGACACACCTCAAAGCATCAGTGTACCTACAGGTTCGATAGCACGTGCAGCCGCTTCAGCAGCAGCGCATTCTGCAGAGTGTTGCCATGCTCTTGTGTGAACTACAATGTTTTGTGGGAAGCGATACGCTACATGCCATTACAGGGAAGTATGCTGCAAGTAGAAGACAGCTTCTGCTTGGACTCAGATGTCTGCAGCAATAGTCCATAACTTATTTGCATATATGAGCACAGATTCAATGTTTCCCACAATGCAGTAAAATCTCGGTAGAACGAACACCATTTTAAACTTTTCGAATTAATGAACTTTTAAAAAATCCCGGGCCCACTGCAAATAGTTTCAATGTAAAATTATTTCACTACTACATACTTCAGAATACTGAACTTTTGAGAATAACGAGCGCTAATTTAGTTCCACGTTATATTAACAACACACAACAACTCAGTACTAAGAACACATGTTCCGAAATCCGTCGCGACCACTGGAGCGGTACTTAAGCAGACGATACAGCGAACCAACGCCTTGCTTCTCGAAAGGCACGCGATGGTGTGAAGGGAAAAAAACAACAAAAAGACGACTTTCTATTTTTTTTTAAACGCCGACGCTGCAGGTTTACAAGCGCACAGGCGAGGGGCGAGAACAACACTGGAGGGCAAGGTCAGCGAGGCAGAGTGGGAGTTGCGGAGCAGGAAGCATGGGCGCGGAAAACCTGACACAGCGAGAGAGCAGAAAACGAAACACGAGAATTTTCTTTCTCAGCTCTGTCTTTTCTACAAAAGAGGCGGTGACAGCTGCAATGCGTCGGGTTTTTAGTTATCTTTCTCACTTCAACATGTGATCTAGAAGGAGGCCAAAGGGGTATAGGTGTTCTCTGAGGAGGCCTTGTCTCTTGTGTTCATCTTTTTGGTGATTACTTATCGTGTCCGCAAAGCAAGTCGGCATTCGCGCTGCGGTGCTACTACAATGAGTTCATCTCTGCTTGCTATGAAGAAGGGGAAGCAATTTTCGCTAAGGACAAAGTGGAGAATGTGAATGAGCTGGAGGCATTCGCTCTGCAAAATTTGTGCTGCACGCGTCAAAAAAAAAAAAAAAATCAGACTTTTTTAGGGAAACGTGCATTTTTTAATGTTCACTTGCGCATTTGTTTTTTGTCGTGAAAAACGAGTTGAAAGAACCACCGTTGTAGAGGTAAGTTGTTTTGGTCGGTAGAAAATAAGTATTTATGGTTAATTTCTGGGCTTTCACAACGACTGATCAATATAACGAAGAAATTGTCACAGTCCCCTGAAGTTCGTTATACCGAGATTGTATTGTACAGTGTATGTTTCTCATCTCACCATCATTGGAACAGCAATTAGATGAATACCACTTCAGGGCAGAAACCAAGCACAGCCACAGTTCACAGATACATGGAGGCGTGAGGTACCGTATTTACACGATTGTAAGACGACCCTTTTTTTCAAATTTGACAATCCAATGTTGGGGGGTCGTCTTAGAATCGAAATCGAACCATGTACCTTAGAATCGAAATCGAACCATGTATTGTCATCTCGAATAGTTTCCCGCTCAATCTAAAGCGCATAGTTTTCCGCGTGCTTATACAAAAGCTTTTCTTTTTTTAGCATCTACTGCGCGCATTACGAGTGCCTTTATGACGAGCGCACAGCTCTTGAGGGAGCACCGGTAATCGATGGAAGAGCCGCCGTAGGGGGGTATTGGTAGTTGACGGAAGAGCTCCTCTTTGTGATACAATTTTCTAAGCGGGCGCGTCGCCGCGTGCTCCTGTCGCTTGTGTCCACGACCGGCTCTCTCGAGTCACTTCTGTCTGACATGAGTGCCGTAGGCTCGAAGAACACTCGGCGCTCGAACACTCGGCACTCGGTGCTCGTCAGGAAGCCGCGAACTTACGCCAAGCGGGCATGTGAGGAGAGCCTCCCTGGCTACTGTGTGCGGGTGGGTCCTCTCCGCATGGGCGGCCGTCCCACGCGATGCCGTGGTCCGGTCGTTCGCGAAGTGTGGACTCACACTTGACGACGACGTGCTGTGGGACTGCAGCAGCAATGACGGCAGCAGTACCAGCGAGGACGACTCCAGCGACGATGAATAATCCTCCGCAACCACGTGAATAAATTTCCCTTGTGTAAAATGCGCGCGTTCTTTTTTTTTTTTTTTTGAGATGCGATTTTGGGGGGGTCGTCTTACATTCGAGTCGTCTTACAATCGTGTAAATACGGTACGTTGAATTATATGAAATGTGGGTAACATGGTACTACAACAACATTGATTGATCAATTGATTGATTGATTGGTTGGTTGATTGATTGATATGTGGGGTTTAACGTCCAAAACCACCATATGATTATGAGAGACGCCGTAGTGGAGGGCTACGAAAATTTCAACCACCTGGGGTTCTTTTACGTGCACCCTAATCATTCCATGAAACAAGGCCACATGCATAGGCTACCACTTCTAAGTAGTCCGATTGGCAACAACAGCCTCATCAGTGTCAACAACGCATACTTGCCTGTGTTGAAGGAGAGTTCACAGCAGTGCGCTGGTTATCAGCCAGGCTGAGTGTGACCAGCGGGTGCGGGTTGCTGAACAGCTGCTTGGGCATCTGGCCGTAGGTGCGAATCATGGTTTCCAGTGCCCTCTGTGACACCTCGTCATTGGCAACCGAGCTCACATCGACACCGTAGTACGTCTGTGTCGGGTGAAGCAACAGGAACAATGAGACGCAGAAAGAGAAAAAGAAGGTACAAATAAAGGGGGAAAGTTTAACGGAATTGTAACTTATAGTTCGCTATTCTAGACTAAGGGGAAAGGTGAAAAAGCAAAGATAGAGAAGCAAAGACAAGGCGGCATGCAAAAAAAAAAAGTGCATGTGAGAATGGGAGAATCGTAGTTTCTTCAACAAGGTTTTGAATACTTGAATACAAAGAGCTCAGAGAACAAATGTAAAGAGGAGCGTAAACTGTTACAAGAATATCTACTGCACTTCTTAGTATGAAGGCAGAGAAAGAGCGTTGACATTGTTATCTGCTTCAAACTTTTTTTAGTTGCAGTACACTTCAAATCCACAAAGTGAGATAAGAGATTTTGAGAACAAGTATACCTGAAGGCATCACACTATTTTGGCACCCTGAAAGCAAACGCAATGAACAACTCACAGCAGGATGGAACACATTGATGGCCTCCTCTGCGGCTTTTCCCGTCTGCTTGTAGCCAAAGACGAGGTCAATCCAGTGGCCCAAGTGCTCGGTCACATAATCAGACTCCAGGGCCTGCCGATGGATTAGGACAAAGAGGCGGGCGTCTCCGCGACACCAAGGTGGCAGTTGCACATCCGAGACAGGCTCGCCAGTTTGTCGCTTACCAAAGTTGAAACCTGCATTGAAGCGTCGAAATAGTTTTGCAAATGTACCTATTTAGCAAGATACCTTTAGGGTGAAGAACTAAAGGATAGCCTATGGTGTCCAAGGAATTGTTCCCCAACATACATAAAGTAGGAAGTACCACTCAAATGACGAAGCACATCTTGAAGCTAGGCCGTTAGTGCTGAAGAGGACATCGCAACATTGCATACTCTGGCTGAATTCAACGTCTGACATGTGCTGCCGTTATTAAAATAGATGCACACATGATGTCAGTAAATTGAAATTGCCACACACTGTAATGTAGCGTATTGTATTAAGCATCGGTAACTTGCACACTAGAGAGAACTTGTGTAAATTATGAGAATTATGTTCTTATAACAACTACATTATCTACAATAAGCATGCATTAGAATAAGTGCGAGCAACACCACAGTCGAGCTTGGCCCTTCTAGGCCATGGCCACCAAGCTAACACGGCTGGTGTTAGCCATGCATATAGCACTTTGTGCCAAAGAACATGTCTTCTTATCTGTCATCTATTTGTATTCTAACTCTCACCAAAGCTGTAGTTTTTCTATCTGTCAACACTTAGCTTATCAGTTACTTTTCCAGTGCTCATTGAAGTCTTGAAGCTTCCTCTCAGCTTTCTTCACTATTTTCATCTTCAGCCTTCTTCAGCTTTTTTTATATTGGCCAAACAATGGTTATCGAGAGACACAACGCAGAATCTCAAAAACATGCAGTCCACATATGAACACATGAACAACACATGAACTTACGAAATGCTTGCACAGAAAAGCCAGAGTCATCTCTATGCTCACCTTGCATGTTTACGAGGAACTCTGGCAAGAAGAAAAATTCGGGAATGAGTTCCTTGACGTCGGTTGTGGACTCACTGCTCGCCAGCCGCCATGTGGTGTGAACATCGTGGAACGTACGGTCGGGAAGGTCGAACTGCTGGTCTGCGCGAAAGGAGGAAAAGGATTCCACGGATGAATAGGGTACTGGTGTGAACGCATGTTACTGGAGCACATAGAGTACATTGCGGAGTCTCAAAATGAGAGCACTCTCTCGAAACACACGGACACAGCAGATGCAATAGAACCAAACAAGACATCATGTACATTTATTCAACTACTTTCACATCGGCAATATCATCAGCGGAATCAAATAAGTCACTAGTGACATGCTAAAACAACTTATACTATATTCCAATACATTCAATCAACATCACAACAAACACAGGGTAACGCAAAGGCATCGTCACCGATGCTTGACTCACCATGGGGGACCCATGGGACAGGACCTGCAGTTGGCATATTCCACGGGACCCTGTCAAACCCAAATGCGACCCATCCGCAAGACACATGTGCGCCACAAGGCGCAAGCGACTTTGCAGGGGGTGATAGCACCTTCAGCAACATGTACCCTCTTTTAATGCTATAGCCTTACCGACATTGGCTATACTGTGCAGAAATAAGCTTCAACTTGCACGCTGCCAGAACACACTTTTTGTCCACATATTGATTTCATTCTATGTATGCATGTGGCACTTCTGTGGCATTATACTGGTAGACCATATTGATGGCAACAGGTAATGGAGTTAAGAAAAAGCATAGGAAGCAGTTATCTGCAGCTTTAATTGCAGTAGTTGTGATTATGAGACCAAGAAAAGTGAATCAAAGAGGTACAAAATTAAGGAAACGACTTGCCACCAGTAAATACCGAACACACTAACCTTCGTGTAATGCTGAAATTCAGGAGCCAGAACAGCAAGCGTCAGTCTTGCTTCGCGAATAATTCTTGCTCCATGGCTTCAGTGTGCTGATTAAACAGATAAGCATTAGTCGTACTTGATGACACCAATGAAATATGTAGTCTCGTAGGTGAACAACATCTGAATGAAAGACGATCACCGTAACATAAAGGCAATGTTCTCAACGTTGCCTGAACGCTATGGAAACAATGTACGCTACTAGGCAAGAAGCAACCCACCACAACCAGGGACTCGATGAACAGCAAGCGCTGTTTTGCCTTTAGAATACAGTAGGCTCTTCGGTAAATGAAAATCTGTTAAATGGAACTGCTGCTTAAATGGAACAAGTGCTTCTGACAATATTGATTTTGTTCTTGTAATCTGCACACCTAGTCATCTCTCAGTAAACAGATCTACTTTTAAATGGAACACATTTGCCCAGTCCCTTCAGTTGTTTAATGAGAGTACACTGCTAATCTGTGCTCCACGGCTTCAGTGTGGTGAATCAGACCTAATAAGCCCTGGTCATCGTAGGCAACACCAACAGAACATGTAACCTGGTAGGTAAGGAACATCAAATGACAAGCGATGACCATAATAATCACACAATATTGTGTCAACGTTACATCAACAACCCATGCGTTTATACAAGAAACAACCGACCACTAGCAGGGACTAGATGAAACAGTGGAGCCTGTTTTACTTGTGTACTGTTTCACTTCCCAAATAACTGATGCTTCCAGCTTCAATGTGGTGATTTCAAGAGTAAGCCCAAGTCGTAGTAGGTTACACCAACAAAACGTGCATCCTGGTACGTGAGTAACGTTTGCGTGAAAGCCGATGGCCATAACGTCTAGGCAATGCTGCCTCAACGTCATAGCAGCCACATTGCGTGCTTTCAGACAAAAAAAAAAGAGGATGACCTTAATTTTCGATCTGGCGGTCCCATTCTGCCTATTTTCCACAGGGTGGGTGCTCTCCCTAGCGACTATAACTTCGTTCTGCGATGCCCAAGGCTGGAAGTGCGCTATTAGCTATTTAAACAGTAGGTACCTGGCGGTAATTCTCCACCTCCCGCAGCAGTGGGGGATGCTCAACTATTTCTATAAAGTTGTCCGATGGCCAGAGGCCATCGGACAACTTTATGAGGCTACTTTTCGAGATTAGTACCCAGAAATAACCAAGCGCCAGGTTGGTGTATCCCTCTACCCACTGGAAAAAACTGACAGGTTCCCGGTCGGTGCTCGGAATCAAACCCGGCATCTCCTGCATTGAAAGCGGATGCTTTAACCATGTAGCTGCGTGCAGTGGCTACATAGTACCATCAGTAGAGACAGCGTCCACTGTTCTGCCTCCTGTATCATTCGTGCTCCAAGGCTTCAGCGTGGTGACTAGGCAAATAAGCACTATTCGTACCTTGGTGATGCAAACAGAACATGTACCTTGGTAGGCAAGGAACATCTGGGTGAAAGGTGGCAGCCTGACCAGGAAATGAAGCACAGTGCCGCTGTTGCTGTAGTGTGAGCCGTAGTGGTACGGACCGAGCCACGGGTAGAACCGCTCTGACGGAGAAGCTGCCCGTTCCACCCGGAAGTTGTGACGGTAGTGCTCTTCACGCGCTGGGTCTTGAACTGCCATGGGACGTTCCAAGCACCTAGACGAGCAAAAAGACAGAGAGAAGTATAGCCAGTGCAGTTAGAACTTATAATTAACCATTACATGAAAATCAAGTATCGTTTAAATTTCCTAACTTTATCGCATTAGGCTACGTGATTCATATTGTAACGGGGAGTATTTAATAAGTTAACGCCGGTTGGGCTAACACTGCACACAGTGCACAAGGATGCAGGGCAACAGAGCAGGCCAGACACAGCCCCACAACAACATCGTCGTCTTCATTCCATCGGTGTCATTTCTGCACCCGTGCCTGAGGTACCTTTCTATACACTTGACAATATGAATAAATGCATTTACAAGTTATGGTGACCCCGCTACTAACTGCAGCGAATGATCACCGCAGATTCACGCTTAGCGAGCCACAGGGCCGCGACTCGGTCACTTACTCGCATGTAGCGCACCGCTCCGCGCGCGCTCAACTAATCAGGCGTTTAGCGTGGCGCGGCAAAACAGACAGTGTTTTAACACAAAACACACAACACTTTATTGCCCTTGGCGGCACCCCGAACAACAGTACAACGTCCGCTCCCGGGACGCGGGGAGCAAAGGCACCCGCACGCAGACGTTCACAATAAGGGGGGAAACCGCGAGCATGTCGCAGCTGGCAATGGCGAGCTTTGACACGCCGGTCGGGAAAAGGTCCCTCGCGGCTATGCTGCGCACTCTCACGATGGCCACTGGGCCTGGTCGCGAGTGTTAAGGCAAACCTCGTACGCGTAGGCCTACGGCAAGTGCGGCTCGGTGTGGTACGACCACTTAAGCACTAGACACCACTGTGGGCTTAGCGTACGGTACCGAAGCTAGCACTCAAGTAAACACGCCTGCTGAGGTGCCACAGGCCACCCCAGGCAGGCTACAGTCCGGCGATTCCCAAAGGGGACGTGGACGAAGGAAGACACATGTTTACCCGGCGCCGACCACGGAAAAGAGAGCGCTCCCTCGGCGCGCGCGTACCGCATGCCGTGCTCGCACGTGGCGCCATCTATCGCCACGCGCCATTATCAGAGCAGAAAGAGCAAAAGGGTGTGGCCATGCGGCAGAATGCCCGCGAAATGGTTACGGGCACGCCTCAGATCCCCACAAAGTACTGGCATGATACAGAACCTGGCCAGTATAAGTTTCAATGTAGCAGTCTTTAATTGTAGAAGTGCCAAGCTCTCGCATATTTCCATGTGCAGCACACGATCAGCAAGTCCTGTTGAATACTTCGACGCTCTTCGGAAAGTACTGCATTTTGGGCAAATTGGTGCATGATGAAATCGTAAGGTTATAGCGCAGCTTTCTTTGAGTGTGAAGAAAAATAAGCCAGTGAAGAAGGGAAATACTGATGACAGGATGAGCGCTAGACTTCGTACTTTTGTTTATTGCAGGACCCTACAGCACATTGTGTAGCTCACCTGGTTTACTGCGCACATTACAAAAACCTTAAGCGTGTGGCGCAGCACACGTGATAGAAAATGTAGCTTTAAGCAGATTGTTAAACTAACAATTCAAGATCAGTATGTTACTGCCCACACCCAAGAAAATCAAGCTCTTTCTCAGATAAGGTTACGAATGGCGTACTCTCACACAGCACCGCACATTTTGCAATAGAGTTCACCTCAATGATATCTCTTGTCAGCTGGTTCTGGCTGCGGCCCGAAATGATACATTGGTGAAACAATGGAGTGCATGCACACGTCTTACAATGTATAGTCAGAACACTACCAGAAGAAACTCGTTTTTACATTGTTACAGTGCTCGCGCAGGCGGTAATTGACACACCTACCAGTCTGTCATGTGTAAACTGTGTCGCACGACAGAGGCAACATTTGCACAACAACTAGAGAACAGTCAACAAACCTAGTCACACGCTTCTTTCTACTGGTCGAATGCGGCTTCTTAGAATTCGTAAGCTTGCATAGTGGACATAGTTCTGCTGGAGCCGACAACACTACGTGTATGTTTTCTCTCAGGGCTATCTTTTCCAAATGGTGCGAAATTTTGTGTACATACGGTATGACACCGGTTTTTCTGGCATCGGGCTCAGCATTGTCCTGTAGCCATACCCGCCTATGTGAACCATGCAACAAGCACACAGTCACTCAAACCTGCATTAACACTAGCTGGATAGCCTGTCATGAATAAGCGTCTGCTTAGTCCAGCAAAACTAGCAGCCATAGCGTGATGGCATGACTTCATCAAGATTTTTATTATGTGAGTGGCACACGTTTTAAACCAGGTGAGCCATATAATGTGCTGTGATGTCCTGCAAGGAACAAAAGTTGGAAGTATAGCGCTCATCCTTTCTTCTGCATTTCCTTCTTCACTGGCTTCTTTTTTTTTTTCATGCTCAAACAGAGCTGCGTTATAACCTTACGATTTCTATGCTCTTCTGGCTTATTTCAATATTCTTGATCAAGTGACATAGGTTGTTTGTCTTAATCTGCACTGAACTGTAACAATTACAACCTAAAGAAGAATCAAAATGAGGAAGCAACTTGTTAGTGAAGGGGATGAAATCCGCAACGTTGGCATTACACAGACTGCAAAAAGTGCAACCAACATCTCCCCACTTTACTAAGTAAAATGCTCCAGTCATCATGAAAGAATTATTACAGAAGTGGTGTCCAATAGAACCTACCGAAAGTTGGCTGAATCACTTAGGTCCAACACATCGTCGGCGTAATTTGAGAGCACGAACGGGAACACTGGGTACTGCATGAGGTCATTGAAAGAGCGACCGGCCAACTTGTTCAGCTGTGTCAGGTAGTCAAAGTTCCCCAGGCATCGCTCCTGCCAACGATGACTCAGCGATTCCAGCGACTCCGATGGATCTAGGTCCAGATGAGGGCACTGCCACAGTTGACGACAGAATTCGTTCCGATCCTAACAATAAAGAAAAAAAAGAGCAACAGTTGGCAGTCTAGAACCAGAAGTGTGAAGTTTGCATAATTTTGACAAATTCAGTAATCTCCAAAGATTTTTCAGTAATATATCAGCAAAAAAAATTTTCAGCCAGTAACACTTTATCAGCACATCTTTTATAACCACAAAACCAAAACCTTCAATCACAACAAATACTAATTCATTTGTACACTGTGCATTGGAGAACACTGAGACAAGATGACCAACTTTTGAAGAAGCTACAGCTTCGGATGCATGATTTCAAAAAACTGTAGAATGGTTGCTTCTGCCTAACCTTGTCCTAATTTGCTTCTAGAGCGCCTGCATCACAATGTTTCACTTGCGTCACGAGGATCAGCGCCTATCTATATTTTGTCCGCTATTATCATCACTGCTGTGATCATCCCATCACCTTATACATGCACAACTATGGCGCAAGAACTTCTCTCAACAGCATACAATTACGCCAGTCTGGCGTCAAATAACCTCTTCTTGTGTTCTGCACATTCTGTCGTTTCATTTTATTAGCCAATCCTCAGCCATTCTAGGGCCTGTTTCTATTCCTTTGCTATAGCCCAGTCACTCTGATGCAACACGGATTATCAGCTCACTGTGCTACATTTCCCACCACTTCATTTGAACTAGAGCATAGCCTACTATACTTCAACTATAATCTATGCTGATGCCTCTCAATCTCTCATTACCATACCTATTATTCACATGATAGGCAAGAAACCTCCCTAACAAGCTATGGAACTGCTGAACTACACGTGATGCCAATCAAACACGAGCTGCCCCGCAAAAGTTACCTGTGTCGTGTGGAAGGCTAGCAACGCAGTGACTCCGTTGCGCAGGAAGAGCTCAAGCGCGTTGTCGCGAAGCCGGAACCTTCGTAGGAGCACTTCCTGGACATCTTTATAAGGCCACACTTCGTGCCTGGCTTCAACTTCACCCAAGGAGCCCTGCAGAACAGGTATAAAAAAGGGGGGGGGGGGGCAGCAGCCAAAGAACACAGGATATGCCGAATCAACTCCACCGATGCCCACAAAGCATAGAGAAAAAGAAAAGCTATCAAGAAAAAAAACTATTATACAACCAGCTGCAGCACAAAGCTACAAGAAAATCCACATGATTTCCTTAGAAATAAGTTTTCCCAGTTCACAAATATATTTCCCCTGGGGTGCTTTACTGGACACTAAAATATCATAATGGTGGCATTCTAAGCCAATCACAGTTTTCCAATGGCTAAATTTGACATGGTTCAGAATAGCACCCCTGGTCCAGGAATGAATTTTTCATCACAGTGAAATCTCGATACAATAACTCTCAAGTGACGGCTAAAAATCATTTGTTGTTTTGAAAAGTCGTTATAGTGAAAGTATTAAAAATGTGTGCAAAAAACAAATGCAAACACATAAGTCGCCAACCTGTGTTGTGTATACAAAATACACTAAATATTATGAAACCAGTGCCCATTGTAGTGTACACGTTGTAGTGACAAGCATCCCGAAAGAGTACGGCCACTAGCGTGGTTCCGGTCTTAGCGAGCCGCAGAGCATGCGTTAACCGTCGCCAAGGCGAGAACACGATACTGCTCAAGGTCGCAACACTTTATTGTCTGTGGCAACACCACACGCAGTACAGCCCATTGCAAAGGCGCGGCGGGAAAGCTAATGGGATTATCCACACCACGGGCATAAAAGTACTACAAAGGGTGCCACGAGCACGTATCCCCGGTAAAGGTGATCCACGGAGACACCGGGACCAAGGCCCGGTTGCTCGAGCAAGGGCAAAGGCGCTAGCGTTGGCTTCGGAGGGAGATGGGTAGGCGTAGCCTGGCCATGCACTAGGACACCGTACCACCCTTCGGCTCAGTGTACGCAGAGGGGCAACAAAAGGTGAGCGTTCGCCTCGGGCGCGAGGCGCCATCAGCGAAGTCCGAGGAGCCCCGAGCGATGGGAGTCGACGGACGGAAAATATTGCGTGGCTCACCGTCAGCTGTCCCGGAGAGTATCTCACCCGCTCCCGACGCACGGCGCGAGAACCTCTCGGGAGACTCCGCGCGCGGCGCCACAGTCAACATTCGCTACCGGGTGAGGGGATTTAAACGTCTCTCCGCCCTGCCAGCGTGGCAGACAGCGGAGGAGGGGAGTCCTGTCGGGACATGAGAACGGCAGAAAAGGCGGCAAAGCCCGCGCAAAGGCAGCGGGACAGCCTCAATTTTCACAAGGTATCCCACAGGAGTATGACCACTAGCATGGGTTCGGCCTTAGTGAACAACAGGGCCACGGTTCACCATTGCCTTGAGTGAACTAACTTCACTGCACAAGTGCGCGTTCAACCAACCAATGGGCCAAGTCAACACCGACTAAATTCCAAGGCCGAAAGGCTGCCGCAGTGACGTCAGAGGTTGGAGGCCCAGTTACCCAACTGAGCATGCTCAGTAAGACTTTTTTTTCCACATCTTTTATTCGGCCCAATCAAGCCGCAGCAGCTGCGAGAGCGGGAGCGTTTGTTATCCTAAAACGCGAACGAAACACCGGCTTTCCGCAGCGTTCGCGGCGTAACTGGGCCTCCACCCTCTGACGTCACTGCGGCAGCCTTTCGGCCTTGGAATTTAGTCGGTGTTGGCCAAGCGCAGCGTGGCAAGTACATGATACTGCTCTCAAACAGTTCGCAAGACTTCAGTGCCTGTGGCAACACTAAGTACGCAGTACAGTACCGGCTGCAAAGGCGGCAGGAAAGCAAAGGAGGCTTATTCACGCCACGGGCAAACGTAAAACACAAAGGGTGCCGTGAGCGCATCTTCGCGGTCAAAAAAGCTCACGACAACACGCTGCTGATGGAAACGGTTCCTCACAACTATGCCGCATGCTCTCACGATTAGTGGCAACAGGGCCCGATCGCTCGAGCAAGGGAAACATCACTCACATTGGCTTCTATAGGTACGGCTCAGTGTAGCATGACCATGTGTGAAACACCGCACTGCTCTTCGGCCTAGCGTTTGGAAGTGGCAACGAAAGGCAAGTGTTCGCTGCGGGCCCAAGGCACCATAGGTGAACTCCATTTGAACGAGCCCCAAGAATAAAAGAGCCGACAGACAAGAAAAGAAAGATGTTCGCTGTCCAGACAGCTCCTGACTCGCACCGTACATGCGTAATGTCTTGTGAGACTCGGTTCGGTGCCACAGTCGACATCCCGTTTCGGGTGAGAGGTGAACGTCACTCCCGCTCTCCTATCACCGGTGAATCACGGAAAAGAGGAGTCATGTCAGGACATGTTGACGGCAGAAATAGGCAAAAAAGCCCACACAATGGCGGCAGGCTAACCTCTTTCCCCGCAACGTTTATTTGAAGGAGAGCGCGATCTGTCCTGATGTGAGCAGCTCGATTGCTGAAAGGTATGCATCCTTATTACGAACTGTGAAGCATCATTGTTAAATGGCAATTCTTCGCGTTGCTTTGCGCGCACTGTTTCAATGTCGTTTTCGCTCTCATCCCCGTTTCCTTTTCACGACAGATGGTATGGATCTTATCGGTCACCAGCTTGTGGTAAAATTTTTGAAAGCAGTATTATGTACTTGTTGCACTACGCTTGGCTCCTCTGCTGTTGGCATGTGCACATGCAGTGAAACCCTAGCTCACGAGGCGACGCCAAACGCGGCCCTGTGGCTCGCCTAGTTCGAACCAGCGCTAGTGGCTGCACTCCTGTGAGATACATGCACACTACAATACTCCATGCAGTCAGGTGCACTAGCTGATTTTAACCTTATCACCTCTGTAACAATCATTAACTTGATCAGCCTAATTTCAACCCAATCATCTCGCAAACAGCTCAACTGTTCATGAGCTGGCAAAAGTGAAAGACAGGTATTACAGTTAACATTCCATAAGCTATGCTGCATGCATCACTAAATACAAGAGTCTAAAGGTCCATCGTATGTTAGTAATAAACAAGTGAACCAAGTGAACAAGTTTCTTGAAGCTTACCTTGTACTTTCCGAGTTGGTCGGGCACAAACTGGAGACTGGTTTCGCCTGCGTCAAAGGAGATGCAAAGGAAATGTGCCTTAAGAAATTTCATTGCAGTAGTGACAATACAACAGACTTTCAGCTAGTGAAAATTTCTTATACTGCCTTTTATACGATTGATTTCATACTTGGATTCGGCACACCTGATTGTATCTCAGTAAATCAAACTCCTTAAAAAATGGAACACATTTTGCTGGTCCCGTCAGGTTCAATTTAACCAGAGTCTATCGTATAAAAAACATGGTCTCTTGCAGCTCACCAAGCAGAACTTCTCCCGGCATGTCCGACGAGGGGCAGATCTTGATGCACTTGCAAGTGTGACTGGAAAAGATTTATTCGGGTTACACAGAGAGAAAGAGAGAGAGAGATAGAGAGGAAAAGCAGGGAGGTTAACCAAGCTTGGCTCGGTTGGCTACCCTACCCTTGGGGTGGGGGAAAAGGAGAATAATAGAACGGAAAGAGACAGAAAAGAAGAGGAGTAAGAAAGAGAAGTCAGCAAAAAATTAAACACGTGAGTCTCAAACATGCGTCACACTCACGTGATCCTTTCGTTGATATACAGATGGTGCAAGAAGGTGGCCGACTCCATGCGCGAGGCACCTGTGTCGTAGAGGAAGTGCAGAGGCGGCAATGCCACCATCTGATCTGAAGGGAAAAAAAATATCCAAGCAAAAATTGTCAAAAGCCTAAACATCTGTCATGCCGATAAACTGGTTCGCCCTTTCAATGCATGCAAGTTGCAAAAGACGTTTCAGTAAGGCAACTCCTGAACAAACTTGCATAAAACTCAGGCATAAAAGACGAGCGTTATGAGCCAAAACAGCTACTATCTGTTTATGAGGCGTTCCATAGTGAAAAAAAAAAAAAACTGAATATTGACTTAATTGACCCCTTATAGTTTGTTGAAGTGCATAAAAATTTGACTACACAAGCACTCTTTGCACTACACTGTCATTAAAATACCACAGGTAACCAAACTTGCAAGCAACAGCACAACAGCACTGCTGCCAAACCATTTCGGCAGATGGTACCAAAGTGGGCATCACAGCAAAAATAAGCAAACAAATACCAAATGTGGGGAATACAAAATCGGTAAACGATTTCATCTGCCACAATCAATTAACTACAACACATCTTTTGAAGTAAATTACCAAAGTATAGACAGCAAGCAACCAAACTAAACCATCAATTTAAAAGCGTGCTGCAGCTATGCAGAGCATAGTCATTTCAATAAATGGTGGTGTTGAGACTAACTTTTTTGGTGTTCAGGAAGCATGAACTTCGCGTCAACTGGCAGGAAGGCTCGCCGCAGGCGTCGCCGGATCCGTGATGGACCTTCTGTGGGGTCCAGCTCCCAGGCAGTAGGAAAACTTTCCGAAAGATGCCACGGTGCCCTGTGCACAATGAGCGCATCAGAGATCAATCATATGCTGTCATATCCATCCTACACTGTCGAAGGTTGACTGAGGAGCAGTTGTAACATGCTCCCTTTTGTTCAAGTCGGGTCATAACCTTCAGCGGCACAACCAATAGGACAGCAAAAACAATACAGTATTTGTCCTTCTTTGCTGTCTTGTTCCCTACATCGTTCTCAATGTTATACTGTGCGATCAAATCATACAGTCACAATTCACAGCTCCGTTGCATACATAGATCTGTAGTAAAGGTACACTGTACTTTTCTATTACAACTTCCTACTGAATAGTTTGACTGCATAATTATAATGTTGAGTCAGAATGTATTTACCTTGCACAGTTATCTTGTGGGAATTGAGGCTAGCCCGGCGCCTTTGCGCGGGCTTTGCCGCCTTTTTTCCGTTCTCATGACGCGACATGACTCCCCTCTTCCATGGTCTGCCACGCTGGGAGAGCAAGGAGTGATGTTTAACCCCTCTCGCCCGGTAGTGAATGTCGACTGTGGCGCCGCGCGCGGCGTCTCCCGAGAGGTTTTGCGCGCGTGCGTCGGGAATGGGAGACCCTCTCCGGGGACGACATGGGGATAAGCACACTTTTCTTTTCAGTCCGTCGGCCCCCTTTGGGGTTGGTTCGGACTTCGCCAACAGCGCCTTGCACCCGCGGCGAACGCTTACTTTATGTCGCCCTCCTCCCAAACGCTAGGCTGAAGGGCGGTACGATGTCCTAGTGCGTGGCCAAGCTACGCCGACCCGTCTCCCTCTGAAGTCAACGCAAGCGCCTTTGGCCTCGCTCGAGCAGTAGGGCCTTGGTCTCGGTGTCTCCGTGAATCACTTTTACCACGGAGACGTGCTCGTGGCACCCTGTGTAGTACTTTTCGCACATAGCGTGGATAAGCCCATTTGCTTTCCCGCCGCGTCTTTGCAACAGGCTGTACTGCGTTTTAGTGTTGCCACAGACAATAAAGTGTTGTGACCTTGAGCTGTATCGTGTTCTCGCCACGGCGACGGTTAACGCCTGCCCTGTGGCTCACTAAGACCGAACCCACGCTAGTGGCCGTATTCCTTTGAAATACGTGTCACTACGCTGGCACCCAAAGTGGTATCAAAAGTTCTAAGCTTTTGACTGCTCTTAGCGAGTCAGTTCGCCTGCGCGATTCGGGCTCGTCGCAACATGCCTGCTTCGTGGCATGCCGCGTTGCACAAAGAGGCCATCGCCTCTTTCGACTGCACCCTTTGGCACCCGTCCGTGTCGTCACCTCCTTTTGTGGTGAATACACAACCAACGTGGTAGCTGATACGCTATCTTGTGCCCCCTGTTGTCTACCGGGAACCTGAATTTTAGTTTGACGGCCGCTCGCGGTGTCTTAGCACGTGCAAGTGTCGGGGGCGAAACAGCGGCGAAAAGGGGGAGCCCCCATGAGGACGACCTTGGCTGCTATCTAGGTAAGCGGCGCACTGCGTAGCGGCCGAGCTGGGGAACTTTCCGAAGACCACTGTGCCGAGAGCGAACCCGTGACGCCGTGCACACGGCAGTTGCTGCGGTCCTGAGTGAGCGCGATACCAAACTCCCCCCTTTGGGAGAACGGGAATCACTTTCGGCAGCGAAGAGCTACTGAAAGCTCAGCAAAGTGATCCGTTTCGAGTCTCAGAGGGACGGAGCGTCGTATACACTGCTAGCACTGCGGCGGGCGCTGATAACGACCATCTCGAAAAGACGCGGAGCGCCGTTACGCTGCCTGTTCAGCGGCGGGTGGGAATAGGGGGCTGAAACAGCGTGTGTTGCCGAGTCCTTGGCGGATTCATTTTGCTGGACCATGACGGGCTCCTGCTGAACTATATAGCCAACTGACAACGAGTCCATCAACCCGTTCAAGGTGGTTATGCCCAAAAGCCTGGGAGCCGCACTGTTGTGATCGTCTCACGACGAACCCATGGCTGGTCACTTGAGCGGCTCGAAAGTTTTTGCAAACCGAGCAACGTTGTGACCTGGCCGGGCACAAAGCGCGACTTTTATCGTTATTCCCTGCCTGCCACGTCTTACAAACGATTGAACCAAGGGTTGGCAAGCCGCCCGGTCCTATGAACCGATTGTCAGTGAGCGTCCATGGCGCGCACTTGCTGAAAGATACCTCTTTGGGAAAACTCAGCCGTGCCAACATCGCAGACCTGAAGCCCTTTGTCACGGCCTGACGAGCTCGCGCCAGCGCCCAGCGGCACTTCGCGCAAGCAACGGGTACACCTGGAGCGGCGGACCGCATTCGGACCCCGCACCGGTATAACCTGAGGAAGTGGTCACCTTTGTGATTTCGCGCCGGACGGTGGACTTTTCCGCAACCGAAGGCCCTCAGTTTACTGTCTAGCCTCAGTATAGGTTAGCTTCTTCACGGCCTTTTCTCGTAAAGAAGTCGACCCCGCCCAGTTTGCTGCCAGTGTTTTTTTTTTAAGTGTTCATGTGTATTTTATGTTTATTTTGTGTAATAGTGTGTTCATTTGTATTGGATGTTTTTATGTTCTTTTAGCCATATATTGAGTGTCATTTTGCTCTGTTTTACTTTTTTTCGTGTCTATTTCTTCTACCGCGAAGGGAGTTGTGACCTTGAGTATAGGTGCGTTCGCGTGGAGAGTGGAACGAAGGACGCTTTGCACTTTCGCCCGCCAGCCATCGGCAGTGTGTGCGTGCGTGCTTCTGTGCGTGTGTAAATGCGTGACACTTTAGTGCGTGCCCATGAAGAGTGCGCGTTGTGACTTCGCCCCATCGACGTGAACACTAGAGGTGCTCGGGGCCCTGACCCAGTGCCGTCAGCAGTCCGGCTATGCCCTGCTCTCAGTCGTTGCCGAGAAGCTCAGCTGCCTTTTCCACCATGGCTCCTGTACGAGACCAGCTCACAGCAGCTATATGCTGCCGACCAACACCAGGGCGCCTCGCAGCCAATTCCAGTTCGGCCTCCTTGATCCCCGGTTCGGCCTGGCTTTCCAGCGAAGTTCCCCCATCTCCATCAAAACAGTCTGGGCCTCCAAACCAGCACCAAGACGGCGTTCGTCGGAGTCGCGGCTGACAAAGAGCAGCAACGAGCCATCAAAGAGCCCCTTCCATGCCTCTGACCTCACACTCGGGCACCACAACCAGCGGACATTGTCATGCTCTTCCGCCCCTCCGTGCGGGGAACGCTATCCCTCCCAAGCACCACGAACACTAGTCCTACTTTCCTGTGCTCCCTTTCGCAATTATATTATAGTGTCATGAGTTTATTTTGTTATTAATGTTTTTTCTTTCATCATTTCTTTAGCAGCAGTAACAGGCCTGGACTGAGGTTAGCTGTCGCTCATTTTAACTGCATGGGTGACGTTCGGCTGCCTTTTGCAGACCGGTAAAGGGCAAATTTAGGAAAGGGGGTGTGGGAATTGAGCCTAGCCCGCCACCTTTGCGCGGGCTTTGCCACCTTTTCTCCGTTCTCATGTCCCGACTTGACTCCCCTCCTCCATGGTCTGCCGCGCTGGGAGAGCAAGGAGTGACGTTTAACCCCTCTCGCCCGGTAGCGGATGTCGACTGTGGCGCCGCGCGCGGCGTCTCCCGAGAGGTTTTGCGCTTGTGCGTCGGGAGTGGGAGAGACCTCTCCGGGGACGACATGGGGGTAAGCAAGCTTTTTTTTTTCCGTCTGTCGGCCCCCCTTTGGGGCTCGTTCGAACTTCACCAACAGCGCCTTGCGCCCGCGGCGAATGCTTACTTTATGTCGCCTTCCTCCCAAATGATAGGCCGAAGTGCGGTACGGTGCCCTAGTGCATGGCCGAGCTACGCCGGCCCGTCTTCCTCCGAAGCCACTTTGCCCTCGCTCAAGCAACCGGGCCTTGGTCCCGGTGTCTTCATGAATCACTTTTACCACGGAGACGTGCTCATGGCACCCTGTGTAGTACTTTTCACCCGTGGCATGGATAAGCCCATTTGCTTTCCCGCCGCGCTTTTGGAACGGGCTGTACTGCGCTTTGGGGTTGCCACAGACAATAAAGTGTTGCGACCTTGAGCAGTATCAAGTTCACACCACGGCGACGGTTAACGCCTGCCCTGCGGCGCCCTGAGGCCAGACCCACGCTAGTGGCCGTGCTCCTTCAGGATACGTGTCACTACAATCTTGGATATCTCTAATGGCTTGGTTGCTCACCCAAAAGACACTAATTCGATCCCAATTAAGGCAGGCACATTTCAATGGAGGAAAAATGCTGGAGCCTCATGTTCTTAGATTGAAGTGCATGGTAAAAAACCCCAGGTGGTCGATATTTCTAGAGCCCTCCACTACAGTGTGCCTGTTACTGATGTTGTGCCAGATATTATTATTATTATTATTATTATTATTATTATTATTATTATTATTACTATTACTGGGTGATTCTAAACTCCCTCTGCAGTACTCTTTAACAGTTCTACACTGTACAGTTAGGAAGTCTCGGAAAAATTCGTTATAAAGAGGATTTCGTTATATGCAGGTTCGATACGAAAATTCGGGAAATAAACGCGGAAAATAAACAAGAAGGATACTGAAGGACAGCTAACCAAGAACACTTATTTTACAGTAAAAGAAATCTGTGTTGTTATTGCAATAGCAATTACATGGACACACTCGGCGGGTTTTTTCCGACGCCGCCATGTTCCGTAACAAGTCCAAATCAGCTAATCGCAAAAGCTACCAGCCTACGAACTCGCGGCGCGCAGCAAGAGGGCAAAGCGGTTGACCAGTCGACCTCCGAAGAGCCGTCGTCACCGTGGTCTCGGAGAGTTTCCATGAACGCCTCATCTGACATCCCCTCGGTGAGGTTGACACGGTTGTCCGAAGTTGAGAGAAAAGTCAGTTTCGCCACAAGGGCGAAGCAATTAATGACTGCAATAGCAACAACTTTGAATGTAATGCTAAGAATGGCAAGCAGATCAAAACGTGCCACGCTCTACTCATGCACAAATGATGCACAAAAACAATTCACAGCACAAGAACAAACTAACAATGTTTACCCCTCGATGCTTAATGCGCTATTTAAACAAAAACGAGGCACGAAACCTAATCACAGGTACAGATATGAGTGCAAACTACCAAGTGCCCCAGTTGCTACTTCGCTGTTTTTGAAAAGCGCACTCTTTTCGCAAACAGCGCCTATCCAGCGAAACAAGTAATCTTGGTGTGCCCGGCAACATAGAGTTTCGCAAAATTAACTAGAGGGCACTCTGGTGCTGCGATCGTTCAGCGACCATGGGAATGATGGGTAGTACACACATTTGCCTAGTCTTCGTACTTGCGAGCGGCAAATCGTACTTGCGGCTTCGTTTATTGCTGTGTTTCAGGTTTGTTTTGAAAAAAAAAAACAAACCCTTTTGAACTTAGGGACTTGATTCGAAATAGTAAGCTTATGAATAAGGTTGTGAAGCGCAAACGGTGAAAATTTTCTAATTTATGTTTTTGTGAAAAAACAGCTCCAAACTACACGAACACATACGGAGCCAGAAGCAGGCCAGAAGTACGAAAATTAGACAAATGTGTGTACTACCCATCATTCCCATGCTCGTTGAAGTGCCGTGCGTTGCAGCTCCCATAGACACTAGCGCCAGAGTTCCCTCTAGTTAGTATTGTGGGAAATTCTATGCCCGGCAACTAAACGCAATCGTTACGGTCAAAATTAAAGGCGCTATTTTCCCCACTGAAGGATAAGCGGGCGTGCACAGTCATCTACCCCTTCCCGTCTATTCACAGGGCAAAGTACGGATTGGAGATGAGCGCACGTCGGCACATTGTGACAAGCTGAGTGCTGAGCGCGGGCGGCTTTTTTTTTCCCTTTCTTTCTTGAGTTTTCATATTGAATACGTACATATATGGTGAATGACAGCTGCAGCGGCGACGGCAATAAACCAACCGAGACTCTCCGCATAAATACTATGGCAATAAAAAAAAAGCAAAGGTGAACGTTGTCAGGGGCCACACTATGCACACGCAGTGAAACTATGCACGTGCATTCGGTGTCCAAAACGAAGAGCGAACGACACGGACACAGACGCGGATACCGCGGAAAACTGCTTTGTAAAGCACCCTCCATATGTGACACTAAACGTGGCACTGCCAACGCACAAAAGTAGTTTTTTTTCTTTCTTTTTTTTATTTTGGTTTGGAGTGGGGAGGCGGGGCACATTCGCGCTCGCGGCGGCAAGAACGGCAGCAAAGCCAGCTCGTAGGGTGCAAGCCCGCCCGCCCGCCTCCCGCTCTCCCACGCACCATAACGAGCGCTTGCTCTCACCTGGTGCGGCTGTGTACGTCGCGCCGCTTCGCTTTTTTTTGGCAGCGGGACAGCCACGGAAGATGCATGCTCGTAACAAAATGAGGAGCGAAATTCCTAGATTGTCCATGGGGAAATTTCGTTATATCAAGGTTGTCTCCCACTGTTACTTTGTTACATAGAGGTCGTAAATATGTGTGCTTCTATGGAGCAACAGCAGGGAATAGAAAAACTTCATGATATCGAGAAATTCGTTGTATGGAGGTTCGTTATAAGCAGGTTTAACTGTATTCCTACTGCATAGATGTTCTGTGTAGTTATGGGGCAACGATCTGTATGGTGCAGTTATCCGATGCAACAAATATGAATAGACAGACATCTGAACCAGTGTGCACACAGCACATGAACGCACCTTTCGTGCGTGAGCTGTGCTGCCAGGCGTGACCAAGTCTGTTTGAGCACCATGTCTCGACCCGACCTTGCCTTGGCTTCGTGTAGTACCTCCTTGCGAAGTGCATGAAGCAGTTCTGCGACTGAGCGGGTCACCTTGGCCCCTTCGGCAACCACCTGCGATGCCTTGGACTCGAGTTTCCTCAGTCGACTATTCTTGCTGCGACGTAGAAAAGCGACAGGCATTCAACTCGCATTACAGAGGGAGATTCGGCTGCTCAAAGATCTGTTCTGACTTGTTTTGCAGCATTAAAATAATTATCTATTAGGTGTGTACGAATATTCGAGTGCTTCAAATGGATATTACGGCATTGAATTTGCTTCATCAAGACAGACAGACAGACAGACAGAAAAATTTATTAAGGTCCTGAGAAACCCCACAGCTCAAAATGACAAAGCAGCAGGCCGCTCCCCTGTCAGGATGGGTAGGCTGAGCCACATTACCACACTGCGGGCCCTCTAGACAGCCCTGAGTTGATGTACTTAATTTTTCAATTTACAGATATTAGAAGGGTTCTGCCCTTTCTCTAGAATAATCTGCTGTAACAATAAAGAGTAACTTGTGCCTATGTACAACAAATGAAACCAACAGACATTCAAAGCAAAGGAAAGCATGAGGTACATTATTTTTTGTCTTCATTATGTGAACAGCTATGGTTTTGATTTGAATTAAGACAAAAAACTTTCTGTCAGTAAAATCTAGATTAATAAACACAACAAAAATTGTGGGATCAGATCCCATAGAGGGAAGGGGCAGTTATTCATCCACTCTTGACTTTAGGTCATTACACTATAACTTAAACAAAATAACAAATAACGTCTCTTATGCTTTCGTTTGCTTGACTGTCTGTATGTCTAATTAGTTGTGTCTAACGAAGATAGGAGCCCCTCAAGTGATTCTCATCTTTATACTCTGTACCTAAGCAGAATCCCAACCAGAATGAGATCATGGTTGCTGCGTTCAGCTGAATCGCTATAACTGCTGCTTGTTTCTTGCCACCCAATTTCAATAAACCTCATACTGCTTAGGCACAGGCCCTTCATTTTCACTACATAGCAAGAATCTTTTGTGAACGCAAGAAAACAAGCTCCATGCTACCTCACATGGGAATAGTAGGCAATAGTCCTAAAATATCTCACCACTCCTAAGCATACCTTTCAAGCAGTGTCAATGCCAGTTCTTTACAATATCCATGAAAACAAGTCGCCATCAATCAACTCAACTGCAAGAGGATTACAAGCTGCGCAACACAAACTGGCAATAGAGAGCGTTCCACATTCGCCGTAGTGGCTACGAGTGACAATGGCTAGTACTACCAGGCTTGCATGCGCAGCATTATCCAATAAAGTCAACAGCCCGACAACCACCACTGTAGCTCAAATGGTAGAGCATCAGAAGCATTATCCGAAGGTTGCAGCTTCGGTCACTGCCAGGGGCAAGTTTTCTCTCCTTCCGTTGTAATTTCTGAACATTTAGTATACTGTAATTACTACAATACAGTTAAGAAACTACAAATAACCTCCCACATACCTTCCTTGGCCTCATTGTCTGGTAGCTTTTATTGAGGTTGCATGTAATACTAGAAAAAAAAGCAAGCCCTCAAGTTCCCCTTATTTCATTCAAGCCTACATCAAGTTCGTTCAAATCGAGACCCATTTCCTTTACCGTTCGGGGCCGAGAGCAGTCTGTGACAGCCAGGCCTCCCGCTGGGCCGTCCACTGGTTCAACCAGCGTTCTTTGATCTGCTTCTCGTCGGTCTGAACTTCATGCCTCGGATTTCTCGGCAGGACACTGGGCAGCTCCTGAGCCAGCACGGCCACCAGCGACACGACCGCACTGCTAACGTTAGCGCCGAAACGAGCTGCCGATGCAAGTAGCATCTCTTCAGCAAAGGTCCTCACTTGCAGGCGAATCTGAAACACGCGAATCGGCCACTATGAAGTGATGCCGTGAAAAATGATGAGTAGTACAAGGAACAGAGTCGAAAAAAAAAAAGAAAAGACGGGAGACGACACTTCTTTCTTTGACTGCCATCTGAGCCCTGTATTTGTGGGTTACATAACACAACCCAGCTCAGCCATCCGTTTTAGGTGTGCTGTGTGTCAAAGTTCACAGATCAAGTCAATTTTAGATCGACTAGGTTAAACACAGGGTGAACTTGCGTACATCGCTCGACGATCCCAGTGTGGCCTTGAGAGCTTGCCTGTGTTGCTCGCAGGATATGAGGACCTCCGCCACGTGGACGCGCAGTGTGGGGTGCTGGCCAGGAGCAAGAAGGTTGACACAAAGCCTTGAGAGCTGTCGCAAGAGATACAGCGGGGCCATTAATCAGTATCAACTACCAATGCTGATTGATTGATTAATATATATATGGTGTTTAACGTCCCAAAACCACGTTATGATTATGAGAGACGCCGTAGTGGAGGGCTCCGGAAATTTAGACCACCTGGGGTTATTTAACGTGCACACAAATCTGAGCACACGGGCCTACAACATTTCCGCCTTTGTCAGAAATGCAGCCGCCGAAGCCGGGATTAGATCCCGCGACCTGTGGGTCAGCAGCCGAGTACCTTAGCCACTAGACCACCGCGGCGGGGCTATCAACTACCAATGCGAGAAGCTACAAAAGAAGAGGTGCATGTGGTAAATGTGACAGTAACAATTGTCCCAACTACTTCACAATTGTATCACTCCCTAGGTCATTGCAGTCGATGACTGTACAGGTCACTGGCACACTCACTCTCATTACATTACTATGGAAACTATGTTGGCTGTACAAGCTGGCATTAATGATAGCAAAAGTGTGCAATGCCTTCAATCATATAACTGAATTTTCGAAATTTCCACCACGTAATATCGATACTAACAATTCAAACTAGCATCACAAACTGCTTAGTTTTCAAGTTAACAGCACAAAAAGTTAGAAAATAATGCCCTCTGAAAAACATTTGAAACTTACCTCCATTGATTAATTGATTTGTTGGGTTTAATGTCTCAAAACCACCATATGGAAAACTTACCCTCATGTTCGAAAATGCTCCTTGACTTGAACGTGATTTGTCACCATCTTCAATGCAACACAAATGCATCTGGAACACACTGTCTTTAGGCAGTGCCAAGGCAGCACAAAGGTGTTTTGAACCCGCTGCATTGAAGGCGGTGGCAAGTGAAGTTCAAGACAAAGAGTGTTTCTGAATACGGGGATCACCATCTTAATGAAGCCAAGTGCATTTCGATAATGATGCCGCTGCACTAACAGTTTAAAAAATAATGATACCTCATTCTTGATGTACGTCTGTGGAGTGAAGGTGAGTAAATACAGTGGGAGATATGAAACTGGCACAAACACACTAGAATGAGTTAAGCTCACCGACAAGTATAGTTAAAGATTAGTAGTTGATCTCAACAACAAAATAACCGTAATGATGCCTTTAAGGATCTCAGAATCGGAGAAGATGGAAACCCACCTGAGGCTGGAAAACTTGTTTGAGAGATGATAGCAGCCTCTCGTGAGAGGAAAGCTTGCGTTTTGATTTCTGAAAGAGCAAATCAATGGTGGCTTACTTGTAGAGCAACTACATTCCCGGCCTTGAGATAAAAACCAGAAACATGAGCAAAATAAACAAACAAAAAAGAACATGCAGTGAGAAGTTCATAATTCACACATCCATCTTTGGCGTATATCAAAATTTTTGAATGTTGCAACAATTATTAAGAATTAGCTGTACATTCGCGACTTTTACTTGCCTGAACACAATGCGGTCAAGAACACCTACAAAACCATAATGACTAAAGCTTAACATTTTCATATTTGTACATTATTTTTACCACTCCTATGTTTAAAAATTGTACAATTTCTTCTCTTCGTTGGGATAATATTATCAACACCTATATATCATTATGACAACTTTTCAGCATCAATCAGTTCTTGGCACACATATTTCTGTTTTATTTTTCATCTAATTTAACTTTTACACATTCTCTAACATACAGCCTACCTAACATAATCCATATCGAAATCTATGGGAAAATTATATTGCATATCACTTGACAGCTTTGAACATAACCAGATACCTTTACTGACACAGTTCCATTCTCCAGAATGATATCGAATATACAATCGGCATCAAGATAGCCTTGGACAGTTTACTTTTATGTTAATTTGGATCAGTAGAGTGACTGCAATATTAGGCTCATGACAAAATGGCAGAACATACAAGTAATCCATACGGTACTTATAGCTGACATATATTATTAAAATATGGCTCTCTGAGACAATAGATTGCACGATCAAGTCATAAGCACATACTAATGGTTGACACAAATCCATGTGCCTCCATGTGAACACATGTGAATTATGTGATGTCTTAAATGTCTTTATTACCCTCCCTCCCTCTTTCCTTACCTTTACAAAAAAAAATCTGAATGAACAAGTTTTATCCTAATATGTAATCAAAGCAGCGAATACAAAAGAGCATTGAAAACGTTAAAGTGTAACAGACACAAAAAATTGCCCGCAGCTTCCCTCGGGGGAACACTGAGGAGGATGCGGACCATATAATTGGTTAACGGGGTGTTAAAGTGCGACTTACTTGGGTCGATGGCTAAATTGGTTAACGTGGTTGTGAAATGGGGTGTTAAATTGCGACTTACTTGGGTCGATGGCTAAATTGGTTAACGTGGTTGTAGGAGGGGGTGTTAAATGAGTGAACACGTACACACGTATGCGAAAGGGCGGCGCTGGTCGAAGGGACGTCGATCATTGTGTTTGTGGATTCGTTGGAATTCATTTCACCGCGACCTTGGACGTCGACGCACCGTACAAACCAACCGACGAGCGGCAACTGAGCGAGCGAGCGCCGACCTTGAGTATATATACAGCACGACGGCGCATGCACTGTCAGCTGTTGAATGTTCTCGAAGCGCGACGCCACATGCGCGTCCACTGGAGAATCAGGAGAATTGTAGATGTCGAACGCGGTGTGTAGAGGAGGAAGGGTGCACAGATGGTGGAGGAGTGAAGCGCGCGCGGTGTGTAGAGGAGGAAGGGATGCACAGATGGTGGAAGAGTGGGCGACGGCGCGACGGCGCATGCGCGCGCGTCGGCTGTCGAATGTTTGAGAAGCGGTGCGGACGGCGCACTACAAGGCGCGAGTATAAGATGCTCCGCATCTAAAATGCTCAGACGGAGTGCCCACTACTTACTTTGCTGAGGTGACTGAGGGCAGTACCAGCAACTGCCTTCTTCAGCAGCACCGACACCAGTGAAAGCTCGGTTGGTGGTCTCTCGCAAGACAACTCTGCAAAACACCAAACGTGCACCGTGTGCCAAGCGTAACACACCTGAACCAAAAGGCTAACCTCACAAGATACAGCAAGCAGTATCAAATAACTCGACCACCATGATCTCAAATTCATTCATGCACCATTCTGCAACCCGTGCACTATCACTCACAAGTGGATCCAGTCTGCAGAGGTCATACTCGGGCCACCAAAAAAACACAACACTTCCCTGCATTTCAAAATTCTTTTTTTTTTTTAAAGGCAGCTGCAACTGAATTTAGCATGACAAAAAAAGGCAATATTAATTTAGTGCATGTTGACTTTTCGCAATTTTTAGAAAGCTTGAATGAAGCAAGTGCATCTGCCTGAAGATAAAAATAAAGATGTGACTTGCAATGTGTTGTGTTGAACGCCAAAGCACATAATGCTGTAGCTTTTGATATACATGAATGTCTGAGCACAAGTGTGCGTAAATGCAATAATTTAACACCTTCTCACTAGTTTATCCTCACATATCACATCAGAAACTTAGCTCCGATTTCCTCTACTGAATCATTCCTCTCCCCTCCCCCATCACTTTCCAGCAATTTGTAAAATATTTATCCATGAAGATCATTTTTATTTACTTACTTATGTACTTTAACAATACCATCAACCCTATTGCGAGTATTCTTACAGAGACAAAAAGTAAGTAACAATTAATAATGAGCATTATTTGTAAACACTGAATACAGCAAAATGAAATGACCCACTCATATGTGCCGAATACATTCGAACGAAGCAGTACACTCATACAGGTGATGATACGGAGCTCGTTAGACTTTGGACTTATAATTATGTTCTGCAACAGACATCGCTACGTTTTTCCATATTTCAATTATGTGGGAGAAAAAGTTTACCTGTTAAACAGAAAACATTTAAAATTTGGAAAAAAAAAAAAAGAAAAAACCGCACACCTTGATATATGATGAAGTCGCAGGCAAGAGCAAACCATGCCCCCAGCTCTCGTGACAGAGTCGACATGGAGGGCGTTGAGTGTTCATGCGATGACCCGTTCGCCTCGGTGTAGTTCACGCGTCGACCACCGTGGTGAACGTCTGGTGACAGTGGTGCCACATCTGGTGCCATTGGTGTCGGTAGGGAAGCGAATGCCTCCAGAAGTGACGGTGACGACTGGCTTCTCTTTTCTGTAACAGACGTGTTTTGTTTTCTCATCAGTGCTCGTCGAACAGTGCACAGTTCAACCGTCTCAGGGCTGCGCTATTCCTTTTGAAACGTGAAGATTTATTGGTCTAGAACTTAGCAATAAGTGCAAGATAAATCGAGGATGCCAACACAATTACATTGGCAGGAAGATAGAGTGCACATTGACTCATCGAACACTCCCTTTATTCCTAACTGCTGCTACCCTTGCCCATGTTCATGATGATGATGATTACGGGACCAACTGTGGTGCCATATCTTGCCCTTGCGATGGCAACCTCTGCCACACAGTCCTCGCAACATATATGCATTAAGCTTGTACCTAGGTTGCACAGTAGCTTGTAAAGAACAACTTAGGAGGAGGTTGCAGATAAATTTTGCCCACCTCCGGTTCTTTAACGTTCTCTCATAGCATGGTGAGTAACCTTGTCTTCTACCCTCATTTATATCGAACCCACAACCTATTGTGCAGCACCAGATGTTGCAATCACTAAGATATTGCAACAGGTACAAAGCTCTGCCATAGAATGTAACCACACTCACCGTCAGTGCAGAAACTTTCAATGTGTTCCAGGGCTGATAGGTACAACTTCGCTTGGCATTCCCTGAACAATGAAACAACCTTGCAAGTCTCACCTGCACAGCAGAAACATGTCGTTAATCACAACATGCGGTAGAACAAAAGTGTGGCAGAGCATTTGAAATCGCTGAACAAGGAACATGGCTGGAGCCCTTGGTCAACGATTTTCATTCACATTCCCTGAACATTGGTCTGGTCTGGGCAGTAGAAATTAACATTAGTTAGCGTCCATAACACAAGCTGTCCAGCATAATCAACAATACGAAATTCAGAGGTTTAAGCTGCCTGCCGTTCTTAAATCTATGTAACTAAGTACACACAATTAATGATTATTACAGAAGGCTCATTTGTACAATCTGATATATGATATGAAATGAGGTATCAACTCCTAGATATTGTGATCAGTGGATTAGAATGACGAGGTAGCAGGTCTTGTACTTCATTACAATTTGCACCTGCTAATTTGAAATGTCACACATATCGTTAGCAAAAACTTTTGAAAATGAACAGTTTCTTAGTCCGAACAAATAATATTTCTAGAACTAAGGTTTCATATTGGGATGCATTACTCATCTCATTGAACAAAACTGCTAGTATGAAGTAGCGCAGGGAAGTATCAAGTAGCATTAAGTAGCAGGCCCAGTCTTTGCTAGTGAAAAATTTTCTTTTCGTCCACATTACTTTCTTAACAATTATATCATAATAGCTACAAATAACATCCTATATACTTTCCTTGGCTTGTTTTCTTGTATTTAGCACTGTGCCTAACAAAGAAAAATGAGCCCATGAACTCTGTCTTGTTAATTAAGAAGCATTGAATGGCATACAGAGAGATGTATGTGACAGCGTGTTGTCAATTGTAATTTATGCACCTGCATTCGCTTCAAAAAAGTAAATACGAAGCTCACATACCAACAAGAATGCACCTCCACCATATTAAACCCCTGGCTTACCTCTAACAGAAAGACAGCAAAGTGTCGATAGAGAAACAAATGTTAAGGATTACACACTAACAAAAATGCATGAAGTTGTTTATTTAAATGAGGTATAACATAACATAACCTGTATTTCATAAATTGGCTATGTTAAAAAAAAGCTACATTTAAAGCAAAAATCTTGGACTCTGGAGCCGGCTTTGTTAGTAATGGATGCTAAGCATGCTTAGCAAGCTGACCTTGCACGGAAGAAAAAAAAAAACATTCAACATCTTAATTGTGAAAGTAAACGATTATACGTCAACCCCTCACCACAGCGTGTGTTGTGTGCCTCGGAGAGCCGCGCAAAGAGACTGCACAGCGAGTGGAAACACTCCATCGAGATCTTCCCGCTTTGCTCCATTGAAAGCCTGTAGCAAAAGAACATACAAAGCAGTTACAGGCCTCCTCTCCCTCCACACAACTGCCAAGAAATGCACTTTCAGGATGACCGACAGTTGGGCATGTTAGCGCTTGTCCTGTGTCCTTTCTGAGTGTTCGTACTCACTGGCGCTTCTTTCATCACAAAGAAGTGCCCCTGCCATTTTGTACAAAAGACGCGCAAGCAATGGTTTCTTTTTTTTTATATATAAAAACAAGAAGAATTTCCTTTCCTGGACAAGAAATCAGGGCCTACATGCATTAGAGTGTACCACGAATTCGTAGAAAAGAGGTGCAGGTTTCATTCAGGCAGTACATATTGTTACTTCTGGGATGTAAGGAAAACAAAAAAGCCTTCCAATTTCCCTTTTTGTTTGTCTTGTATCATACAAGACTAGCTACACCTGCAAGTCTACATTTAGACTTGGAAAAGTTTTCTGCACTACAAACCTTCCTTACTCGACTAAACTGCAGTCAATAAAAAAAATCACCAATGAAGCCACTACACCACCAGTAATTATTCTGTTGAATTACTGCATCACCAGCTAAGATTTCATTTAAGTACAGTCATTAAACAAGGTGTCGCATAAACATTTCACAAGCATCTTCATGTTACTATAACAATGTGCCCGAGAGGTTGATGCAACGAAAAGTATGCTTGTCCCAAGTCCTCTATACCATTCGCACCCTATGTGCTATGCTTATTTATAAAATAATTGTAAAATAACGAGCTTTGCTTGATTTTTGTCAGTTACTCGTCAATACCTAATACTTACCTTGATGTTGCCAGAGAAGCGCTTCTGATCACAGCCAGCACCAGGTCAACAAAACCTTCTCCATGTCCCGTACTTGGGCTGCCAAACGTTTGCAGAACGCAAGAAATACATGAAGGAAGATTCTCCTACGTGCAATGGCCACAGAAAACACCTCAAGAAGAATAAATGTTAAAATCGTTATTCAAGAATGCCATTCATTTCAGAAGTACTAAAGATACAGCCAGCTGTAACAGCCAAGCCATTACCTCATTAAGGGGAGACGCGGGTCGAAAAGTCGCGTTTTTTTTCCAAATTTCACCTTTTCTGTTTTTTGTTGCTTTATCATCTTTATACATTATATTTTGACATCTGAAAATATTACAGCGAAATAAGCATCAGAAGTCAGTGAAAAACGCGTCTGAGTGAGCGGCAGTGACGCGCGGCATCACGAAATTTACACAAAACGGGCTGCTGTTCGCGTGCTCGCGGGGCCGCGAAGAGAGCTGTCCGCCATATTGCGGCCGCTGGCTCGTGTAGAGTTGTCCTTACTCTCCACGATCCCGGTTCTTGAAGTCTCGTACGTTCACGAAAAATCTAAAAAAAAAAGCAACAAAAACAGTCTTTTCCCGCCGTTTCAAACCGCGCGCCACTAACGCAGGGCCGCCATTGGCTGACAGCACCCGTGTTTTCTTGCCGTAGTTCGCTTCACTGTTTTCCGGAGTTATTTTTCGCTGTTTTCGTGCGATGGCAAGCCCGAAAAAGGCCGTTGCCGACCATCGGAAATACAGAAGTAAGAACAAGTTCAGAGGGAAGCGGCGGAGGACGTACAAGAAAGCCACCGCCAACGAAAATGTCCGCGACGGGCCAGCGGCCGGTAGGCCTAACATCGACCACGGCAACGTCGACCATGGCAACTGCGACGACGAGATCAACGCTGCAGTGAATTTTGTGAGTGCATCGCAGAAAAAGATCGCGTTATTCGAAAACGACGTCAGGCCGAATGCCGATCGTGCCGAAAGCGTAGTGCTGTGCGAGTTGGGTGCATTGACGGCCGTCGTCGCAGGCGCGGCATGCCCCGTTTGTCACGAGAGTAAACTCGCAGTTCGGGCACCGAATAAAAAGCGGAAAGGCCTTTCGGCGTTTCTGGAGCTACACTGCGAGAATGCGGAGTGCTCGGAGAGCATCCTTTCGTCCGCGTACTCGTCGAAGCGGGTCGCGTCAGATGGCGGCCGCGGTGCAAGCAGAAGCTACGACAGCGGGAGTTCGCGTGACGCCTTTGCCGTGAACCTGAAAGTGGTGCTTGCAGCGCGTGCCGTCGGTATCGGGCATGAGCAACTTTCACGATTTTGTGCAGTAGTTGGATTGCCAAACCCTATGCACCATAAGACCTTCCATGCTATCGGCAAAAAGATTCACAGTGCGGCAGTGAAGGCTGTCTGTGAAAACATGCAAAGGGCACGCAGCGTCACCAAAGAGGTGGCTGGTAACAGTGACGTGCCAGTCATGTTTGACGGCACATGGCAAAAAAGAGGCCACAAAAGCCACAATGGTGTGGGAACTGTAGTGTCCTTGGACACTGGTTTGTGCCTGGACTATGAAGTGCTTTCCAACTTCTGCCTGGCGTGCAGTTTGCATAACGACATGGGAGGCGATGAAGAAACATGGCAGGCGTTTCATCATCCCGTTTGTGAGAAGAATTGCGACTGTTCTTCGCATGCCATGGAGGCCGAAGCTGCAGTGCGCATTTGGCAGAGGACTGTGGACTATGAGACACCCCTGCGGTTCACCATCTTCCTAAGCGATGGAGACAGCAAGGCCTACAACGGGGTCTGTGATGCCAACGTGTACCCTGACACTCCAATTGAAAAAGAGGAGTGCACCAACCACGTGGCGAAACGTCTGGGCACCGGCCTGCGGAAGCTGCCAACGCCACTTCCACGAGGGGAGAAGCTGAAGGAGACCACCATCCAGAAGCTTCAAACTTACTTTCAGGTGGCCATTGTGAACAATCGGGGAAATGTCCACAAGATGTACACTGCCATATGGGCCTCATGTTTGCACTCGTGCTCAACAGACGGTGCTGGAAGTCACAAGTTCTGTCCTGCAGGCCCAGACTCGTGGTGCAAGCACCGACGTGCTGAGGCGCAGGGCCAGCCTGCACCGTGCCACACCCCCCTCCTGACCAAGGCCCAGGGTTTGGCAGTCCTCCCAATCTACAAGCGTCTCACAGATGCGAAGCTGCTTGCCCGGTGCCTCCACGGCAAGACACAGAACGCGGCCGAGTCCCTGAACAGCAAAATATGGCTGCTGTGTCCAAAGACCCGGTTTGCTTCCCGGACTGCTGTGGAAACAGCCACAGCCATTGCAGTCCTGTGGTTCAACCGGGGCCACGCGAGCTTTGAAAAGGTGCTGGAAGAGCTTGGTGTGCTTCCTTCGGAGGCCCTGGTTACCCTCAGCGACCGCCGAGACAGCATGCGCATGCACAAGATGAATGTGCGTCAGACCGCTGAGGCGAGGGCACACCGTCGCAGTGCAGCCAAGAGGGCCCGGGTGGAAGAGTCCTGCCGCACCAGCCGGGAAGGGAAAACCTACGGTGCTGGAGAGTTTTAGACAACTGATATTCCCTCTGGACATGTGTGTATGTGTTCAGCACAAGTTTCGTGCTACTGCGTTTTTCATTTTTGTAAATACAGACTTTCAAACTTTCAAACGCGTTTTTCTCATTTCGCAATTTTGGCCAATTTGCATTTTTTGCGGGAAGTGTTTCGGGCACTTAGAATGGTCATACGACGACGAAATTTGGCACACACATTGAGGAGAGTGCGTAGGGTGCCGATATCTACTTGAATCAGCACAACCTATCAGCTGTAAATATCTATTAATAAATTTAATAGTGGTCGAGTGGAAAAAAAAGGGTAGTTTGCTACACAGATGTTTTTTTCATAGTTTCAAAGTTGGAGCACAATTTCTAGCTAGATATCGGCACTCTATGGCTAATAGGGAGCAAAAGGAGCTATTGAACAACTCTCTGCATGAACATTTAGTATGCGCGAAAGTTCCCGGAAAACTTATCAAGTTTCACCATTACTTGAAACACAACTCCCAAACTATTGCACTTATGTAAAAACTGATTACAGATTTGGAATCAGGAGGAAAAACTGCATCAGTGGTCCAATTTCTGAAGCTCTAAGTTGAATAACAAAAAAAAAGTGCTTTCGAGGAGCGTCTCCCCTTAATGAAAATGACAACACACTTTATGTTTGCACAATCTTACAAGAACTCTGACCTTCGAGTATGGAGATATGTCGCAAGTGAAACAGCATGACTTCCTTTCTAGTCTGCAACTAACAAGTGACTGAACAATTAAAATTCCTCTAATTTAATGCAGTTGTTCAAGTTACGTACAAGATTTAGTGCTTCCTACCTTCGGCTAAGGATGAGCTCTCTCGGAGCGGCCACGATCGTGGACGCCAGTGATTCGCCCAGTCCGTTGGAATAAAGCAGTCGCGCTGCACCTTCAACATTGTCACACAGCTGGAAAACAAGCATGAAGTTCTAAAATCGCACCATTACAACAATATGGCTTCCCTCCATTTTCATACATGAAGATAAGTACCCAATTCCAGTATTCGTGAGGTTCTATTTGCTGTCGTTACTCTCTGTCAGCAATGTCAGTTTTATTGATGAATTCCTCCTCAAGGCCTAACAGTACAGATGTGCACATGCGATCAACTAAAAACAAAGGCACAATATCATCAGCCCCAGTGTCTGCAACACTCCCTTGCTGAAAAAAAAAATTTTCAAGTTAATAGGTGATTGTTGCAACAGAATCGCCAGCCTGGGTTAGTTAAAAAACGGCATTTAGTGGACCCAGCTTTCCGAAGACAACTCACATGTAATGTCACAAGTTAAACGATAGCTCAACAGTGATGCTGAATGAAAGATCTCAATAGTCAAACCTCAAAAAAATGGATTACCAAACAACCAGGTTAATGAGGTAAACCTTAGACTTGTCTCATTATTACTGCAACATAATAAAGTCCTTTAGCAAGTGATGGAAATACGGTATGCAAACATGTTACTGTATGACGGTAGCGCTCCTTTTTTTCCGGTAGTTGCGTGTTTGCCAGTGAAGGCCCCCCAACACCACGAAGGCTTTCCCAAGAACTGCTGTGGGGATGTCAGGCCTTACTGTTGCCTGTCAGGCCTATGCATCGTTAACAAGGAACCTGTCGTTTGGGAGACACACTGCCACCAGAACAGGAAGCAATAAAAACACAACGAGCGGAAACGAAGTGCTACTGTACTGTACTTATTTGCTATATTTGTGTACCATATTTCTATACCTTGCTAAGAGACTATTAAATATCGGCTTATTGCATAATTTGCCTAAACTAAGTGCCGAATAAAAACATCAACATAGAGACAAAGACACATAACAGCACTTTGTTTCTGTACCTATGTTACATTTATTTACATTACCTATGTTACATGTATTTGTGATCAATACAATATACCAACAAACACAAGTATAATCCCTTGTATGGGTGAGGTACCTGTTGCAGCAATGAAAGTGTCCCAAAGCAAAGAGCGGCATCGTGCACTGTTCGAGGAAGGAGCGACAGCAGAAGGGTGACAGATGCTCTGTTCGAGGCTTGATCCGGTATGCTGCCATGCGGAATCCTTCTGCAGAGGTCAAATCCAAAACAAAAGCCAAATGTTAAAGAAGTACTGACACAAAAATTTTCATTTCTTTTTTTTTTAATTACAGGAAAGGCTAGGTACTTAGAAAACATGTCGGTAAGTGTGAGTGCACCTTGAAAAAGTAATTACATTGTGTTTTTAAAACAAGCTAGTTTCAGTTCCTACTGCATCTCGACGTCACCACACGGTAGGAGCTTCTCATCAGGCACTCATGCAAGATGAGAAGTTTCCATCGCAACAGAACCGTGGCTCCATTGGTGACACACAAGCACTTATTTTAAATATTTTGGTACCAGACCCTAACCTAGCCATACCTAGCCATACCTAGCCATACCAGTGTGTAAAGTCACTTGAATTGACACTGTAGCTTGCCGTCATGACTGCGTTGGTGTCAGCAAGTGCGCCAAGTGAAAATCAACGTACATGTCACTTCAAACTTGCGCAGCGCTGTCTCTGTATACAAGATATTCGTATGGCAGAGTAAACTCGCCGTTGAAAATAGGCGTCTTTTATAAGGTGCGCCTATGACATGACTTCAATGCAGTGTGCAGAGGCACTACACTTATACTGCATAACGTGCCTTTTTCTCAATCTCATCGTTCTCTTGCCCTTTGTCCTTCGCTCAGTGTAGAGAGGCTAAACCGACACTTTCCTGGTTAACCCCGATGCATTCTTCCTCTGTTTCTTTCCTTCTTTGCGGTGAAGTACTGTACAACTCAAAACAGGGCTCTCTTCTGGTTAACCTTGATGCCTTGTGCCTTTGATTCTTTCCTTCCTTGCACCGAGCTTTCGTATAACTTGAATATAGGCTGACACTTTTTTTCAATAAAAACAGGACTTACAAAAGTTCGGGACTGGCTTAGATTCATGGCATTGCCAACTACAGAAAGTTCAATCATGCAATGCGCAAGAAGATATCACTAATTTTAGTAATAAACAAAGAGAAGCAAGAATGTCACTAATGGAGGTCTTATAAGTAGGACTCGGAACAACTGAGCATCCGTCTATACTTTGACGTTCCACCTACGTGTTTAGTTCATTTATCGGATAGTGAGCTACTTTCTGACAGCACGAAATGAAATTTCCACATAATTGGTAATGTCAGTATATTAAAAATATACCTTATTTTATTTTTACAATAATGCACTCATATTATGGCCCAATGTCTCCTTGTGTTACGCGGAGGTTTGATAAAAGCCTTTTCATTTTATCTGACCTCGCAAATCTAGCTTGGCCAAGAATCGACACCAGTGTCCATTAAAATAAGATGGTATGTCAGAACTCAAATCAATAAATTGAAATTCAGTAAAGGCACTGTTGCCATTTTCATTGCATGTTCCTCTTCCCTATGACACCACCTCCCACTTCCATCACATGACTTCTGGGTGTCACACCCAACTTCCATTATACTGCTCCTAGGCCGTCAAGTGATTTACGGGTACACACTGCCAAAATTAAGTTCAGGCGCAGTTGTGACTTCAGGTTTTAAGCACCCCTCATCAAAAAGGTAAAGTTACAATAGACTCCCCACCAGTCTGTACTTAACCTACACCTGATTTACTGCTAGAGCTGATTTAACGAAGGCCTGAAAACTTTTTCAACCGTTGAGAATTATCGTCGTCATCATATTCCTTCGTACAAAACGGGTGGAAAAGGTACAGTAAGACGTCTTCAATGTGGTAAGTTCAGAACAGTTTTGATCAAGCCAACGTCTCACCTGGCCAGATACAGGGGTCGACCCAGCAAGATCCGGCAGCACGACTGGACTAGGGCAGCGGTGGCAGGGTAGTGGGCCAACTGGAGACCTAGCAGCTGGAAGCCTTTAGCCTTAAGGAAGTGAGCCTCGACCTCACTAGAGGCCTTGTTCAGGTATGCCTCCAGCACCTACAACAAGAGAAACGGCTAGCATCTTGACTTGTACTAGTTATAGCATACCCTTGAGCTTCTTCAACATGTCCTCAACATGGCGTCTTTGTACTACAAATAGGCGGTCATCAATTTCTGTTTCTTAACCCTTCGGCAACCTTTCAAGATGTTGCAGAACAAATTTGCAATGTGTCCATGTGCTCTGAGTTGTCAATAACTTTTTCCTCACATTTGTGGGGTCTCGAAATGGCGAGCGAGTGCCACGCTCTTACAGTGAACGGACACAGCAGACGCGGTCAGACCAAACCAAGATAACACATTTATTTAGCTACTTTTGATCGACGATATCGTCAGCTGAATTATTATAACAACAATCGTGATCAACATGCTAAGACATCCTTACACAATATTAAACAACGCTCAACAACATGACAAACAAGGTGGTGTCGTTAACGCCTGACTCACCACGTGGGCCCACTGCCAATGGTCCGCAGTGCTGTGCACGGCAGACCTATCGCAAAAGACAACCAATCGCTCACGCCAAGCGCCACCAGCCTAAGAAACTCACTACTCTGTCTCTGCCGCCACCAAGGTTTGCCTGCCGCCTGGCATCACCGCTCTTACAACCATGATGATGATAGCAGTGATCTACGCTCACGGACACAACGCCACCTACCGCGCGATAGCTGCGACCCTTGAATATAGCTTTTGTGCGAGACACGTGTGTCATGAGGCGCAAACAACTTTACAAGAGGTGTCAGCACCTTCACACGTTAAGCTCTAGTTTTTTGGTTATCTAAATAAGAAGAGTGCCCCCCAAATAAAGGATATACACCCAGGTTCGATCTCCAAAACAGAGTGAATTTCTTGGCAACTAAGAGGCTTTTTTCTGAGCAATCCATACGTATTTCCTGGTGGCTTTATGCTACAAGTTAGCATTTGTCAATTTCCCTTTCTTTCATCTTCTATACACTTGAGTCAGTAAACCGTAAGCAAGGCACTCCAATTTCTCTTCCTGATACTACCAAAATCTTTTAGCCTTGTTTGGCATTTTGAATAACAAACACTTTGATAAAAACTCTAAATACTTATGAGAAAGACAAGATTTTTAGACAAGTAGAATTTCTCGAACAAGAACATCCTTGGTTAACTAAGTAGCAGGAAATGTTACTATAATGTTACATTTCACGCAAACTATATGCAAACTATATGGCCTCATCTAAACCACTCTTTCGACAGTACCAGGTAATGCCTCTACAACTAGTAATAAATTATAAAACAACAATAATGGTGTACAAGTCTCTAACATGCAATATCCCTCTTCACCGCTCCCTTTTTACTCCCTCACAATTGCAAACAAGAGCCCGTCATTGTGGTAACTACCTAAAACCACTGGTTAAAAATGTTTATGGCAAAAGACGACTTTATAGTGTTGGAACGTCATTGTGGAATAACCTACCAGTGGAAGTGAAACAACATAATGCTTTCACATTAATGCTCAAACGTCATTACAAAGAGCTCTATTAGACTACTGATAAGTTTCGTGAAATGATGAAAAGTGACATGATTTTAAACTAATGTTTTGTATGCTGACCAGGAATGCTATTACCAGATGTACAGAAATATTAGAAGTATTACGTTAAGTATGCAAACCAAAAACGTGTTCAAAGTGTAGTGTATAAGTTGGATTTTTCCTCTTCAATGTGTTTGGTATCTGTGTATAAGTGATATGTTTATCAAAACAATCTGCATCTTAAACTAAAATGTCGTTCATTATACAACTCTTTCTCCTGCCTCTAATTAATGTATGTTATAATTGCATGGATCCATACTAGCATTCTGCTAAGGATCCAGATGTTGCTAACATCTGGATCCTTACTAACATGTTTTTCTTTGCTGTATGTTGTTTATTCATAATAAACTTCAAAGTCCAAAGTTAATGGAGTGTGCCACATGTTGTATATTTGGGTATGCTTCAAGGTTTCCCAACATAAAAAGTGACATGAAAAGGAAAGGTGGCAACAAGTCAGCACTCTATCACTTAAAAAACTAGCTTTTGAGCTCCAAGCCAAAAGTTCTAAATGTGTCATTGGTTTTTGTTCAGTTTGATGTCCAGCAAAAATAATATAACCTAGAAACAGCAGTGCATCTGTCAAGTATATAAATCATGCCCAATCACCGCACTGCTTACCTAGCCAAATAAACATTACAAAATTCATTTTCCTTAAATGTGTGGCATAAAATATGCAACACCAGAAAATTATTTGCACTAAATATATTAAACTAAAGAAGGGTGAACAAATAACAAAAAAAAAGTTATTTCTTTCTACAGAGAGAACTGAAAATAAATGCTCAGAACACTGCATACGAATGTACCAGTAACATACTACAATGTAAATAAAATATATCAAAAGACGTGTATACCAAATCACACTCTCAAAGGAATTGACTAAGAGGCATTCTAACAATCTTTGCAACTTGGTTTTGATACCGACAGACCTGGAGAATTTAAATTATAAATATATTTATCAAACATTTATCAATTAAACATATCATGCAAAGCGTTCCCTCCTAATAAAGACGATGAAACTTGGAAGTTTTATTTTCTCAAGCTACTAATACTGCATTAATAAAATCAGACCCCTACTGTAAAGGTTAGATACATTCCCACATGACACGCTTAGCTAATGCTTTATGACAGAACCATCCAGTTTTTGCATTACAGATCAAAACAATGTGTAGTAAAATAAATTCCAAAGTGCCAGTGGCATAGCGAGGGAATGGCATGCAACGCTTGTCCCCCTTTCCCTCTCCAGATCTTCTTTAATTATGGCGCATAAGGCACAAAATGACACTCGACCACATCTGCCTGCTCGGCCGCCACTTCAGATCAAAATTTGTGCTACGGCCCGGCCAAGCGCTCTAGCAGTTGTTTCGGGGTAAAGTATTAAAGTTAAATGTTTGACACAACAACTAGTAGACTAAAATAATCTCATTACTATTTTGAATTAAACCTTGCAAAAGTCTGTCATACTTCAGTCTCTTTTGTCCGCCACAAAAGGTGCACAGAGGTTGCAAAAAGTATGGGTGGTGCAGCCACATGACATATGGCAAAGCCGCACTTACGCATAGGACCTGGTTGCGAACCAATGCATTTTCATTATGAGCCAAAATCAGGAGTGCTTCCAGTCGAACCACAGGTTCAAGTTTCTCACGAACCACGTTTTCTGGTGTGGCCACCAAGATATCCTGCAGCAACTTGAGGAGGCCTGCATTTCACGATTGAAAGAACAAACAGCAGAAATATTCATTACCGATAGCCTGACCACCAGCAACGGATGGAAGCCGCAGATGCACGACAAATAGAATTAAACAACATCATGACCTTGAAGATCTTCTTAATTTGCATAACTACTTGCATAACCGATTAGGTAAATTGCAGTGTAACTGCATGAAGACAAAGTTAATTGCCCAGAAACTGAATGAAAGTTCACATAGCAAAAACTGCTAGCAAAAACAAGACTACTGTTTAGAATAACATATCTTACCCTTCTAGCAGGCAAAGTATTAGGAAAGTAAACACAAACACAACATTTCAGTGATGTATGCATAAATTGAAGCAGCCTATAACATTTCTCTGAATTAGTTTTAAAAAACTAACAAAGACACTGAATGTACAATGCATTTTCAGAACATTTTTTTGATAATTGGTACTTACTGCATGAAAATAAGCAATCATTAAAACTATAGCACGACTAAACCTCATTCAATTATTTTCACTTCAGATGCCTTTGCTCGAACAAAAATTCCAGCAAAGGCAGCCTGATGGTGCATGTGAGGATTTCATAAAATAAGTTAAGCTATCAGGCCTTATCCTTTTACTACACCAGAAGCCTAATATTTGTTCAAGAACTCTTGTCATCATTAGCCAGTCATAAACGCCCCACTCGATTACGAAATTGCCCGCCAATTGCCCACTATCCTGCTGCAATTCTTATTAGCCTAAACTGGTCTGGTGTCTTCCTAGTGTTCCTTTCAGGCCATTTCCGCAAAACTACTTTGACTACATCACCTAGCACGAGCCCGGTCATGTCGTCCTTGGCTTCTGCTGGCTCTTCCTCCATTTCTGCCCATGGATTCGGTGACAGAGGTATGGGCGAAGACGTCATGGGGTGTCGAATGCTGCCCTCAAATGGACAGCCCGGCCTCGGCAGATCCTCTGTTCGGTTGTGGCTTTGACCACCAGCTTCGATTTCGCCGGAGAGCAACAAGCTGAGTGCTTCGGTGGCCGTCGGCTTTGGCCCCGGCTTGACCAGAGCGGGGCACGGCTGAGCTGGCTCTCCGTGCACGGATGCCAAGTTTGCGTCGACCAAGCTGTTGCCGTCGAGGCTGTTGTACAAGTCGGCAGGAACGGCATTGGGACGAATCTTCACAACCTTTGGCACATCTGAATGCAAGAAAACACGAGCAAAAAAAAAACTTCTAAACAAGGATTCCATCCAGAAACATAGACCTCTGCACAGAATGCTTCTTCTTTTACGCAGTAATTGACAGTTTACTGACATAGAAAAAATCTTTTACACCCAATACTAACTATAATCAATATATATATGTACAGGTTTGTCCACCACGGTTGAGCTGCGGTCACAGTGCTCGGCTGCCGACCCAAAGATCGCGAATTCGGTTCTTGCCACAGCAGTCGCATTTCGATGAAGGCAGAATGGTAGAGGCCCATGTACAGGGTGATCTCTGTGCACGCTGAAGAAGACTAGAAGGTCGGAGCCCTCCCCTTCAGCATCTCACGTAATCATATTAATGTTTTAGAATGTAAAATTCGGCATATTAGCATTATCATTATTGTTATACACAGTTAAGACATTGAAAAATTTAGCCAGCAATCGTATTATTTATTTTACTGCTAAAAGTAATTTTTTCTTGCATTGTACGCAATTCAAAACTTACTTCCCTATGATGACTACTGTGTCAAATCCAGCATTAGGGGTTTATTTTCATTGGGGAATGTTTGCTGAAATGAACCACAAGAAAATGAGATGTTAGATATGGATCCAGATTTTATTACACAGTTAAACCCCTTTATAAGAGGCATGCTCCTGGCAACGATTCTTGTGTTTTATACGAGATGTCTTTTATCAGCAGAGGACCTCGTATGCATTTTTTTATCAACCCGTATTTTACTGAAGGCACACTGATGTCTCCTATACCCATTTGTCTCTTATATCTGTGTCTCTTATAAAGAGGTTTGAGTGTATCTGATCATTTATCATATCCTTGCTTGTTACCTAAAAGTTCCCAGGTATCTATATCTACTCCAGTCACTACAATGTGGTGTAAAATAGACATGTTGGACCAATGTTGACAGCACTAAGTTATTGAGAACTGCATTCTAAAGAACAACTTATGCCTTAACAGTCAGAACTAACGTGGAAACTTCGTGCAGGTGAATGCTTTTAGAGAATATGCATGCTACTGTGTCATTTGATTCTACAAGTGTCAAACAGTGTGCAACTATGTCTGCTGCTGCATTCACTATGTTGACATGAAAGCACTACAGAGACAGTCGCATGCATGAAATGAATACGAGTGCACAGGCATTATGAAGCACATTTCTTCTGACCTGAAAGGATGACCACTGGTATTTCCAATTTTCATTACCCAGTTCGCAAGAATGGCTCTTTCAATGGTGTTGCTCAAGAAGACAAACCAGATACCATGACCATTAACTTTGATAATCCAACAGAGACAAGAATGACCGCATGAACGCTGATTCTGTTGCTGCCGACAGGCAAACAAACGATTCCTCAACGTCATCCTAAGAATGGCAATTGATTTATCAATAGCTCAAGAGCTAATCAGTGTAATAAGCCTTACCAGGTTCTTTGATTTTCCTGATTCCCTCATTGGGAGCTGAGCGTGAGAACACGCCAAGAAGATGGCCAAAGCTTCCTGACAGCGGACTCGATGCAAGCGAAGATGGAGCAGTGCGACTGGTTTCCAAGAGAGAAAAACCTGCACTACGTTGCACTAAGCGTTAATTGCAGCATACAGAGGTCACCTCAACCAGTTTGTATCAGTATACCAAAACACAAAAATTTGTTATGACTAGTTAGAAATAACATTAATGACTGCCAATACATTCAGACTGGTAACTTCCAGTGTCGGTATTTTTTTTTTCATAACAGACAACCACTAGTTCAATAACTTGCATTCGTGTTTAATTAAGGTTCAGGCTACAACTTTTAGGTGAACTGTATCAGAGCCAAATTTTAAGAAGGTATTTTTTTCATTTATCACCTACTAAGAAAGGTAAAAATATTAATAACTTCTGTTCCTAAGATCGGTTAGGTGCAGTTATCTACTAGAAAAGCCAAGACTCAAACACTGCACTTACTACGCATGGTTAGACAATTACACGGTGCAAGTTCAACCAGCAGCAAAAGCTTAAGGGACATGAAATTTTCGAGAAAGCTATGGTCCTACTTTGTCTGGGAACATCGACGGCAATCGATTGTGCCAATGTGTAGTAGTTCTTGTGACCCATACAGTAGTACCCGCTAGAAAAGATGAACCATACACTAATAGTGTGGAAATTCGCATTTGCAATGGAACCAATGTCCTGCAAACTTTTGCTGCTGGGTGCCCTCTGAGCCTTGACATGCTAGAGGCAAACAAGCAGTGAAGATTTAGTTGGAAAGGTGGTCAACTACAGGTGAAGTGAGAAGAAAAACACAAGAACTCTTTTGACTCAGATTCATTGGTAAAGCAAAGATAACATGCAGGTGCTCAGAAATAAACCTATCACCAAAAGTGCATCACTTGGATCTGCTGATAAAATCAACATGCAGAGCAATGTTCTTTTCTTTGCTGGATCTGTTAATAACCACCAGAAAAATTAGTGCAAGTACAAGCTGTACCATGAAGGACACAGGTCTCTTTTCTTTGTATATGCAAATACGCATTGACTTGACCTCAATGAATGATCTTTAGTTGATAATGCATCGCTAATGAGCTGTTTGCACTTTGTAGCTGTATAATCTGAGCGAAAAACTAAAGGGCACTGTTTAGCAGTAACAATCCAATTTATTTCTAGGAAGGGAAGCCCAATAATAGTTGTTCAGAAAAAAAGCAGGTCAGAAGCGTAGCCAAAAGTTTTTTCACCGAGTAGAGGGGGAGGGGGTTCAACAATACTTTATGTATGTTTGTGTGTTTGTGTGTGTGTGTGTGTGTGTGTGTGTGTGTGTGTGTGTGTGTGTGTGTGTGTGTGTGCACGTATGTGTGCATGTGTGTGTGTTTGTGTATGCAAGCAAATTTCCCTCCCAGATTTTCCCAGTTTTGCTTGCAAAATTGGGAAATTTTGAGAATTCTGGGGGGGATTATCTCCCAACCCCCTGGCTATGCCCCTGAAGCAGATGACTGACCAATATCAAAACAAAATGACGTTAAGGCATCCATTTGGATACGTAAAATTTCATATGAATGTATTCTCTGTACAAAGTATCCATATGGATGACTCCATACAAGCGTTTCGTATAGATCCCTTGTATAGAGTTCACAAAATCTACGTATATAGATTTTGAAAATGTGGTTTCATTCAAATTGAAGTCAGTGACTTGTTTCTATTTAGACAATAGTTTTATCTCACCATACGATATTCTGTAGAACTGTAGACTGCATGAATAAAAAAAATAGGCATCTATATTACTGTTCTTTTTTGCTGCTTTGTTTTTCTGTTCTAGGTAAAACCCTTACTAACAGAACTCGTGGTTAAAAGATACTTTTACCTGTATCTTGAACAAAAAAAGTAAACAGCCCGCAAGATGAGGCCTTCTCAGTCTTTCCCAACTATCTGTTCTTCATGTGTACTGTCCTAAAAGCCAAGACCTCTGTGAAGGCACAAATAGTCTGATCTGAGAACATCACCACAGTGCCACTTCCGAATTGTGGCTGCGCCAATTGGGAATAGAGCGTAAGAACTTATGGTCAACACTGGGGTGCCCGATATTGGCACGCCACGGCCTCGATATTGATGCAGACAACAGTTTAGGCACATACAAAACACAATCGTGTCACACCTTTTACATGTCTAAACCTCTGTTCGCATCCACAGCATCGTTGTCGATCGAAATAGTTGCAATCATGGCTTAACTAATGAAAGTAGACTGCAACTGCAGTTTTCACACCGTACACGCCTGACCTGCAGAGTTGGGTGCGCAGTCTTGAGGAGGCAAGGAGTAGAAGGCGGAACGTCCCTGTGCCACGTGGGCATTGGAAGCACGGTGAAGTAGCAGCAAGAGGTCAAGACAGGCGCTGAGTCGTTGCGCCAGCTCCCCGGCAGCCGGTACCAGCGCACTTAGCAGCTTGAGTACTAGAGGCAGAGTTCCAGGATGGCCCAGGCTGCCCTGACTCTCGTCCACAAGAAGCCGCTGAAAAGAAGGAAAATCGCATGATGACGATGAATCAAAAATATGCAACTCATTACCAAACAGTCATAATAGTAGCCATATTCTGCTCAGTTTAAACCACTTACAGGACGAAATCATCTTTCCGGCAATGTCCAACTACTGTCTTTCCTTGGCCTATTTCTGGACTTTTCCAGCTGATTGTAAGTTTGTGTACCGATTCGAAATCATCATGTGAAGAATATGAGATAAAGGCAGAGACATGGAAACAAAGAGTCTAGCTGTGTTCCTGATGCGATGATATTACATCACACATACTCAAGATGAACATGAATCACAATAGAATTGACATTCGATCTATTGATTCAATTATCTAGTTTCACACTGCTCTGCCGATACAAAATTCCTCATTTCATTAAACCCCTTGGCATCCCCCCAAGCGACTGGCGACATTAGTGATCGATTAATTGATTGATAAATCAATTTTCCCTCCAAGTGCAGACCCACCCTGAGTGCGGTGAGCAAGGAACCCAACAAGGGTGCCGCCTGTGCCAAATTGTGCTCCCGGTACGGGTGACGCTCGCGCAGCAGTGCCCACATGGCTCCCAGCAGACGTCGGCGGCCAGCACCAGGCCTCCAGTGCTCGAGGAGTGTGCTCGCCAGCTGGGGCCATACGAGCAAAGGCTCCTGGCCCGTCGGATGTCGCACCGCCTCCACACCACTCTCCCCTGTCCCATTGCAGTAGAGGACGGCTACTGCACGCGTTCACCGCCACCTGCATCCCGTAAACACATGATAGGGTCAATAATGAACAGAGAGATTTAGCATATCCAGTATTTAGCTGCCTTTCAGTAAACATCTGACAAAATACCAGGTTACCAGACACTGGCAATAACATCTTGCGCTGCTTCAAATGGGCACGGTGCCTTCACATGCATTTCTTTGCATTCGACAAATACTCTTGCTGAAAAAGTTTAAAGGAACACTAGATTGAGACAATAAATTAGTTTAGATTGATTAATTATACACACTGGAAATTTTACTGTCAGCGATATCACTATCATGTTTGTTAACAAATGAATGTCAAAAAAGAACCCATTTCAAAAGTGCCATTTTAAGCTTCTCTACAAAATTTTTGATGAGGACATCACGAATTTCAGTCTTTTTTTCATATTTTGGCCCCATTGGTTCAACACATTCCTGAAACTTGGTACATTACCGTAAAAACCCGCGTATAGCCCGGGGTTTTTTTCTAGATTTTAGGGTGCGAAATTTCGGCCCCGTACTATATGCGGGTCCCAAGAATTTTCGGCCCAAATTCAGTTTCGGTTTCGGCATAGCGCGGTGCTATCATCATCATCAGCTGTCTGCGCGCTTCTGCGCTAGGTAGTGTTAGCGGCGTTAGTCTTAACTGGTCAGTTGGTCAGTGGCCTTTGCTTCAACTTGGTGCCCATAATGACGGCCTCGATTTTGCTCCTGTGATTTTACGCCATGTCAGGACCGCGCAGGCAGTACTCTGCTGCTTTTAAAAGAAAAGTTATCGCTGCTGCCGAAACCATCGGCAACTGTGCCGCGGAGCGGCAGTTCGGAGTCAACGAGCGGAGCATTCGCGGTTGGCGGAAGCAGAAGGAAGCCCTCTTTGCATGCAGCGGCCAGCGAAAAAGTTTCCGCGGACCAAAAAATGGAGCATTTCCTGACGTGGAACGAGAACTCACAGACTTTGTGCGGGAGCAGCGAGCTGCACATCTCGCTGTCAACATCGAGCTGCTACAAGCGAAGGCAAGGGAGATCGCTCGAGACAAAGGCATTCAGCCGGAGGATTTCAAAGCGAGCAAGCATTGGGTGTCTCGCTTCATGCGCCGCGCTGGGTTCTCCCTACGTCGGCGTACGTCGATCTCCCAGAAGCTACCAGAGAGCTACGAAGAGCACCTCGTGGCTTTTCAAAGGTACATAATTGTGTTGCGAAAGGCAGTCCCCTTTCAGCTGGGCCAGATCGGCAACGCGGATCAGACGCCGGTCTACCTGGATATGCCCTCGGCGCTGACGGTGCATCAAAAAGGCTCCAGGCAAGTTATCGTGCGGTCGACTGGAAACGAAAAAACGCGGGTGACTGTAATGTTATCCTGCACGGCTGACGGTCGCAAGCTGCCACCCTACGTGGTGTTCAAACGAAAGACGCTGCCGAAGGGGGAGAAGTTCCCGAAAAATGTCGTCGTCCGCTGCCAGGACAAGGGGTGGATGGACGAATCGTTAGTCCTTGACTGGATAAAGTCCGTGTGGTGTCGACGGCCCGGAGCACTGCTGGGGCTCCCTTCGATGCTTGTGCTCGACGCGTTTCGGTGTCACCTGGCCGACTCCGTAAAGCGACTGCTGCGCGACTCCCGCACCGAGCTCGTCGTCATCCCGGGAGGGATGACATCACAGCTGCAGCCGCTTGATGTGTGCCTTAATAAGCCATTTAAGGACCATGTCAAGCGCCTGTACGTGGAGTGGATGAGGTCCGGAGAACCAGAAGTGACCCCTGCCGGACGGCTGAAACGGGCCTCGCCAGCGATGCTCTGCTCGTGGATAGTCGAGGCTTGGGCCTGCATTCCAGAGGCGCTCGTTTGCCGCGCCTTCAAAAAGTGCTCCATCTCCAACGCGCTTGATGGCACTGAGGATGATGTGCTGTGGGAGAACATTTCCGACAAGGGAGCTTCGGAAGAGAGTGCGTCCGACGACGAGGATGAATGAAATGTCAATAAATGCATTTTTTCCATTTTCCTCGGACTATATTCGGGTGAAAACTTTTTTTCTCACGTTTGCTATCCCCAAATTACACCCCGGACTATATGCGGGTCCGAGCTATATGCGGGTTTTTACGGTAAGTCTTTAGCTGTGTTAAACAACAACGTACTTTATTTTCACAAATTAGAAACCATGTAGGCCCTAGCAGACATCGTCAAAAATACATGACATCATGGAGATTGGTGTAGGAACTTCAATGTGGCATCCCCACCCACATTATCTCGCTTTTTTTTTTTTTTTTTTTGTAAGTAAGTATGCAGGAGGAGGTCCCAAGGTAGTAAACCGCAGGCGGGACCTCCTATGTTCCTGATTACTTACCCAATGTATTCTATCAGCCACTGCTGTATTTTGGTATTGCGTAAGAGCAATCTATGAATACAAGAAAAATCATTTTTCTTTTAAGAGCCCCTTTAAAGTAAGGTATATACTCGGTTACTGCTACCACAACTGTGTTTTTCTGGTTGAGCTTTGCACCTCCAGATGGCACAACCACTCTGGCTGCTCATGTTTATGCTTTGTGTGACCCAGTGATCTACAATGTTTTCCGACACACTAAAGCTCTTGATGCTGTGGTGTACACGTATCCCGAAGGAGTACGGCCACCAGCGTGGGTCTGGTCTTAGCGAGCCACAGTCGGATGTGCCTGCCGTATCACCCGTTCGACGCGTTCCTCGTTCGAGGCTCGCGGCTCAGCGATAGAAATAAGTTCATCCATCGCCCGTACATACTCCTGTAAAGACTCGTCAGGAGCTTGTGTACGGAGCTTGAGCTCTCGCCGCATCCTACTTTCGTAGTCAGCGGGTAGGAATTCGCGCAAAAAGACCGCACGAAATTCCTCGAGGTTTGCTGCACGGTAACCGGAAAGCCGATACCATCTCGCCGCCGTGTCAGTCAGTGCAGCTGGAACAACACGTTCGAGCACCACCTTATCATCCAAACCCATCGCTCTCTGATAGCGTGACAGAGAGTCGAGGTAATCTCGGGCGGTGAGCTGATCACCGTATCCGCTGTAGGTTGGCACAGGCAACATAACAGCGGGGTGACCGCTTTTCGGACCAGCCGAAAGCGTTTGCACAGCTCCCGAGAGTGCTTGGATCATCTGCACGGCGTTTTGCAGCAAAGTCTGCGTCGTCGCTCTGGCTTCGTAGGAAACCGTTGGTGCGTTAGCGGCGCGGTCGAGCGAAGACGAGCAGTCGCCCAGCTCGATCAGTGGGGCGGTTTCAAACAGACCACCGCCCTGCGCGCCATTCCCAGAGCAAAATAGGCTCCTAGTGGGATTTGCCTGTTGTCGAACCAAAGGCGCACTTGGTGCGGCTACCATCGACAATTCAGGCGCCTGCTCAGCGTGCGTTCGAAGTGTCGGTTGCACGGCTGATAGCGGGCAAAAGTCGGCGAGGGCCCCGTCAATTCCGCAGGGAACCGACTGCGAGCGCTGTGCCGACGAACTGCCATGCATGCCGAAGGGCGCATTAGCAGTCGGAGGCGCTTTGGCGTAACGTTCGGGTAGGGCAAGAGGCCCATTCCGAAGCGACGCGCCATCTCCAAAGGGAGCGGCTAGGCGCCTCGTGTCGTCACCGCAATAGGGGGTGCCGACACGGACGGGTGTTGAAGGCGCTTGTCCGTAACGTTCGGGTAGGGCAAGAGGCCCATTCCGAAGCGACGCGCCGTCTCCAAAGAGAGCGGCTAGGCGCCTCGTGTCGTCACCGCAATAGGGGGTGCCGACACGGACGGGTGCAGAAGGGTTCCCGTCAATAGAGGCAATGGCCTCTGTATACAACGCGGCATCCGCTAAAAGGGACAGCGAACAAAAGTCCCGCGAAGCAGCCATGTTGCGACGAGCCCGAATCGCGCAGGCGAACTGACTCGCTAAGAGCAGACAAAAGCTAGAGCTTTTGATACCGCGTTGGGCGCCAGTGTGGTGCACACGTATCCCGAAGGAGTACGGCCACCAGCGTGGGTCCGGTCTTAGCGAGCCGCAGGGCACGCGTTAACCGTCGTCGTGGCGGGAAACACGATACTGCTCAAGTCGCAACACTTTATTGTGGCAACACCAAACGCAGTACAGCCCGTTGCAAAAAGGCGCGGCGGGAAAGCAAGTAGGCTTATCCACGCCACGGGCACAAAGTACTACACAGGGTACCACGAGCACGTCTCCGCGGTAAAGGTGATCCACGGAGACACCGGGACAAAGGACCCAGTTGCTCGAGCGAGGGCAAAGGCGCTCGCGTTGGCTTCGAAGGGAGACGGGTCGGTGTAGCGAGGCCACGCACTAGGACACCGTACCGCCCTTCGGCCGTGCGTACGCAGCGGGGCAACAAAAGGTGAGCGTTCGCCTTGGGCGCGAGGCGCCGTCAGCAAAGTCCGACGAGCCCTTGACTGACGGGAGTCGATGGACGGAAAAGATAGCACGGCTCACCGTTTGCTGTCCCGGAGAGTATCTGACCGCTCCCGACGCAGCGCGCGAAAACCTCTCGCGAGTCCCCGCGCGCGGCGCCACAGTCAACATCCGCTTCCGGGTGAGGGAGTTAAACGTCACTCCGCTCACCCACCACGGCAGACAGCACAGGAGGGCAGACATGTCGGGACATGAGAACGGCAGAAAAGGCGGCAAAGCCCGCGCAAAGGCAGCGGGCTAGCCTCAATTCCCACAATGCTCAATTTTTGTGGCTATGAGCACACAACACATTCGTTGACAGCTGCCATGTAGGTGCCGATTTTATTCCACGACAGACTTGCCTTCAAGGCAGACTTGCATTGAATTGTTTAACTGTCTTGACTGAATTACGGTTCAATTTCAATTTGAAGCAAGGTTTAATACAATCAAAAAGACACAAGTAACTAGAGACCTTAAACACAGTTGCAGCAAATCGGATGGAGGAACAGCCTACTTTCTCGTGTTTTTATGGCTAAATAGAAAACTTCAAAAAAGAATGTAACAATGTCCCTGTACCATGTGAAGACTCAATGCAAGAGTTAGCACACCTAAACAGCCCTGCAAGATGAATGCAAATGTACGAATTATTTGTACGCTTGTGTGGATAGTGAATGTCAGGTGCGAAGGGAATTCAGAGGAAATAGTGATTTTGATTGAATAATTTCGAATCGAATTCAAATGGTATGTATGACATATAAAAAAAGGGGAATATTTATCATGACCTAACTAACCTGCACAATATTCCTTTTGAATTGGAATAAGGGCTCTATGCAAGAGACTTTTTTTTTCGTTCAAAGGAAGTCGAAACAACCTTGAGTAATAGTTTGGGTAAGATGCAAGTGATAACCTGTAAGATATTCACGTTTAAAAATTTATTATACTTGGAGCATATAATCTGTCAAACAAGCTTAATAAAATGAAGAATTGATTTGAGGGTAATGTGCTCCTTTAAAGGGGCCCTGCAACACTTTTTCAAATAGCCAAGGAGCCAGTAAGCATGCTTGTTGCCTCACAAATTTACCGCTGCAAAGTTTCTAGAATCAGTCTGGTATGAGTTGAGTTCCAAAAACTTGTCGCACGCTGCAATAGCATTCTCTCTGCTCGTCCCAACGATATAGCTGGAAGCTAAGCAGGGAGGAATGGCACGACGAAAGAAAAAACGTCACACGCACCTCGTGACCTTGAACACCTCTTTTTTTTTTCTTTAAATATGTGGCTTTTTAGTGCGATCACGCACGTACTCTAGAACAAGCGGCGGCCTCCCGCGGCAGTGCCGGTAACGACGAGCGCGCCATGCTCAAATTAGCCAATGGCTGTGACCAGAGCCATATATTCCTTCTTGGCTGTGACAAGTGATTTTTGAGCTTGTAGTGTCATTCGCCGAGGAAAGAAGGCAATTTTTAGCTTTGAAAATTTATTGTGAATTACAGGCCGCGTGCTGCGCTATATTTGCCTTGCGTGTTCTCGGTAACCTCGACTACAAATCAGCAGCGTTTTCTGACCCTCAGTAAATGTTGCAGGGCCCCTTTAAATTTGAAGGGGGTTTCACGACAAAGTGTATTTCTCCTGGATAGGTGCGGACTAATATACGCCTATTCGTTCATTGCGAATACTTCAAATATATTCAACAATTTAAATTCAAATCGAAGCGAATTTGACTAATAACTACTCGTTCGAATATTCTAAGCATTCGAATATTTGCACAAGCCTAGTTATTTGCATGGTAATTAAATCTCATTACAGTACTTCATAGTTTTATATATCAAACCTTATGTGTACCTTCAAGCAAGTGTAAGGTGTAGTGACACGTATCATGAGCAAGTACGGCCACTAGCGTGGGTACGGTCTTAGCGAGCTGTATGTAGGGCACGCGTTGACCGTCGCCGTGGCGAGAACACGATACTGCTCAAGGTCGCAACACTTTATTGTCTGTGGCAACACAAAAACTTAGTACAGCCCGTTGCAAAGGCGCGGCGGGAAAGCAAATGGGCTTATCCACACCATAGGCAAAAAGTACTGCACAGGGTGCCAAGAGCACGTCTCCGTGGTTAAAGTGATTCACGGAGACACCAAGACCAAGGCCCGGTCGCTCGAGCGAGAGCAAAGGTGCTCGCATTGGCTTCGGAGAGATGCGGGTCAGAGTAGCCTGGCCACGCACTAGGAACCCGCACCACTCTTCAACCTAGCGTTCGGAAGGTGGGGGGGGGGGGGGGGCGACATAAGGTAAGCGTTTGGCGAAGTCTGAACGTTGGCACTGTTGGCGAAGTCTGAACGAGCCCCAAAGGGAGCTGACAGACGGAAAAGAAAAGCGTGCTTACCCCATTGTTGTCCCCGGAGAGGTCTCTCGCACTTCCGACACGCGCGCGAAACCTCTCGGGGGACGATGCCAGGGTGCCACAGTCAACATCCACTACCGTGTGAGAGGGGTTAAACGTCCCTCTCCGCTCTCCCAGCGCGGCAGACTATGGAGGAGGGGAGTCATGTCGGGACATGAAAATGGAGAAAAGGCAGCAAAGCCCGCGCAAAGGCAGCGGGCTAGCCTCAATTCCCACAAAGGCAATGTACAAATTAAATACTAACATTATCATTTGCACATTCTGCAAGAATTCTTTGTTTGGCAATCACCTTATTTGGGCTGATTTCAACGACGATAACGGTATTTGTTACCACACTTAAAACACGTATGCCTTGAACATTTAGCTTACCAGGAGACATCGTGGCGAGTCAGCTGCCCATCGGTGATTCTCGACCAGCTGCCCCAGAAGACTGAGTGCCTCGCTTGCTCCAAGCAGAATTATGGGTGTGCCCCAGGTTGCACTGGGCTGCCCCAACATACCCAGAGCCAGCTCCAATGCAGCTGCCCGAGGGCCGTCTTCTGTTGTGCATTCGACTACCTGCAGAGAGTTACAAAATGCGCGCGAAAATCGCAGTGACTGAAATTTTGAACACTTTCTCCAATAACTCACACCCTGTTTGCACAACTGCGTCCTAATTTGGGCACTGAGTCAAGCAGAAGAAGAGATAATTTGGTTTTGCATCTTTTAATACATCACCAGTATCATCCTATGATAGTCTGATCCGCATAGTCACCAGCGGCCTTTTATGAAACTATAAACAAGTGAAGCCAAGCTAATCACCGCTTTCAATTCATGGGAAAAAAGACAAAACTTTAACTCTGAGGTTTTATGGGCCAAGATGACGATACAACCACAAGGCGTGCCGTAATGGTGGACTTCACAGTGATTTTCGACTATACGGGTTTTTTCAACATGCAATAAGAGGGTATTTTGGCATTTTGCCTCACCAATGTCTGCCAAATCATCCATGGCTTTTTCGCTCTGCCTGTCAACACTCAGTTTTAAAAAAAGACGGCAGCATATCTACGGGGTGAATGATGGAGAGTGGGGCAAAGCATCCATCCGTCCATTCGTTCTTGCTTCTATTCGTCCATGCGTCCGTCTGTGTAACCGTTCATGTGTCGATCCGCCCGTCTGTGCGTGCATCTGTTAGTGCGTCCGCATGTCCATCCGTGCGTCTGTCCCTGCGTTCGTCCATGCATCCGCCCCTGCATCCGTTCATGCGTCCATACATCCGTGCAGCCATCCGTGCGTCCGTCCATGCATCTGCCTGTGTGTCCATTCGTCCATCTAGTCAACACTACAAGTACCACCATCTCGCATCTTTTCTTCATATATTCCGCATATAGAAGCACCGCCATCTAGCGGTCATTCCAAGGACTAAACGAGAGATGGCACATGCACACTCTTTTACGGCTTGCGCTTCGTGTCTACTTCCCACCTTTAACCACCCCGAGTTCATGGTATATACTAGTTCACTGTATTCATGGCACTGCGACCCAACGCTCACAAAATTTTTCTAAAACTAAGGAGGTTACGCCCAGCGTGTATAACGTAGCAACCCTTTCTTGTCAGATAGTGCTCAATGTATATGCCAATGGCTGCTAATGGGGAATGAGAGACAGGAGAATTCGGCTTTTAGTTAATGCGCACGCTGCAAATTTTTTATTAACGCGCAGGAGAACTCTCCCTTCGGCCCCACCTTGCACGTCAAATCGTAAGGCTGGTTACGCACTGCGACGAGGGACGAACGGGTGCCACTTTAAGGAGCTTCGCCCCTAAAACAGCAATACAGTCGAACCCCTTAATAAAAGGCATTGATATAAGAGACAAATGGGCATAGGAGACACCAGTGAGCCTACATTAAAATACCGGTTGATAAGAAAATGCATACGAGGTAACCTTCTTAAAAAAGACATCTTATATAAAAGGCAAGAATTGCTGCCTGGAGCATGCCTCTTATAAAGAAATTCAACTGTATTACTTTATACAGAAGTGTGGTTAATTGGGCTAGCTGGTTTGTGGGATCTCGAATTGGCGAGCGAGCGCTACGCCACGCTCTTGGAGTGAAAGGAACACACAGATGCGGTCGGTACAAACCAAACAACAATACACATTTATTTAACTAATTTAGAAGGACGATATCATCCGTCAAATCGATGCATCAATTGTGATCAACCCACTAAGACATCTTTACACACAATTTCCATACACTCCAAAACATGACAAACACACAATAACACACCTAAGGCGGTGTCAGCCAACGCTTGGCTTACCACGTGGGCTCCCCAGTGCGCAGGCCCGCAGTGCCACGCGCCGAGGACCCACGCTACAGACAATCGTTCGCGGCAACCACCACGCGCAGAAGAGACTCGCTCAACACTCGCCCCCCACCAAGGCTCGCTTCCGCCAGGAGTCACTGCCGGCGCTACCCCATGATGATGATGACGATAGTGGTGCTCAACGTGAATACAACGCCGACCTATTGCACGGCGGTCGTCACCCTAAATGCGGCTTTGGGGCGAGACACGTGTGCCCCAGGGCGCAAACAACTTCAGAGGAGGTGTCAGCACCCCCACAGGTTACACATTAGACGTAGCACCACAGGAAGGAACACACAAGGCGAGCACTGAGCAGGTGCTGCAATGCAATGAACCAACGAAAAAATGCTTACCCTAGCCAGAAGGAAGAGGAATAGTCCGGGGCCTCCTAGACTTGCAGCTGCGTGATGGATCTGCTTTTGCCACTGCAGCTGGACAGGCGAGAGCCGTTGTGCCTCCCTTGACCGAGGAAGTGCACTTCGCTTGCGCTTTCTGACAAGAAATACAGGAGAAAAACAAATATCAACAGACTGCAAGCATGATCGATCGTTACTAACACTTAATTTTTTTATGTCATTTGGTTTTATTAAAGAATGAGCCCACATTGGCCCTTGGGTGTTACAGCAGGGGGGGGGGAAGATTATGACACAGATACAAAGATTTCTTCATTCGCACAACATACTTGTTCTTCAGACAGGTTGTTCCATTCTGCTACCCACTTTGCAAAAAAAGGAATCAGCGAACATGCATGCCCTGGCAACACGCACTTGAAGAGGGTATCCCTCTACTGTTGTTGCCATGACGTCTTTGTCACGAAGGCACCTAAATATTCCTATTACAGCAAAATAAACTGCACACTTGGGCCGTCTTTCACCAAAGCACCCTTTTTGCAATGTTCCGTATGATATTCCAATAATTCACCATGCTGTCCATAAACTTCTACGGAGCTCATGCCATTACGGTATATGTTCAGTAAACTTCCGTAATAACCTCGGAATCAGCATATGGAATTACAAATTATGGACATCATACGGATTGCATATGGATCACTTCTATGAGGAAATTCCCTTAGAGACAAAAGGAACGCTTGATGTCAATACCACTCAGTGCCAACAATGTGGCATTAAGTGTACACAATTTACACAGATGCAGGCAATAGTGTGAACTTTCATTTAATAATTCTTGCACTACTTGCATGTGGCCCTGTTGGCCCAATTCTTTTACTTCGATAACAGTGAAAAAAGCTGACAAACAAAAAAGAAACAGGAAAAAGCAGGTGAATGAATGGCATTAAAGTTGAGTGTGATTCTCATTCAGTATGCAATATCTATTGATGAGTGCTTATGAGTGAATGAAGCTTTTGGAAACTAACTACCTGAACATTCCTACCAGGGACAAAAGAAACTGCACACCGGGCAGCGTTCACCAAAGCCCCTCATTGCAATTTTCGTATGCGATTCCAGTAAATCAGTATGCTGTCCTGTAAATTTCTAAGGAGCACATGCCTTAACTGTATATTCGCAACAAATTTCTGTAACACCTTTACAATCAGCATATAGAATTACAACTTATGGACAACATACGCAATGCATATGGATTGTTTCTGTAAGCAAATGCCCTTAGAGACTAAAAGAATGCTTGATGTCAATATCACTCAGTGCCAACAATGTGGCATGAAGTGTACGCATCCTACAGGTTGCAGACAATGGTGTGAACTTTCCTTTGATTTTTCTCGCACTACTTGCATATGGTCCAATTGGCCCACTTGCTTTACTGCATGCAACTTGTACAATGTGAATTGCACAATAATCACTAGAGGGAACAATGATTTGTCTAAATATCTAAACTTACTTGGATGCAGCCAGGAATGATGAAAAGGTCTGTGGGCCGCGTGGATAACTGACAAAGGAGTCACTATTCTGCGGCGAAAACCACACCATGATCTCGTCCTGGTAAGCAAAGGAAGGTATATGCTCACTTTCAATAACTTCCAAGGCAAATGCAAGCCAGATAAACAAAGCAGTTGCACAGGAGAAATAAGCAAGCTACTTGCAGAATAATTACAAGCCCAGAAGTTACTGTGCTTTTTAACAGTATCATTCCACATATCGGCCAGGCATCACAACACACAGTTGGGCCCACTTATGAAAAAGCATCATGGTCACAAAAGAGCCATTTACACTAGATGATAAAGCAGGAGTAGGCCAATAAAGCGTCAAGCTCATTCATTTTTTTTCTATATCTGCTCAATAAACTTGCTTTGCCTGATCAACACTGATTAAAACTGGCTTCTAGATTGTTAAAAGCTGATTGGTGCTAACTACAGGGACCTTTGCCAATATGACTTTGCACATTCACTACACAGCGTTAGTTGAAAGGAAAATCAGAGGCAGAATACCTTTATTATGTTCAATACAAAATGCCATGGACCACATGATAATTACGACCTGCACAACGCCTTCATTCATAATAACCGAACATTAGTTACAACTTCATTCGTAACAAGTGGATCAACAAACTATTCCAATCTGACAAACAATAAAGAGGTGGCCAGCATTATTGGCTGTTTTATCACCAATACAGGGCACTAGCGACAAAACTCAACAACGCAAGCTACAAAATGCAACAAACGCATGGCTCTGTGGTACAGCACATGCCTGTCATACAGACGGCCTTTGTTCTCAGACTGAAGTTTTATTAGGACCTTCCTTGACTTTTTGGCCATTGACAAGACGATTTTTCGCTGACGTCGACATCGACGCTGACATCAGCACTGGCACCAAAATCGAAATTTCTGTGAAATAAGCTCTTTAAGGGGACTGTCTACCGCCCTTCACTGCTTTTCTGTTTTGTGTCAAAATAAAAAAGTACCATCTGAAGTGTCTAAGCTTGCAGCAGTTTCTCTCAAAAGTGTGTAGAAATTTTAAAAACTGAATTTTTCAATCTGCGTTCGGCCTCCTTTTCCTCGGTGGGATGAATGTCCACAGCACTGGTCGGTGAAGGCTATGACAACTGTGCTGCCGCTGAAAGCCGAAAACTGAAACTGCGTGCAGTTTTCGCAGGCTTCATCAAATTTTGTTCATTAATGAAAAAAATACCTCAGTGGTCATTTAAGGCATGCACACACATTTTTGTTGTTCTTATGAGTGGCGGCGGATGTCCTGCTCACATTTGCTGTTTGCAGGCAGGCGTGCACGCGAGTGAACACACTGCCGGCAATGCCACCAGGCGCCTCTCTGAATGCGCGAGAAAAAAAAAGCAAAAATTTGTCTCTGGCGCAGCCTAAAGCTGCCTCAAGTGCATAAAATACAATTTCAAGTTAGACATGTTCGTTTTTAAGCAAAATAAGTCTAGCTGCGAAGATTTCTTGTCCTACCAGTAGATTGACCGCATCGCTGCTGGATGACGTGCCCTCCTAGCGATGATTTTTTGTAGACTTTCAACATCCAGTCAACCTTTTCGTTACCACGCCTATTCAAATCAATCACCGATGATCGACGCTTTTGAATCAATCGTCTATTTTGGCATGTTAAGTTTGTTTCTCATGCACCCAGCACTTTCTAGTAGTTAGTCCAGCCACTCAACTGTAATGAAAGTTCTGTAATGAAAAAAAAACCTTTGCAAGCCAAATATCGAATTAAAGAATCAGCTTCGCAATTTTAGTATGTTGAGCAGTAATAATTGCCAGAAATTTATGCCAGCTATTCAATAGACAGCTCTTCCAAGGAGTCGGGGGATATTGTATCCACAAAAATATTTACAAAGATGCACCGCATGTTTAAGGTGTCAAAATGGCCTTCTCTGACAATTTACAGCAGCTTTTGTTTCGCTTGCATCATTATATTCGACACAGGGTCTCATCTCGTGTCACTAGTCGCTCCTATGACGTCGTCATGACGCGCGCATGGGTGCGCACCAGCGCTGCAAAACACATGCGCTGCTCGAAACTGTCTTGCAACCCCATCGGAAATGAGTGAGGACAAGCTTAGAGTTAGAAGATGACAGCATCTCAGCTTCAAGTTTTGGGGCAACGATGTTTTGTGTCAGCCTGAGACATCCGCAGCCATTCATAGGTTTGTTTTGTTTACATCCTCAAGTCATCTTTTCCACTGTGAGTGCATATAGCTTCTGACATTTGTGCACAATCCTATAGCTACTGTGGTTACGTGCGAGATCCACACGTCACTGGGGGGTGGCGTGGTGGCGCCAGCTGCAGAGCTTTTCGTCACGACAAGTAGGTCACCGGAACATATCTTGGCCCTAACTACAGAGCAGCACAAAACATTTTATGACCATGCGCGATATTGTTATGTTCTTATTTCTTATTTACGATGTGTAAAATGCAAAGAAATATGCTTGGAGACATATATTGGAACGCCAACCTACGCGGAGTGAGGTGGCTCATGGAAAGAGGCGACGCTAAGCGAAATAGCGAAGTTCATTGGACATCTCATTTATAGAGGGATTATGCACATCACAGGTATCCATCTATATTGGAATACCTGGAGATTTTTATCGCAAGACAACAAAATTTTACTCAGAAAAGTGTACGAGTTCACTTGTGTCACACAAAAAACCATGCAATGCTTCACCGCATGGCACAAGCAACGAAGCAGCACCTCCCTTCTGGTTTTCTTTGTCTATGGGAAAAGAAACATTTTGTACAACATTTATTATTTTTATACCGTTTCTGGGTCAATTATCTACAAAATAATTATTCTGAATTTTCTTTGTTTAGAATATGTATGCATATATAGTGTTTCTTTATTAGACTGTTTGCCAGCTGGCAACGAAAAAATTCACACTTTTCATATTTTTATTTAATCTAAAATATTTTCGTTGCTCTGCAACATATATTTTTTTTTGAAAAAGCATTTCATTGTGCTAAGTTCCGTATGCTGCAATGCATGCTGCAGTACTTTTGAAACTGGCAAAAACGACCTTCACGAGACATATGTAAAACAACCATTTTCTTGTGGTAAGAAAAGAGTTAAAATTATATTTCCTGTTTTTATGGGACAGAAGCATGCTCGTTGCCACCGACGTAATGAACGATCTTGTCATTTGTGCTACAATCAGAAATTTTTTTTCTAAGCGGTACACAGTCCTTTAAACGTTATCACGGTTAAAAAGGCTAGAAGAGCTTTCAAGATTCCATGGCCACACACCTCTAACGTAGCCAGCACTCCTCGCAACTGGCCAGGCCCCAGCCACCTCCTGAGGGAACCTTTGCGAACCAATCCGGGGCTGATGTTAACTCTCGCCGAGTCTTCATCTTCGCTCAGGAGGCATGATGTGGGCACAACCGCATCAGCGCCCCTCAAGTAGAGAGCCAAGCACTCGGCTGAACCGAGGCAAGAACCTGAAACAACCACAACAGTGGGGCACGTGTTGTCAGAATAAGTTGACGATCAACATTTCATTATAGTTCGTTCGGGTTCACTATGTCCTTGTTCGCTAAAGTTGCTGAAACTATTCTGCCTAGTTTTTTTTTTTTTTAGAAAAGGCTTTCGGTTACCTAGAAAAGGGTATCTAAGTAAACGGTAGGGCTGTTCCCTTTTGCGGCTGATTTCAAATGTGTGGCCTCTTTTTCCCTCTCAGAATTTTCTCTGTCTCATTCACTGTATTTATTTGCCTGACAAGAGGGCAAATGGAAACAGTGAATGCATAGGTATCCGATAAAAACTTTTTAATATGTAAAAAAAAGTGTGCATACTTTATGCTTAGCGACTTTTCAGCCACCATCTTGAATTTTGTTGCACGACAGAGCAGGGACTCCCCCTTCAAATCTTGTCGAATTATTTTTCACCGTACGGAAGTGCTTGCTCAGGATTTTACAGCATGGGGAAAAGACGTGACGTTGCTGGCCCATATGCGGCACCCGGGCCTTGTGTTTAATTAAGACCCCCGATTTACACCGATATCATTAGGAAAGAGCTTGCAGATCAGTCGACATAAAAAGTGCCGCCATATCCACGAAGTGAATGATGATGAGTGGGCGAAGCTCCGGAGGTAAACCTGGTAAACCATGAATTCTCCGTACATTTTGCCCACTCGATTTTATTGCAACGCTCCCCCTAGCGTATGTCGCCGCACTATATCGAACGATGACACGCGCCATATGTGGCATCATTCCTATTTTATAACACCTCGCATCTTTCATAATCCACTACACGTACCGCCGTCTAGTTTATAACATCTTGCATCTTTTGGATGGACGGACGGACGGACGGACGGACGGACGGACGGACGGACGGACGGACGGATGGATGGATATGGCTGTACCCTTTAGATCGGGCGGTGGCTAGCGTAATACTTAATGCCGTCAGCTACAAGTATTGCCATCTAGTGAACACTGCAAGAACTGAACGAAAGGTGGCTACATACAGGGGACGCACAGCCCACGCCCTAAGGAGCTTCGCCCCTAAAAAAACTATACAACCAACTACATCAACCAACACCGAAACGATTTCTCTAACTGGGCAAGCCAGGGGTTGAGCAGCGAACCTCGGAAAAGGAGCAGGTTTCCTAGGCTCCACGACACACCACCACTGACGAGGGCCACTGAGGTGCCAGTTCCCGCACTCTGGCCAATCCAGAGCATCGGCCCCGGCTGGTGCAAGCAGCTGTCACCACCCTGTCCTTCCAGGGGCAAGTGCCAAGAACGACTGTGACGACCGTCAACCGTTAATGTCACCTGCACAGGATCCAACACACAATAGTGACAGTGGAACATAGCGTGTTAGCACGACTTCGGCAAATACTGAGTTCAACAATTTTTTAATACTTTTAGCTGGCATACTCTACACAGTAGACAGTCTTGTCCCAATACACAGTCAGAACAGGCAGTATTGCCCAAATGTGTCACATTTTTATTAGCCACCCTCACAATGCTCTGGAGTACTCACCGAAGCATAGCTGCTTGTTTCAGCGGTGTTTCGTGGCACGTGTTCATGGTATGTGAGGGCCAGGTGGTGCCAACCATGGCTCGCCAACGCTCTCTCGAAGCTACACTGGGAGGCAGCATTGCAGGCTGCACTCTCTGCCACACTGGTGCCATTCTGTGTCAGCCACAGTGACACTGTACCCTTCTCCACGTCTTCAGCCCAAAGCTCGCACAGAAACTGGCCGCAACCCAGGGACACCAGGTGCAGCCGAGTGCCGTCCTCGTGACCTGAGAAAAAAAAAGGCGACGCCGTCTGTAACTGTTGTTTAGTCATCAGTGTCTTTCAGTAGTTTATCATCAGTAAGTATGGAATACCACACGGCCCGTGGTAGGTGCGTCACTATTTCAATCTGCTTGTATTAGCCACTTTACCAATACTGCCACATTACCATACACACTGAGCAACTTGCGCAACAATAACGTATTCAGATCATGGTATATTTAACATGTAATAGTAATACCATTGCCTTCTTGCTACAATATTACTATCGCTTCTAAAACACTCTATTGTCAAGTTTTAGTGCATGGAAATGCCATTTTATCATCTCTCATAGCCACTGTCTCGCATCATCTACACTAAAGAAGGCTGGCACTCTTTGAAGCACACCTTGTGCCCAAAAAATAATTGTAATCCGTCTTTTATACCTTTTCCTTTTTCTATCCTGCAGCCCTGAACTTCAGTGAGGATATGAGGACATTTAGAAAATTTGTTACAGAAGGAAGTTAAGCATGACTAAAGGACACAGCATCTGTTCAAACCGCACAGTTTGGTCTTTCAAGTGTTCAGATCACATGAAACTCAGCTCACCAAAGTGCCATTTAAAAAGATCTAACGTCTGAATATCTTACAGGTCATATACTGCATGGTAATACAGAACGTGCAAAAAAAAAGGGATACCTGGCTATCAATGTTAATAATAATAACAATACAATATTAATTGAAGTGGTTTTACAACCAGAAACCATGATATGAATATGAAGAGTGCCGTAATAAAGGGCTCTAGAAATTTTGACGTCCTGGAATTCTCCAATGTGCATCCAAATTTAAGTACACAAGCTTCTAGCATTTCAGCTCTATCAAAATGTGGCCGCGATGACCGGGATTCATTTCCGTGACTTCTGGGTCAGTAGTCCAACACTGTAACAACTAGGCCACCACGATTGGTAAATTAATGCTATTTTCAACTTACATAGTTTATTATGTTGTTCTTATTTAGAGAAATGCCAGCAGGCTGCAGTTTTTCATCATGAAAAGTCAGCCAAGTCGACTCAAAGGGGTCGTAAACGAAAACTAAGCTGCTCGATTTTAATTTTCCCTGCTTCAATAAAGATTAGAAGTGCCAATTCCAAACTATTTTGACACAATATCCAGTCTATAATTGACGACGCTCATTTGAAATCATAGTTTTGTTTTTTTGCTTTGAAGTGACCGTGCTGCAATAATGGTCGCCAACAGCCCTAACACGTGACGTCAGTGAAAAATCATAGTAAGAGGAGATATAAACATAGCATTAGCGTTCTTTTGCTTCAAAATAATAGATTTATAAGATCCTAAAAAAGTAAAAAAAAAAACAAAAAATTTTTGTGCTCTCAGCTGTGTATATTGTGGAACTGCAGTGAATAATCTGCTTGGTTCTGCTTTCAAGCACATATGGGCTCCGTTACATGTTGCCTCCGCTCGCCTGACACAGCGTCTCAGTGTTTTTCTTACTAGTTGCGTTACATTGTGCTTTACAGCGTGTTTGGGTGGCTTAGTACTCACTATTCCTACCGCGTGCATCGTGAGACAGTGCCACACAACCTATCAAAGTGAGAACAACGCTCGTGACGGCTTTACGGTGCCGCCATCAAGACTCATGCTACGAACCTCAATCAACTATGGCTCAGCACCCAACGCTGCGTCCCCATCTTTTGTCAAGGACAGAGACTTTTCATTGGCTGACACAGAGTGACATCGATTGTAAAGTTAGGAGAACATGAACAGGGAATCAAAATTGTTCTTTTGCAGCTACTAAATGAACCCAGACGATGAAATGAATAAAGAGAGGTATAGTATTTAATGGACAGCTAGGATTCTGAATACACATGTAGTTGAAAATTTTCGTAAAACGTTTTGCGACCCATTTATCTTGGAAAGAATGAGGGAAAGACAGCCATAAATTTAACTCTACCTCAGAGGTTTAGCGACACAAAATTCTCACTCAAGCCATGCACTGAGCCCTTATAGCAGACTCTAAATACTAACCAAGGACTGAGCTCCAACGTAGGGCAAGCCAGAAGGCAAGAGAAAATCCCTCTCGGCGAGGACACCAGCCGCCATGATCTTCTAGTGGCAACACCAACACAGCTTGGTTTGACGCACCACCATGCGGAAGACTGGCCAACTTCCCGCCTCTTTCTTCTTCCTGCTGATTCAAAAGTGATAAGATAGCTCTGCCTGCAATGCGCTGCCACATTTCCTAGTGTATAACCTGGCATTGCATATATCTCGTACTTCCGGGATCACACGAAAAAAGCCGCGCATTCGAAGAAAAAATAATAATAAAAAGTGCTAAAGGTTACGAGGCGCACGTGACATAGGGTATTTTCTCTGCCCCTGTCATCCCTCCCCGATTAGCCTCCAGCACTTTCGCCGAGACGAGAGAATACGATTGCAGGGTGTGACAATTCTTTGTAACTCCGCTCGTACTGAACGAATTCTTACCCCCGTATTCTGGAATGCCCCTTCACTCAACGCTCCACCTTCACTTGAGAAAGCCGATGAGAGCGCCATCTCTAGGCACGGAAAGTCACTGCATATCAGTGATAATTTGCTGCTACAGTTGAGTAGCGCAGTGTCATTTTCAGCCAAGCAGCGGCGCAGTGCGCTACTCGGTCAAGTGAAGGGTGAAAGTCGAGTCGAGGAGCGTTTGTGAATACGGGGGTTAAAATTTTTGCGGCGTTGAATTCTTAAGGCAATAAGGTATTTTAGTTAATTCATTCCATAGTTACTTGAAAAGGTGTTTCAGGGCCCTTTTAAAGTCAATATTTACCACCACAGCCAACATATGAATTAACAGATATTAACCAGCTTAGCAACCATTTACCCAACATTATCGACTGGCAGATTCGAAGTACAGTATACTAGTACACCCTGACTAATTTAAACTATTCAAACAACGCATTAAGATATACTAGCTGACTTTCGCAATTATTTGCACGTATTTGGCCAGCAATAGTTGCCAAATAGCTATGGCTAAGCTAACATTCGTGAATATCAACTAACGTTACCCGTCAATTATGCACTAGCTAAAAATAGCCAGTACTACTGCCAGCACTAACAGTCTGAACAAATACAACAGACCAGAATACCATCATCAAAAGCTCATTGTTCATATACAGTCGCCGACCGATTTTCCGGACTCCAAAAATTCGGACTTGTTGGATATTCCGGACTTCATAAATGCACCGTCAGGGATCCCATAGAGCTAATGCATTGTTTCGACCGATTTTTCGGGCGAATTTGCCCCTGAAAGTTCAATTTTTCGGACTAAATCGCTCGTTTTGTGCCACGCCTCAAGCCATTGTGAACGCCGCCATGTTGGATTTTCCGTCGGCTTGGCTAAGCTTGGTCTTCAGATGCTTTTCCTGCCTCCGAGATTGGAATGCGCACGCCATATTTTAAGTTTCGGAGGCCGTGTTTGCTTTTTAAAAGACGCGGTGATGGATGCCGTTTATCCGTCTTCGGTCAGCACTATCGTCATCACATCGCACGGGGAGGAGGCGAAAGAAGGATTCTTTTATTGTCGTTGCAGCTTTTTTCAGTCGCCATTCTGCACGTGTTGTGTCGCGTAGCATCGAGACGTTGTGTGCTTCGCAGCGGCTATCTGCGGCATCGAATTTTGTGTTCTTGGTGCCATGGCTTCGCTATCTGTGCCATCGCGGGAGCCAGGTGGTGTGAAGAAGCGTGAGAAGTATACGACCCTGACGATGGAGAAGAAAGCTGCCATAATCAAGCTAATAGAAGTGGACGTTCGCAGCTAGATGTCGCTGGATGACGGTCGACGCCGGATGCCGGTCGTCGTTGTCGTCGGATGACAACGACGACCGCCCGCAGCCGTCGGAGATCGCCAACGCGGTGACAATTTTGTCGAGCGTTTACGGCGACGATGTCACCTTGGCGCAAATACGGGCAAACCAAATTGCCTCCAAGCGTAGTTTGAGGCAAGGCAGCATCAAGGACTTTTTTAAACCTGCCTGATGCAATAAACTTCAAATTTTTGGCGAAAACGAATTTTTCGGACTGTTCGATTTTTCGTACTTTTTTTCGGTCCCCGCCAGGTCCGAAAAATCGGTCGGCGACTGTATTGTAAAAGAGAAAGGGCAGGAAAAGTACATTAAGAAATACACCCGCATATAAGAAGCTAGAAACACAAATATACAAGCAGTGCAGTTGCTCACCTGCTGCAGCGTGGGCAGGAGCATGACCTCATCATCGTCTGCGGCCAGGGGCGGGAACTGCAGCCAACACTGCGGTCCACGATCTCCACAGTTGGCCAGAGCCAGAAGACCTTCCAGTATGGGGCCCTGGATGGCATGACATTGAACTGTGAGCCACTATCGTGACGTCTGCCAGACACTGAAGCAGCTATGACAAGTGAAACTCTTCACAGTTACTTATGCATGCCCTACTCAATAGCTCATAGGGTGCACAGTGCAATCTGATGACGTTTTTTTTTTTTTTTCGAAGATGCAGAGATTTATAGCAGCAGTGATGGCGGTTCTCCTAAGTTCACATGTTCAAAGTGTTTTATAGTAACCCCACAATAGCTCCAAAAATCCAAACCTCATCACTTCTCAATTGGTCTCAATACTTTTGAAAAAAACTGCACGCTCAGGTGAGCGAAAGCACGCCATCACTTGGTTTGTTGAATGTGATAGCTGTCATGATGAAAAGCGGTGGGGACAAAAAAAGAGCGCATGCAACTGACGGAACACAAAAAGCAAGAAATTAGACAGAACTCATACAGTTTTATTGGTTGCCTGCCAGTCCACCCTGTTCTGTTCAGGATGAAAAGGAGCTGTGAATGCACGTTATGGGTGTTCCGTGAGAACAAATGTATGCTGTGCACCAAACCCCTCAGCTCTCTAAACCTCCATTGAAAATGAATAATTTACAGTCCCTATAAAAATCTCTCAACAAATCATGCATTCGTAAAACACTCTCATTGCACCAATCGGTCAAAAACTAATTTTTGTCGCTGGCACGACAGCATCACTTCTTTCAAGCCAACCAGAACGGAAGGTTACAAGAGAACAGTAGAGAATGCACGCAGAGCCAGAGACGACGCACGTGTCGAAAACTGCCGCAGTGGGTGTCAAGCAAAACAGCAGCACTGAATTGCTGCCAGAATTTCAGTACGACCATAGAACATACAACTGCGACAACTGTAGAGATACAACTGTGACAATATACAACTGGGTAGAAAGGGAAAGAAGACAACTTCCCATTGTAGCGTGAAGTCACAAAGCCATCCCAAACCAAGACGAATTTCTCGGCAACTAAGCTTTTCTTTCTGAAAAATCCATAGAGATTTCCTTGTAGCTTTGTGCTACAACAGGTGGTTGTCTTCTTTCCTTTTCTTAACCATTCTGCCACCTTAATAGTTTCTGCAGAACTCATTAGGATTACTTGTGTCCATGTGCTTCAAGTTGTCGACAAATTCACCCTCGCGCTGCCAATAGCTAGCTTTCTGGTTAGCTCAATTGGTAGAGCGACCAACCCAAAAAGGCGTTGTTCTTGGGTTGGTACCCCTTACCAGGGTGAAATTTTCAGCAACTAAGAAGCTTTTCTTTATCAGTACGGATTTCCTTGTGGCTTCGTGCTACAAAACCGGTGGTTGTCTTCTTTCCCTTACTTGACCTTTCTGCCACCTTGCGGCTTTGCGCAGAATTCATCTGCATAATACTGGGGAAATGCAACATGTGAGCACCTACATTTTTTTTTTACAGCCATAATACTGAAGCGTGTCTCGGGAAAGTTGGTGAGCACAATGAGCATATTTTCACACGACCGAGAACTGCATTAAAAACACTCCTGTAGTGTCATCCCTGCGATTACACCTGCTCATGGGACAAGAAGCTTCCCGGTGTAAATGGGGGTTTAGGATGCAATTCAGTGTTAAAGTCACAGCAAGAGGATAGCACACTCACGAAGGCTGATTGAGTTCCCTTGAGGAGACCCATGTAAGCCACCAGGTCCTGTGCGCTAAGGCTGCGTCGACAGAAGAGCACAAGCAGGGACACCAGGCTCTCCTGCAGTTCTGCAACATACCGCATTGCTCCTGTCACCATCATCGCGGAGTAGCAGACTGCTCGCTGCACAATACTACTCAATAATCCATAACACCAGCAGTAGCAGTCCACCTACCCCAGCTGCAAAATGAAAGCCTCGCAAAGCGGCCAATAAACGCTACTGTCTTGTGCAAGCTGGCCCCATTTTATGCCTGCAAACTTTCTCATTTCGTGCCACGACAGATTTCTCAATTGTCTTAAGCTCCCATCTTGTGCAAGCTAGCCCCATTTTATGCCTGCAAACTTTCTCATTTCGTGCCACGACAGATTTCTCAATTGTCTTAAGCTCCCATCTCGTGCAAGCTGGCCCCATTTTATGCCTGCAAACTTTCTCATTTCGTCCCACAACAGATTTCTCAATTGTCTCAACTATATTTTAAACCATACAGTCCCTTTGATGTTCACTGGTTTAGGCCTATCACTGCACAACAAGCTCCTCTCTGGTATTGCCTTTTTTTCGCATTTTAAACTGCATTCAATTGCAAAGAATTATTAAAAAAAGGAGAATAAAAAACAAAAAAGGGCCACATCGCAACATGTACCAAAGTTCATAGAGCATGGTGGACGACACACAGAAGACAACTTACGGACGAGTGCTCTTGCATAATGTTGAGTAACAGTCAATCTTTAACTAAGACCTCAATTAGTCTGCTATTCGTTAAATATCATAGGCACATACCCAGGAAGGTCAAAAGCATGTTCACCTTTTCAGTTTTCCTTTACTAAAATTCGATGCTTGTCCATTTCTGCAAGCTATAACAACCATATGCCTTTATGACCTGGTAACTGCTCACATGTAACTACGTTCATGTCACCACAATGCGCTCCACACATTACAGTTACTTTCTGCCTTTTTAATCGTGCTTCTTGGAAGGAGGAGCAACACAGCAATGTTGATAACTACTGTGCCCGATGAACTTAAGAATTCGCAAAACGTATCCACATGCATCTTGTTGCGACATAACAGCTAGTATCGTGCAATCAAGTGCTACCTAGGGTGTGGTGCTCTGGGGGGTCAGGTTGGTCAGGCAGGTGCAGGAGACAGCCAAGGCCATGGCAGAGCTTCCCCACTGCACCCTAGGAAAAACACGCATTCACAATGTAAAGAAACTGAAATCTTATTTTGGTATACGCTTACAGCAAAAACAAAGCAGCTACAGACTTCCCAAGAGGGGTACAAAATGGAAGTGCTCACAATTCAAGCTGGATATGTTTAAGCTGCACCTAATTTACCACTCAAAGCTTCCAATACTAGCACACCTTTAACCAAATGCAACAGCTGCACTTTTCACAGCATATTGTCACAAACATCAGAGCTCTACAACAGCTGCATTACTGAAAAGGCCTCTGTTATGCAACAACAGTTCTTGTTGAATTTTGTGCGAGGTCATTGAAGTCACCAACAGGATTTCCTCAAAGCGAATGTCTATGAGATGCCATTATTTATTATGGGCAGAAACAGCGCACAAACTCAAGGGACGAAGAGAAGAGACACAAACAAGTAGAGGGGAGGGTGGTTCGTGTCACCCGTTACGTGGATGATTACTTAATAGCAGTGCCCAAAAAGGAGCGCAAGAGTGTTGAAAAGGTTTTGCAGATCTTTCAAGAAACAGGAATGGGGCTGAAATTCACCAGCGAAATGCCTTCACAGCATGCCTTACAGTTCCTAGACATAAAGATGACTTTTGTCAACCACCACCCTTGTTGGGCGTATAACCCAAAATCTGTGAAACCTTTGCTTAATTACAAGTCCGGTCATACAAAATTAGTGAAGAAGGCCATCGCTACGTCTAGCCTCGGGGCTGCGATCCTGAAGTCGTGTTGGCACCAAGCGGAACAAAGCTTCTACGAACAGGTGTATCGCCTTCAGGTATCCGGCTTCCCGACGTCCGTTATCACTTCTGTTTGCGAAGGTCTGATACGTCGGATCAAGAAGGGTGAAAGAAGTGTTAAAAAACAAGAGAGGTCAAAGAAATGTGCCACCATGCCCTACAAGCATAGATTAGCCCATGGACTGTGGCATCACGATACGATGTACAGGTTCTATTCTCAGCAAAAGCCAAACTAGAAAAATTGTGCCCTATGGTTAACAAAAAGCGCGATAAAAAGAGCTCTAGCCAAATTAAATGCGGTGTTAAACACAGGGACACCTCACTACTCTATGCACTAGGGGTGTTGTACAGAATTCCCTTAACATGCAGAAGGGTTTATATTGGGCAAACAGGGCGTTGTCTCTATGTACGATTAAAAGAACACTCCGGAACCTTCAAGACCAGCACGTACGCGAATTTACCTTCGCACTGCTACACGTGTGGATGCAGGCCCTTGTTCAATGAAACGACAGTGCTCTTCAAACATAGCGATCAGATCACAAGAGAACTAGTTGATGCATTCTTCATCAAAAAAGAAGGGGAGTCCTGTGTCAGTCAGACATCAATATCTTTACATGAAAACGAAGAAATCTTAATCAGTAGCATGTTTATTTGAATAGAATATGCCCCGCCTGCGCAGTTACCCGTAGCACAAAATTGTTAATGACGTCGACACGATCCTCCTCCGGTCCTCTGCGCATGTTCTGTGCTTTTTTATCTTATGTGTTCAGATAACTTGTATATTTCGATAAATTCTTCAGTTGAGAGTCAGCGCTTGTTTGTGTCTCTTCTCTTCGTCCCGTGAGTTTGTGCGCTGTTTCTGCCCATAATGTATCACCAACTAGCCCAACTTTCAGTCTTGCTCCATTATTTATGTTCGCAAAGTGAGGCTAAAGTAACAATGTCCTTTACACCCATGTATAACATTTACTGATATTTATATCTGTTTATGAGAGGCAATAAGAAGTACAGGCATCACATTACTGTAATTAGTGCAGAATAACTTTCAGCGACAATTTTTTGTTGTTGGTCCTGTCTTGGCACACCACACTTCAGGCAAATTGACTGACCAATCTTATGTTTGTACCTTCTTTCTTTGTCTCCATTAGCGTAACGTAACGTTACAGTAACGAGTCATCAAAATGAATAGTAAATTGCTGACTAGTCAACAAGGAACTGAAAGTTTTCAACAAAATATTTGTGGCTGAACTGAAAACAAAAAAAAAATGGAGAAAACTGGACCAGATGACAGCATTTCAACTTGCCTAATTTTCATATATATATATATATATATATATATATATATATATATATATATAATCTGTCCAGATGATTGATCTTTGATTGATATGCGGAGTTAAACATCCCAAAACCACTATACGATTATGAGAGACGCCACAGTGGAGGGCTCCGGAAATTTCGACCACCTGGGGTTCTTTAACGTGCGCCCAAATTTGAGCACACGGGCCTACAACATTTCTACCTCCATCGGAAATGCAGCCGCCGCAGCCAGGATTCGATCCTGCGACCTGTGGGTCAGCAGCCGAGTGCCTTAAGTCTGTCCAGATGTGCACACAAAGAAAGGGTGCAGCACGTGTAAACTATCAAACAGCACACTAAATAAATGATCACATAATGCCATCTAGAGATAGACATTCACTCCTATACAAACCGATCGAAGGGACAATGATGTATCCAACCCTCTTTTTCTGTATGTGATAAGCCTCAAGAACTTAAAGTGTGGCTCTATGCCCCTGTTCGGAGAAACATGTGAGATAGGAAGAAGCAGGGAATCGTTAGCACACTAAGTACTTTATTCTTATCGCATACATCAGAAAGGGGATGGATGCAGCAGTGTCCCTTCAATCTCTTTGTAGAGTTGTGAATGCAGATTTTCAGATTGCTCCGTGAGACAGTTTTTTTATTGTGCTCTACGATAGTTCACATGTGCTGCGCTCTTTCTTTGTGTATATCTGGACATTTATGTATATATTTTAGGAGGATGCACAGAAAATTAACAGGCTGAGAGTCTGGCACCCTGCCCGGTCCTCTCCCGTTTTTTTTGTTCTCAGCTGTGCCGCAAATATTTCATAATGGTACATACTAACGCATCAAATGTTATACTCTGCTGAAAGCTCTTCCAGGACAACTATTCTATTGTTGTATCGGCACAACCTTCAATCCTTTTGTAAATATGCGTAAATAATATAACACACTACCACACTAACAAAACCCAACAGACAATGAAGCCACAAAGTTTTAGGAGATGTTATTTTTAGTTTTTTAACTGTGTTGCAGTAATTATGACGTAAATGACAAAAATAAAGTGGACAAGAACCACCGGCAAGGACCAAACCTACAACCTTTGAATAACACATCCGACGCTCTACCGACTTGAGCTACAGTGGCGATTGTGTCCTGGTCCGCTTTACTAGGGACATGTAGACCTGAAAGTCTTGGCCACTGTCGCTCGCATTCCCCTTTGTACATTACTCCACACAACAGTATCACAGGTTTTCAGAATAAAAGACATACCTGCTTGACAAACAGCGTGAGCAGCAGCGGATGCTGTGAGCACAGGGTGGTTAGCCTCTGGATGGCGTGCAAGGCCACCTCTGGGCGACTCGGGCAGAGACGGCACACCAGGTCCAACACGAGGGAGCAGACTTCCTCGTAGCACACTACCGACATGTCTCCTGCACAGTGGCCTTCAGCGTCAAAATGACACATGGAACACATATTTCTTTATTTGTTTGTTTGCTTGCTTTCAAATAGGCGGGACTGTAGAGTGCTATAAACTTCAGTAATGATTCTTGGCATGCCGGGATGAACGTTTGATCTGGAAGCCAATGACGTAACGGCTCCTATGATTTTGGAAGGCTATTGTTTTGTTTTTATTTACTTATTCATTTATTATTGGGTTCTTTTTCGGTCATATCTTGTTGATATCGAATCAACTTTCAAATAAATATGCAAAAATAAGCTGCGTGCTGAAGTAAGCACTCTCCCCACGTTCTTCACGCCGTTCGTGTCTCATGCTCATGCTGTTATTTTTACGTGTTATACAAATGAACCCCTTTATGAGAGACACATACCAGGGAGCAGTTCGTGCCTCTTATATGAGAGGTCTCTTATAAGCATGGTACCGCATTTACATATTATATTCAGTCTATATTTTATTGTGGGCACACTACTGCTAAAATAAGCACAAAAGAAGGCTATACACGGTTACAAAATAATTTTTTTTCAGAATTTGCTTTCAAACCATTTCCTTTGTAAAGTACTTCTCCGTGGTTGTTTGTTTTAGGGCTGTGTCTATCCCATTTTTCAACACAGCTTCTTCCAGCCTGCTCACAATGTCAAGAGCTTCGTGGCTGCTAGACCAAAGCTGAATGTGTTTCCGAACTTTGCCCAGCACTGTCATTACTTCTCCAGATGTCATTGGTGGGGTACTGTCCTCGCTGTCCGATACATCCGTATCGGTATCTTCTTCCCGTTCCCCTTCCTGTACCAATCTTACGATGCTTTCATCAGAAAGGTCTTCAGATACCGCAAGGTTTTTGTCTGCCTCAACAAAGTTCAAGAATCTGCCAGAGTCGCCGAATCTACTTTGAATAAGTGGCCATGATTCTGGCTTAACTGCACATAGCAGGTCCCCTTCTGCAACATCCTTCTCTTTATCTTTCTCCTGCCGATCAAAACCGGCTTTGCGAAAGCTCCCTGTCATAGGCGATACTCTGAATATCGTTCCATGAGCCTGTTAACATCTCAGTCGCTGTTCTCACATTGATTATTGTCTCACGCTTTTGCAGCATGTCGAACAGCAGGCATTGAACAAGTCTGACTTCGTATTTGATTTTGACTGCATTAATAACCCCTTGATCAAGGGGCTGTAGCACAGATGTGCAGCCTGGTGGAAAGTACCTAAGCTCAACAGCTTTCAATGGTGGTGGCTTCATGTGAGGTGAACAGCTGTCTAAGAACAGTAGAACTCGACTCTTTTTCATAGCCATCTTGCGATCGAAACTTGCTAGCCATTTGCTGAATATATCTGATGTCATCCAAGCAGCATTGTTTGTCGTATACTCAACATTAACTGGATAGTTCTTTAAGCAGCATGGGTTTTTTTATTTGCCTATAACTAAGATTTCTTTCTTTTTCTGTTCCTTCCATATTTGCGCAGAACATAGCAGTAATGCATTCTTTCAACTTTTTGCCTCCACTGCAATCTTCCTTGGATAAGGCAAATGTTCTTCCAGGAAGCATTTTGAAAAATATTCCAGACTCATCCAGATTGAAGATATCGCTACCCTTCCACCCCCTCAGCAAAGTTCGCAACATCTCCCCTTTCTATTGCTTGACGGAGTTTTCATCAGCAGCTCTGCATTTGCCACAAACACTTTTGTAGCTGATGCCATGTCGGCGCTTGAACCTGTTAAATCATCCCTGACTGGCCTCAAGATCAATGTCAAGACCGAATGCAAGTTGCTTGGCTCTTTCTAAAATTAATGGTCCGTTGAGAGGGATGTTCTTACTCTGTGCATCCTGTATACACAGAAGAAGTGCCTCTTCTACGGAAGACATTGAAGGATGGGATGACTTACACAGTTTGGACCGGCTTGCTCCTATTGGCGCTTCTTTCAAAAGCTTATTTCGCTGAGCCTAAATCCCGCTAACAGTCTTTCTTGACAAGCCAAATTTTCTGGCGGCGTCTGCCTGCGTCATGCCACACGCTATGTCTGCTACAATGTTGAGCTTTTTTGACACCGTGAGGCAAGTACGGCATTTGATGGAGCATTCCACCATCCTGAGGCAGCGAAATCCAGATAAAGACAGCGATAAACCTAGTTTGCAGCGATCATGGCGTAGCTATGGCAGTGAGCGGAGATAATGGCACGATAAGCGCTATGGTCATGGCGTGGCGGCAAACCAAGTCTAGGCCAGTAGCAGAATCTGTTGCGCACTGATACTGGAGGTCAGCAGTGAACGTTGATAGCGATCACACCATCACACAATCACAAAGCGGCCACGAAGCGTAGTGATCACGGCGTAACATCCGGTAGTGAATGGCAGCGATACGCCTACTGCAGGCGCTGCAGCGAAGCACGTCTAGCTCTCTTGTGAATCGTTGCTAGCAGCCGGAGACTGACACCACCAGCTGCCAGCAACGATGTTGCTGGCAGCCGGTGGTTTGTTGTTACACACGTGCTGATGTTCAATATGATTAGGCCTGTTTCGTACCTTGTTTGCTTTGATGCCCAGACGCCTTTGGTTGTCCACGTGACTGGGTCAAATGCTTGATATATGTGCGTGTATCTTTCAATAAAGTTTAGTTGCGAGTTCAGCAGTGGTGTCGTCTCTTCCTCTATCCTTGTCTATATTTTTGCGCTGTTTTTACTTCCCAAGTATGAACCACCAACTAGCCCAACTTTCGCTATTGTTATAATAAATGCACAAATTAAACAAAAGGGGAACTGAAGGCAGACTTTAGCCAGAACCCTTATTTAGTGGTTAAAAATGCGTTATTGTTGCGATAGCAGTTATATGAATACTCTCGGCAGATTTTCGCCATCGCTGTCATGTTCCGTAAGACGTCCAAATTGATATCTCGCCCTCGCGCACCGTAAATGTAGGAGCGGGTGAAAGCGCTGCGAGCTATGTTGAAAGCAGCGATCCAATGATCCGGCCCTTCTCTATCGCCTGGAGGGCACATGCGATAACATTTACCCAAGTGTCACAATTGCCATTGAATGCTCTAACAGAAAGAAAACCACCCTTCTCAAAATCGAAAAAGCATGAAAAAACGTGAGTGGGGGGGGGGGGTCGCTTGAGTAGCAACGGTGAACTTTTTAAGGGCGCGGTTGCAATGGCTCGCGCATTTGCTATCACGGCAAGCATCAGCATGCTTTCAAGACGAAGAAACCGTGTAAAAAAAGCACTTCTCCTTGCAGTGACGGTATCCTGCCTACACCAACGTTTCGTAGGAAGTTCCACTATAACGGATCCAAAAGTGTTGGCTGCCAGTTTTATATCGTATAACTTTACAATTTATTGATTGACTGATTGATATGTGGGATTTAACGTCCCAAAACCACCATATGATTATGAGAGACGCCGTAGTAGAAGGCTCCAGAAATTTAGACCACCTGGGGTTCTTTAACGTGCACCCAAATCTGAGCCCATGGGCCTACAACATTTCCACCTCCATCGGAAATGCAGCCGCCACAGCCGGGATTCGATCCCGCGACTTGCGGGTCAGCAGCCGAGTACCTTAGCCACTAGACCACCGTGGTGGGGCACTTTACAATTTGTTGCTATTGCATTTATCGTATTACATTAAATGTGCCATCGTGTCGTTGCCAGAGCTAATCGTGAAGGCTACGACCCTGCGAACTCACGGTGCGGCACAAGACGAAAGCACATGATAAGTCTACCTCCGAAAATATGCCATTCTCACCGTAGTGTCAGCGAGTTTCCATCAGTGCCTAATCTGACATCTCCTCAGTGGTGATGACATGGTTGCCCGCATTTTAAAAAAAAGCAAAGCTAAATGCCGTTGGGGGCCACACTACGTGCGCAGTAGAACTGCGCACATGCACACAGCATCGAAAACGAAGAGCGAACAACACGGTTACAGCGGAAAACTATTCAGTAAAGCGCCCTTTCCATATGCAGCACGGTCCCACATATGCGACTTTAACTAAAAGCGTGGCACGGCCAAAGCAAAAGTAGCTTTCCTTCTTTGTTTTTGGTTTGGTGGAGGACACGTCCGCACATGTGCCCGCAGTGGCAAGAACAGCAGCGACACTGGCTCGTGGGGTGCAGGCTTGCCTCACGCCCACCCACTGTGCCATAACGAGCGCTCACTCTCGCCTGGGAGACCCCGGGGCCACGAGGGCACCATGCGTCGCCCCCGCTTTGTGCTTTGTCAGCAGCGAGGCAATCGCGGAAGAGGCGTGCTCATGCAAAAAATGACAAAATCTGGGGCGAAATTTCTACATTGTCCGTGGCGAAAATTTATTATATCAAAGATGCCTCCTGTCGTTAATTTGTTAAGAGGTCGCGAATACATGTGCTTCTATAGAGTAACGGCAGGGAATATTAAAACTTCGTTATATCGAGGTTCGTTATAAGCAGGTTTAACTGTACATGACTATGCTTGCTCTCTTTCTTTAATCTTTTCTTTTTTCTTGTCTGACTTTTTCTATCTCTTTCTCTTTGTGTCCGTTTGTTTCTCTGTATTCTCACTTTTTTTCCCTCTTTTTTCTTTTTTTATATTCCTCTCTCTCTGTATTCATTCTCCCTTTCCCTTTCCTTCCTCTTAACGTTCGCTCCCTCTTCCCTCCCCCTTACTACATTACACTGCAAGGCTATGCTATGGAAGCCTGCTAGCGTGTCTGGACAGCTGAGTGGTTAGTGTCGCCTTCAGATCATGGGAACACGAGCTCAAATCTCTCCTTGCCAAAAAAAAATCTTTTTCCGAAATATTTTCCTCTTCCTTTAAATTTCTCTCTCTTTTTCTTTCACTTTCTCTGCTTGTTCTCTCACCAATCAGAGTTATTGCATCTCCTACCAAACATATCGGTGCGTGTGTTCTCGGAGCGAAGCCGAAGAGGAAGGTGATGAGAAAAAAGAAAGAGAGTGCCTGGTTATAATGATGATAATTTTTTTAATCTATGACACACGATAAACCTCTACTGTAACAACTCTACTGCGAAATTCCTTTGACAACAATTTGAAGAAAACTACAATCTGCTTGCTGTGACATTAATTAGCTATTAGGTAGTCCTCAGACCTAGCATAAGGTTTGGCTCAAGTAAACCAGCATTTCTTATAACTTCTTGCCACAATGCAATGAAACATGCTGAGATTATCAAACTCTGTGTATCAGGATAACTGCCATGTTATGCACAAGCATATCTGCTTGCTCCTCATACTTACCACCATCCCGTGAAACTGACAGCACCCCTTCTGATGCTACGTATTCATCGGGACTGGATTCAGAGTCGGCTTCGTAGCCAAGTTCCTCGTCAGCCATAGGTGCAAGAGAAGCCATTTCGGGTTCCTTTCGAAGCAAGGTAGCACGTGAAACCAGGCTGCTTTCCACCTTTGCGGAAAGAACGACTCATATTTAAAGTCAGAAGCTCGCTGCACGGTGTAGGAATAAGATGAAATTTCATTAATAAACTATGAGTACGAGACATGATGCGATAGATTCAGTAGTAGTGACACTTCACACTGCAGATACTCGGGTGCAAAAAGAGTTTGCTTTCTCCAACTGGACTCTGGGATAGCACCCCACAGGGATTGAACCATACTAACTTTCCCAATCATACAAATGTGCTTCCGTTCGCAAGAATGCATCCACAAACAACATGGGCCTCAGTATTGATGTTCCATTTCTGATATTAGTTAACTAGCACAGCGTAAAATTATAATGAATGCCATTTTCTTTGTAGTTTCTCGAGCTCCTGGAGTGCTTAAGACACTACCTTAAGACACTACCCATACAGGAACCTAAGACACGTGTCTCACCAATCCATGCCTGTTAATGTATAGGAGTGGCTAGGAATCAAGCTAATAACTTCACTTATGGCAACAGAACACTACTGTTACTGTCTTTGGATCGGTCTTTAAGCAATAGGTTAGACAAGGCTAGACAGTAAAACAATGGGTGGGCGATGCATTAATTGAGGCAGGTCCACCTTTGAGCGGCTTGAAAGAGTGGGCACCCGCGTCCAGTGCACGAGGTTTCCCAGCAGGGCATCGAGAAGGCAGCGCCACTCGGCCGCTGTGCGGTTCACGCTGGGACAGCCGTGAAGACGGTTGCGCAGCTCTCGCACTAGCTCCTTACGTTGCAGGCACTGAAAAACAATGGCAGATCAATTTAATTCCAAGGCCTCACTCCAATAGGTTCCAATGTCAATGAAAAGCCTGGTGACAAAAGCTTCCATCACATTTATTATTGAGCAAGAAGTGGTAAGCTAAAATAGACTTGCATAATTTGATGCTGTATGCATGTGACACCACATGTCTACAGGGTTTGTGACATCTGTTCTTTTTTTGGCTTTGCACTGACACCTTCAGAATCAGAATCAGTTTATTTATGCTATTAAACGGTGATAAATGCATATGTATTATTTTCTTGACATTACGTTTTGCGTTTAATCATTCTGTTCTGGCGATGACGATGATTAGTGGTTTTTAATGCCACAAGGGCCAATTGATGACCAAAGAGCACCATTTCGATTGACTAGAGATATGAACAATGATATGATGCGCGGCTGTAAAGGGACCTTCAAATTCCTCGCGCTAACGCAGTTTAAAACAATTAAGTAATAAAATCATGACAGTGGTGTGAGATATGTGTAGTGAAAGTGGATGGCAAAATGTCATGATAATAAAACCATGATGGAGATGTAGTCACCGCAGCCACGACCACGGTACAGAGGTCGTGCTACAGATGACCTCGAAATATCGGGTGAAAGCTACGAACATCTTTTAAAAACGTGAAAAGTGTTTGCAGTTTAAAAAGTGGATCCCTACCGATGAGCATCCCAGGGTGTAGTGGGAGCTGCTGTCAACAGGGCAGTAAAAAGTGCTTTTTTCTTAGAGCATCTAGCTCATTGCACTGGACGAGAATGTGAAGAATTGTAAGTGGTGGATTGCTGGTAGATAGAAGATATGAATGTGTGGAGTGTGTATGTCCTGTTCTAAGCCGTGTTAGTGTTACTTCTGTGTGTCTTGATTTTGATAGTGGCGGCCAATTACCTAGTTGTGGCTTAATAGCATGGAGTTTATTGTCTGTGTGTCTATTCCACGTGCTCTGCCAATACCCCCTCAGCTTTCGTTTTAAAAACGGTTTCAAGTCAAGTGCAAGGGATCGGTATTGATGCATTGAAAGTAGTGTCGTTGGCGGAAGCAGCCAGCTTGTCGGCCGAAACGCTCCCTTGTATCTCACGGTGCCCTGGAACCCAGCAGACAACGATATGCTGTTTTGATGTGTACAGTTTGCGCAGAAGTGAGTAGAGTGACACCAGCACGGGGTTCTTGTGTTTTTTAGTAGTTTTTAGGGCTTTCACCACATCTAGAAAATCTGTGTATATTACCACCTTTTGTAATTTTATCTGTTTGATCTGTTTTACGACCGCCAGTATTGCGTAAGCTTCTCCTGTGAAAACGCTTGCATCAGGATGAAGAACGCCAGCCTCGGAAAAGGATTGGCCTACCGCTGCATATGACACAGAAGTGTTGGACTTTGAGGCATCGGTAAAGAACTTAGGGTAATGTGTATTTATGTTGTAGTTCTCAATTATTTCAATCTAAATGTACTGTTTCAACATGGCCAACAGTTAAAAATTAAAGACAATAGCATTAAAGGCAATAACATTGCCAACTACTAATAAACTTTTCGTTAATGGTTTGTTGAAAAAAAATGTGATGTTGACGAACACTTGTCAATACACTCGAACACTAATATATCGAACTCAAAGAGGATCGTGCATTAGTTCGATATATCAAAAATTCAGCATAAAAAACACAGGCCCCAAGAGCTTACTTGTAGCAGACTATTACCTACAATAGGCGCATTCAAGAATGACAACTAATTCCGCACACACGCCCCAACAAAAGGTTTTATTTGCCTGAGGAAAAAAAAATGCTTATCTTGGCCTGCTTTTTCGTTTTCTAAATAAAGTTCAAGACGCTGGCCTCGATCTTATCAAGGCTGTTCAGTTGTGACAGCCCTGTTCCCTCCATGTCGCCAATACAACGGCGAATGGAGGCCGAATGCTGCCACCACGTCTGCGGTGGACTTGGCGCGTGTAGTCAGCGCTTTGTCCAGACAATCCTCCTCATCACTTGAGCTCTCGACCTGGGCATCCTGGGTCCTAGCGACCGCAGCTACTATGTCCTCGTCAGCGAGGCTCGCAACGACCTCAACATTGCAGTCCGCTTCCATGAAATCGTCTGCAGACACTTCGTGCGGAACAGCTGTCGGGAAGAGGGACGAGAACTCGCGAAACGCGTCATCTAAGCACTCGTCTACGTCGTCTTCAACGGTTTCCGCAAGTTCGGCCGTCACACAACAGGCTCCCAACAAATGCTGCTCCGCCACATTTGCCTTGTTCTTCAACAATGTACTCGAAGCGCTCCTTGGTATCCTGAAGTCCGCGACAGTCAAACATTTCTCGCTGGCCCCAACACACTGATCAGCCTTCAATGTCGTCGCAATGTCAACGGACTTGAGCTTCTTGACACTGGCCATAGCTACACGAGAAGCCGACAATTCAAGGAGTCAGCAGCGGCTTCGCACACCACGCATGCAAAAAAAGAATGCTGCACATGCGGTAGTGCGTAGACAACGTGACAACAGACTCCACCAACAAAGCGCTCGCGAGGCTATGGTTATTGGCAAGGGCAACAGCAAAAGGCACGAGCTGTGGTTGGCTGATCAAAACTCGCAAGACAGTAACAAAAAATAAAAAAAGACACGAAAAGAGTAGGTCGTCGGCTCCTTAGTTCCTGCTCTCGAAGCAGACAAGTACGCGAAGAAAGCATGAGAGAAACGAAAAAAAAAAAAAGACATTCCACAAGTTATAGGCCGTACAATCTGAGCCCTCTCCCCCTTATCTTTTTTCAGGTGTTTGGGGTTTGGACGGAGGCGGGAGGCCGGGCGGGGGTCGCCGGGCACTGCGAGTGCCAAATCGCACTTCCAACTCGCGTGCGAGCCATGCTACCATGGAGATCGCAGACGAGGGGGGGGGATTGCCGAAGTGCACCTTCCAGCTCCTACGGTGTTCGATATACCCGAAGGCGTGTAAAAATACCGTTCAGTATAAACGCGCAAATTTTTATACTTTTAAAAAGGAATTTCAAGGGGATAACTTGCGAGCTCAATATACCAAAAATTCGATATATGTGGGTTCGATATATACGTGTTCGACTGTAGTTGGTGCTTGTGTAGCCTTTTTTGCTCCGTGCCTGTCAAAGCAGGTGCTTTTCCACTCACGTTGTGCACCAACAAGCCTAAGCTGCTTTTCTCAAAGGGAAAACAACGACTTGGCTTAGATTGATAAAGAGCACTCTGAAAAATCTAGTACCACAAGCTTCATTGTCATAAGTTCATTTTTAGTGAACAAAATAAAGGTTAAAATTCATTTTTAAATTTCGCGCTGAAAACTTCGCGCATGATGTAACGAATTGCAAAACGTATTTTTCGCATTTTCACGACACTGGCCGAATGAAATTTTTTGAAACTTCGTATGCTAGGTCTGCAGTACCCGCAGATGACAATGTATTTCATTTTCATCGAGTAGAAGCTGTGCAGGACCCAGTAAACATCTTCAAAGTTTACTACCTGACGGTATTTGATGTAGAATTCTCACAATAGAGGCCCCCCCCCCCACCCCGCATTCTCTTCTCACGCATTTTCTCGCTTACCAAGCATCATGTCCCGATAAGAGTAGTGTTTTCTGGATTATAGTTTACTAATAAGTGAAAACTCATTTTGCTCTTCAGTGTCCCATAAACATGCAGCAGCATTCTCAACAAATAAGATACAGGCATACAACTAACCTCAGACTGGTACCAAAGGCGCACCGGGCACAACTGAAGAAGCAGCGCGAGCATGGTTTCCAGCGCTGGAAACACCTTCCGGCTGCACGGACCAGGCTGCACCGTCTCGTCGGCGAGCCAGAGCAGGAACCGGTACGCTTCCCCGCAGCAGTTTCCCATCCTCAGATGCGATCGCACTGCACTACACTGCGCCACATGTCGGCAGGAGAGCCAGAGCTCGGCGAGCGTCGACAGTTCTGCCTCCCGGTCGGAAGCAGAGTCTGCGTCTAAGCCCTCCTCGGTGGCAGACTCGTTGAGGGACTCGACGGACTGCATCGTCATGAGAGGTCTCACCTTTCGCATGAACTCCTTCGTTACGGTAGCCAAAAACTGCGTGAACGCCAAGAGTGCGTTAGAATCCTCATCATTGCTAGACTGCATCAGGCTGTTTTCAGTGCTGTGACTGTCTTCAGCCTTTTCTTCATCCATCCTGATGCTGCTCACATAGGCGAGGATGAGGGTTTCAATCAGAACCAAGGCAGCATGCCTGTACACGGGGGCAACTGAAGGGGAGAGGAGTCGGTACAAAAGTGTTGTCTGCACACTTCTGGCTGGGAAGACCATGGAGGCGTCGGCTCCTAACAGCGAAAAAGCGGATACTGAAAACCACAATGGATTCAATTCTGGTTCTGCATTTGTTGCATTGGCAAAGTTGTACTCTAGGAAACAAGGCAAGGCCACTTGGGTGCAAATCAGGTCACGAAACGGCGGCCGTGCCACCTTTACTATGCCTAGCAAGTGCCGGCCAATGAGGGTCTGTGTTTCTGCATCTCCACGACTGAGCAGCGCAGAATATGTCCCACAAGTGCCGTCTCCCCTGTCCAGCCGGTCGCGGCAGCTGAAACACACCTGCAAGAAGAGGCCCATCTGCACACAAAGGCACTTTTGGAGCAGATGCAAAATCTGGCCTTTCTCTTCCGTGGGCTGTGAGCTAAAGTCCCGAAGAAGCGGCACGAAAACCTCATCGAGTGCCATGCAGCAGCAGACACCGCAGCGTAACAAGGCCTGCGCAGACAGGAACGGGGCATTGAGAAGGACGGTGCACAAGGACGCAATGCAACATCCTGACAACGGTTCCAACATGCTGTGCCTGAGCCGAGTTCCCAAAAGCATGTCGTGATGATGAAATGCAACACCCAGTCTCCGCGCAGTCTTGGCACGCTTCAGCGACAGGACAATTTCAGCGATAAGCCCTGCAACGAGGGTGCAGGACGAACGATTGGTGGCGCGCATCGTGGCTTGCAAGCTGCCATGAGAGCAGAGCCTGTGCACAGCTTCCACAACCCAGTTCAAGCTGCCCTCTGAAGGGGGAAAGCTACGAACCGCGTCACGGACGAATATCAGCGCGGCACACATGCTTTCCACCATGAACTCAGAGTCTCCAGCATCCAATGCAGGCTGGCAGGAGTCGAGAAGTGTCAACAGGGTGCGGTACTTGCGGATGGACTGATGTGAGTAGCCACAGCCGGCATGTAGAAGCTGTGATGCTGCCGTGACAATGAGGCGCAAGACTTTGCGTTGAAGCGACTGGGAACTGGGCTGCCCAAGCAGCTGCTTCAGCTGGGAGCCAGCTGGCACTGAATAAGAAAGGCTGCTGAAGATCTCCAGGGCACCAGGGAGACAAAGGCCCGATATGGATGTCGCAATAGCCTGCCAGCGATCGCCCTTGCGATCGGCCCCTCGACAAGACTGCATCAAAAGTGTGACGAGACAGTTAAGCAGGAACGATGGAGCAACGCACGCACCCATAACTGCAGCTTCCTCGTCCGTGAGCGTATCTTCCATAGGGGCGCTCCTACATATGTACAGGCGATCCTCCCACCCTTCACTGGCAGATTCCAACGGATCTTTGTTCGAAAGGAAGAGGGCCGTGGACGTATGCAGCACAGGTGAAGGCACTTCCATGTGGTCCGAATCCGTCGAGGCCGAGCTGTCTGATGTGGAGTCCACGCAGGGCTTCTGTCGGCAGCGGCGTTGTTTTAGGCTGGCCTTGGCTGGGCTTGTCGTGACGAGAGAGCAGGCCATAAGGTCCCTCTCTTCAAACTCCCACTCAAAGGTTCCTTAAGGGGAAAAAAAAGTACAAGCATTTATGACCGAAAATCATGCACTCATTGCTCTGCTTGAACTATGAAAAACTTCAAGGAGAGTGAAATGCAACTTTTCCAACGCGACCTTAAAAGCTTGCAAGAAAGGTTTGTAGGCAACTCAATATTTTATATGAGAGTAAAAGAAAATATTCATATAATAACAGCGAATAGCAAATGCTTTCTTTCATTCAACCAACGCTAGCCAAATTAGCCAATGTTGGTAAACAAGTAAATATGATAGCTCATCAAGAAAGGCTCAAAACAAGTTGAATTCAGTCAAAAATTATTATTACATCATAGCAATCATCATAAGCAGATACAAAAAGTGAATAATACGGGCAAGGAAGACAAGGCAAAAACAATTATTAGAAAATAAAAAGTGAATTTCGTTTACAAGAGCTGACACCCATATTTTAGAGACAGTTTACAATCAACCAATCAGCTACAGCCCTCTCAGCCATTCAGGTTAACAGAACTATGGCTCATTTTTTACAATTTTTATATTGAAAAATGAAAATATTTAAGCACAGCTCTCTAATAAAACAGCAGCACAGCGAATGCTCATAGACAGTACCATTCACTGTAGAATAAAATGGGCACCACTTCAGCTTGAGGTGAGCAATTAGCAAGGAGAGCGAAATTACTAGCTATGACTAAGCAAGGGCAATAATTACCATTTGGGGTGATCAAGAATGGTTGCAAAGACCTATCAAGTGTTACTGAGCTAGGACAATATTTATCAATTTGGGTGATCAAGAATTATTGCAAAGACCCAAGAGGTATAAAATTAGAAACACACCTTTCTTTATTTCATGCTCATAGCTTTAGCGCAGTAGGTTGCTTACATTCTTCAAAGATTTCAAACATGACAATATTTCTCAGAGAGTGGCTTTCAAATTCAAACATGACCCAATTTTTAAACCAGCTCAGTAAATCATCGCGAACCCGAAATCTCAACCATGACATACCGTAGAGCTTTGATATGCAAAATACTGATTCAGAAAAAAAAAAACTGCACATAAAACAACATAAGCTAAAACTTAAATTTTCATTCCTGTTGATCGAATAAGAGTGCTTACAAGGAACCCTGGATATATAAAAAAAAATTTTTTTACCCTATTGTCAACTTCATTAAAACAAAATTAGACTTTCATGAAACGAATAGCTGAACAGTACCTGGGGACCATGGCTCTTCCAGGTTGGAGAAGAAAGACAAGAGCGATATTGCAACCCTTGACAATTCCTTGCAACAGGGTAGTGACTGCAGAGGGAAAAAAAAACATGGCTTAGTTTAATTTATTTCAGTTAATTTCCAACGAGCATGTTCATATACATGTTCGGGGCACATTCTTTTCAGGTGCGAATTCCGACGCACTGCCTACGAATGTGTCACACACACACACACACAGTGTAATTCCAAGGCACTGAATATCGGATTCCAAGAAAAAAAAATGAAGTAATGGATTGTTGTGTGTTGTTTCAGTAATCAATCATCACAATCATGGAATTATGTACTTAACCATTCTGGAGTCAATTAATTTCCATTTTTACATGAAAAGAACCAAATCATAGGCTCCAATTCTATGCACATTTAGTTTTTGGTTGTATTATAATTCTGAGAAAGAAAAAGTAGCAGTACTTCCGACATTGTTTATGCAATGCAGCAAATCAAAGAGCTCCACAAGCATTGTGGTAACTTCACCAAAGTGATCCGCAACAGTGACACACAGAACACCGACGTTAAGTCAAAACATTGATTATGTAGAAGGCTCAATTAATTTAGTAAGCAATGTATATTGTTCTCTTTTTGTCACAAGTTGACCAGACTAAAATAAACAAGTTCCCGTTTTCCTTGTAACACAACAAATCCAGTCATCCATCTACACCAAGGAAAGCTGTCTTCTACAGAGGAGCAAAAAACCGGGCATCTTCATTACGATTACATATAGAAGTCAGCGCAAGGTACACACATGAAGAATGAAAACAATGACTATTGGAACATTCTGTTACTTCCGCATACTAACACACTCAAGTGGAGGCTGTTACAATAGTCAAGCTTTGGAAAAGCCCACAGCATTCGGGTTTTCATATACAAGGACTCTGTTAAGGCAGTAGCGCTTCATAAAATTTAACGAACAACATACTTTGAGAGTATCGATCATTCTTTCACAAAGTAGATTCCGCTCGTCACCATTCGCCATTTCCACATAAAATTGCAACATTATATTTCTTTACATAGTTCTGAAGTCACTGCTTTTAGGCCCCTCTGCGATATTCACCACTGTGTCTTCAAATGATTAAAACATTAGCCTGATGCTCTTTGGCCAGAGTTGACTCCTGCACCATTAATAGCCGTATTCGTCATGACTTTCATAAGTTTCCTTGCCCTTCATTGGCATTCATTACATGACTGGGAATTTTTTTTGAGGAAAATACAGTACTTGCACGTTCTATTTTCTTTACACCAAATTATTACTTGCTATTGGAATAAGGTCTTAGAGCTTGAACAAGAAATACACAGAACAAAGGAATATAAACCACGCAGGCATTTCCTCTGATTTGTTAACTGCCCTTATTTGTGTGCTCCAAGTTTTATTTCAAGACATCATATCGACTAGCTCACCTATTTGCCCTGTTTCGCTAGCTATTTCAGTGCCACGCCTATTACACTGCTTTCTTCATCGTGCCCTCCCCCTTCCCCCGGGCAAGAAGCTGCCAGTTCGTTGTTTCATGAGCAATAATGCCCTGAAAGAGCATGCCTCGTTAATCGACTAGCTCCCCTATTTGTCCTGTTTCATTAGCCATTTTAGTGCCATGCCTGTCACCTTGCTTTCTTCATCCTGCCTCTTCCCCCCCCCCCCCCCCCAGGCAAGAAACTACCAGTTCCTTGTTTCATAAGCAATAATGCCCTGAAAGTGCATGCCTCGTTAATGTCATTACCTGGGAGCCAATGCGAACCAGGGCCCACAGGAGCTTCCAGCCTCGTCCCTCGAGCATGAACTCGCGGCACGGTGCGGGGTCATCGCCGGTGCAGGCTTCGTGCACTTCAAGCATGAGTTGGTGGGCCAGTACATTGCCTGCAGTGAGCCACTCTCTGGGGAAGACACGGGATATGATGTACTGAATGCTATAAGAAAACTATCAAATCAATTGTTTGGTTGATTGATTTATAGTACACCTTTGCATGGCTGTGTTTTGCATTTCCAGCTATTTTGTTCGTAGTACGTGGACGCTGAAGCATCATTACTTTAATCTAAAGTGAATACAAGCTCTAGTAGATAAAAAAGTAGCTGAACAGTACGGGCTGATTGATGACTAAACAGATTTCGAGTCAATGCTTCTAAATATGACATGCACTACCACGTTGCCCTATGTACTATCAGTGTAAAATAAAAGCCAAACAGCGGCAAGCCTTTGCGATGGCATAGTGCACGCCGTCCGCTTATCACCACGGACAAGCACACATATATGTGCAGAGCTGCCGAACAGGATGCGCACGCCTGTCAATAGTGATAATTGGACGGCACGCACTACACTATCACGAAGGCTTGCCGCTGTTCAGGTTCCCATTAGACGGTGATAGCACAGGTCTTTTTGCATGCACTACCATTTAATACTAAATTCCACAAATAGCGTACGTACATATGAGTTCCACCTATGTTAATGTTCTCCTCATCTGAAGTGTAGAACATGGAGCACTGACGCCGTACAGCAAAGCTCTTTTGCTAGCAATTGATGAATAATATCCTCATTTCTGCAATAACTTTATCATGGCTGCAGTATATATATATGTGTGTGTGTGTGTGTGCGTGTGTGTGTGTGGGGGGGGGGGGGGGGATGTAACAGACAATAATGCCAAGGAAAGTACAGGGGAGGTTGACCGAATTGCAACGTAAATGTGAAGAAAGAAAAAAAGAAAAGTGGGTGAAAGATAACTTGCCGTGGGCAGGAACCAAATTTGCGACCTTCGAGTAACGTGATGGTAGGTTGCAGGTTCGGTTCCTGCACACGGCAAGTTATCTTTTCACCCACATTTCTTTCTTCACATTTACCTTACAGTTCGGTCTAATAACCTCCCCCTATACATTCCTTGGCATTATCGTCTGTTATATTTCATTAATATTGTGTCAAAACACGGAAAAACGAGCCCTTGAGTATACACTTCTTTCCCTTGTATATATACATATAGATTAATGAAATATGGAAGGTGTTGAACTGATTAAAGGCTCAATGTCAACTGTTCTCTTTTGCTTTCACTGGTCACAACTGGTAAAAGTACATACCCTATACAGATATACATGCACCACTGAATGGAATATGGAAAACATAGTTATGCTTCATACCAACATCGCTACACAATAACACATACATGCCAGCACATTACATAGGTTGTAGTTGGGCTACAATCACTTACGTGAGTTGCACGTGGCTTGGCACATCCCGGTACTCAACAATTAACTTAACCAGGAAAATGTCGAGCAGCTGGCTTTGTAACTGTAATGTGCACATGAATCAGAAAGATGAGATAACCAAGGTAAATGTCACATGACTGACAAATGATGCACTTATCCCCAACTTTTTAAATATGAGCAAAGCTAAAGCTATTGATATCAAGACAAAATACAGTTGAAGCTTCTCCAAGCTTACAAATGTCGTTCAGCTGGTGCATTTGTGAGTTCAAACTTGCCACTCATGTTTAAATGCTTGCACAGTTACAAGTTTTTGCCAGATACTGATGATAGTGTGTCTGCATGTTGAAAAATTAATTTCATGAACACTTTGGCAAAGGGATTCACACAAAAAATAAGTACTGTGCAGCGTGTAATGCCACGCTCAGCGTCAAAGGTGGCATGAGACAGACTAGTTAATCCACAGTAACGGTGTAGGTAAACTTCAGCTGAATTACCTGAAAAGACCCCACACTAGATACAATTTTTTGCCGTAGTAGGGCATGCCTTTGTGTTGCAGGTTCTTTTGCTGTATTTCAAAGTGAAAAGTTCGGCTAGTTGAAAGGTGAAGTGTGAGATTTTCTAGCACTAGAAGAAAAAAAAACTCCAAGGAAGCTATGTAGGACATGTGTCTTAGCTAAAGAGAAACATATTAAAACCCCTTCATTGGGGCCTTTGAGGTACTGTACATAAATAAATAAATATCATACATACCTTTGTCATTTAGCAAGATAACAAAATTAAACTCTAGTGGCCTGCAAATTCATAAAATGGCCACAGAGCTAGAATATTTTTAGCAAGAACAACTTTATGTATTAAATGTATTAAATGTAGTGATGTAAAGGCACATATATTCTAGGGCTCTAAGGATGTCGTTAAGCTGCCTCGCGAAAACGTTAATCAGCACGCAAAGGGGGGGCAACTTTTGCTTTCAAGTCAAAATTTTGGTTAGGAATGAAGTCATTAGTCAGATAGATGGTGCACACACACAAACGTGACATAAAGAACAATTGTTTTTCAGCATGAAGGCTAACACAGATGACGATAATGATTACACAAGGAACAATTAATTTTGAAAACAATAGCACAGTAATGATGGCAGTGAGTAATTGACATATGCGGGAGCATTAATATGAGATAAAATGAAGCACTGATCTTTAGTAACAACCGCACATACGTTTCCCAGGCAACACTTCCAAAATTGCATTCTTTCGTGTACCACCATTCTCTCCCAGTGGTAAACTCATTGAACAGTAATGTTTTCCAATAATGTGAAGAAAGTATTGCAACAAGCACACAGGCCTATGTGAAAGCCTGGATTAGTTTATACACGTGTACGTTTTAATTTCAACTTGTAGAGCAGCTGTTTAATGAAGCAGTTGCAATACTACAATTGCACAATCCTGTGTTGGCATTCATTTACAGTAAGTTGGTACAACATTCAGGAGCAATCAATAATTATCTGCTATTAATTTTGCACACCCACATATAAATATATACATGGGTGTGTACAAGAGAATGTCTATTTCAAGTCATGGAAGTATATATTAAACCCTTAAGGTTAAATGCACTGCTATAAAAATAGACCACATAATATGGACTTAGTAGCATGAGTAATGTTCACAAGAAAAAAGCTTTGGAAAGTGTATGCACGATGAACGACTCGAAACATTGTTCACGACTGATATATAATAATGCACATCATTACACACATGGCGTTTCACGTAGCTGCAAGTTCAACTTGTTTGGAAAGATGTATCATGTGAAACGCCACAGTAACAGTGAAACTATATCCTGCAGCAATGTGTCCATGGTTTATAGATGCATGTGCGTGCATGCAGATAACTTGAGTAATAGCTGCAAGTAATTATTGTCACTCGTACTTGTGGTTTCTCATGTAGTGAACGTGAATTTATGCGGTGAATACAGCTATGCATATCACTATATAGTGAAATGTAATGTAACCGCTAGAGCCTCAAGTAGTGAGTAAAATACCCTAGTGAATGACTCATACATGCAACCACTGCAGAAAAACAGAATTCTGCTGGGATCTGCCAGTGTAATTCCAATATATATGTCAATACATACGTTCGTTAAGTGAATTTCTAAGGAGCACGGTTGAAAGAATTACAGCTGCTTTCCCAGTTAAAATTCTGTGTGAATGCTGTTCGATTGAAAGCTGCGGTCGCAATCACAGCCGCGGAAACTAGTAGTACGGCTGAAATATCGTATGTATACAGTGCAGTTGTATGCTGCACGCGTACTTCTTAATCTGTGAGAGGGTTTTCTAAAGTAGATACGTGTCTTCGGAACTCTCACAAAACCGTGTAGGTGTAAACAGCGAGCAATGTTAGCAAGTACGGCGTTACCCTTCATATGGCGCAACAATGCACGCACCTTTGACGTAATCGCGACACAGCGAGTGTTTTTCAGCGGCTTTCCGCCGGCACTGCAATCAAGCAACGCAGCGCGCAGGCAAGTGTGACTGCGGCGCTTCTGCATAGCAAATGCAATTAGTGGGATGCGTTTACCTCTCGGCTCCGGCTGGGCGCTGCGATGAATCTGTGCCACGCCTCTCTCAGCTCTCGGCTCGCTCTCCTCTCCTGCATTTCGCTCATCGTCTTCGTTTCTGGACATGCCACTGCGCACAGAGCACAGCCACTTCACAGTGCGGGAGAAAACAAACGTGCGGTGCGGCCACCGCTCCACAGGTGGTCGATCCGTTTTCACGCATCAAATCGCGCCTATCACGGCGATGCGCACGTGCGGGCACATGCAAACTCAGTCGCGTGTTGTTGGTTTAAACCTTATCGCCCAACAGCTCGATGACGCATTGTCGCGTGAGGTTTACCGCGCAGGTTACACTATTAGCACCATTAGTTTAGCCTTCCACAGCTCTGTTGTCATGTCAAAGTGCTCCCACGGAAACCAACAGCAGAACAGAAACTAGTTCTCAAGACCCTGCTGCGCACCGCAGCAGCAGCTTCCGGCCGGCTTCGAAGAAGCATGCGAGTTGGTGTATCCTCCGGCGCCTGTTTCAAGTGGCGATCGAAGCCTTCCGATATGATGCGAGCGTCACCAGTGTCCTCCAAGCGTCGCCGTAGGGACCCAATCATCAAGCGCGCGATAAAGCGTATGCGGAGATAAGGGTGGGCGTGCACCAGCATGAGTAATTGCGTAACTTACCTCGATTATGACCGCTCGGTACCCTGTTTGTGGTTGAGTGTCACAATAAGGGCAGTTGCAAGCAGCGATGGCTGAGAGTTCGTCTCTTTAGGGGTCGTTGTCGCGCAGTCACGAAGCACAAATTTTGCCGCTAAAACCCTAAAACAAGTTAGGAGGGGTTCTGACAAGCAGCCGACAACACACGTGACATAGATACTTTAGCAGGCCGAATAGTTTGTGTGTTGCAGCGTGACGGGCACTCAGTAATTGCGCAGCTAACGGTACACACTCTGGAAAACAAGGCGAAATCAACCGCTGCGGAGGCAGCCCAGAGAAATAGGGCCAGCTGTTCCAAATTTAAAGTTGTAAAGCCAACACGGAGCAAAAACACGAACTCCGAGCTATGCTAGATGATGGACAACCCGGAGAGTAAAAATGGCGAACCTAACGCCATCTTTAGTTTTTTGCAAAACGTTTGAAGTGCCGCAGCCTAAGCGATCGCGGAAAAATTACCGGAACTCTTGCCGTTCATCTTTGTTCGCGCGATAAAGCTGCGCAGTGAGTGACCTAACTTGAAGTGTTTGATATACATTTTAGTTGACATTAGTAAAGACCATTTGCAGGACATTGCCAACACCACTTCACTTATAATGCGGTAACTACGTTTTCTTTAGACGCCCCAATTGCTCCTCCATGATTGCCCCCCAGGATCTAAAACACAGCTTCACAGTGTGGATTAGGGCGCTAGTGCGTTGGCCCTGCGTGGTCTGGACACACAGGCGCAATGCGATAACCGTGTGGTGGCCCAAAGCTTGTAAAAGATCCAAGCTCACACACTTTAATAGTTTTTTTTTCCTTCCTCCCTTCCTACGGCGCCTGTCACAGCATGCACATACTATAAAATTTAGCTCAAATGGAAACAAATGATACACATACACTCAACAGTGTTGTGCACTACAGGCATTGGCAATTGAGCATGCAGAAAATCACAACACACCTGCAAGTTTTCCCATTGCTTTATTTTGTACCCCACGGTCATGCAACAAAACATAGTCCCCACATGTAAATAAAACACTGCTCTGAAAGAACATGCATGCCACAATGCACCAACAATGTATTGCTGCTCTCTACCCCAGATATGTTGCAAGACATATGTTCCCCCTCCCCCCATTTCTTGCAACTACTACTTGGGAGGCACATCACACTGAAGACGGGCCAGAGGCGAGAAAGTAGAACTTGTTGGCAGTGAGACCCACACGCGCCTATTCACCACACTCTCTCACATCTCACACTCCCTCTCACAACCAGCTGCACACTGCAAGTGCACATCTCGAAACTCCTTTGGCTCGCAGCAGCTTGTCCATCAGTCTGTTGCTACGTGCTTGCGGGCAACACTTTTTTTTTTTAGTAAAACTCGCGAGTTAAAAAAGGGTTGCTGCGGACTAACAAGCGTCTGCCGCAGTTGCATTGATAGGGCTGGAGGGAAAATGGGGGTTGCAGGCCACACTCAAAGACGAGGCGGGCTCTCCCCACTGGGCTTGGCTGGCTTCGGTGTGGTACAAGCGCGCTATCACTCAAAAAGGGCTTTCATGTCCTTGAGTGACTGCTCAATGTGGTTGGCGAACCGAAGAGAGTCCTGCGATGTAAACAAAACTTTGGAATCAGTGTAAAACACGGGAAAAAGCTTCTACCAAACATTTATAAGTGCTCTCATGCACATAGGTTGCTTGGGGCCTTCGAGTATCCAAGTTATTTTGTAAATGATGCAAAGAAGCGGCATCATAACAGATAAAATGTGATTTCAGTAAGCCTTGGACTGTCTCGTGTGCCATTAGTTATTAACAAGCAAACATTCATATATGTGCACAAGCAATCTTCTTTCAAAAATATGGAGTGTTTGCCATATCTACTTGTGAGATAAGGTGCAGGATTTTGTTTTCCTTTCTCCTTTTACTTATCTATAAGCTATCTTTTTTTAAACTTTTCTAAGCTTTATAAGCGTACACAAAAGCGGCCCCCAGTTCGTTTGGTTTAACTCCAATTCATATACCGTATTTACTCGCATAATAGGCGCACTTTTTTTTTTTCAGAAAATCCGGCTCGAAGTTAGGGGTGCGCCAATTACGCGGGGTAAAATTTTCGAAAAATTTTTCAACTCTGCTCTCGCGCTTTAAATCTGCACACTTGTCAAGTAAAAGGCGACTTTATCGTTTACCAATTAATTCAGCATAAAACAAACATACTTACGTACCCTTTAATGAACAAGCGAGAGCCGTCAACTGCACACACGTAAAATTTATTTACACAAAAGTCGTAGCTGTTCCTCCTTTTCCCTATTCGGAGTCCGAGTCGAAGATCACACATTCATCCTCGCCGAGCGGGGATTCGTTTTCAGTGTCCGAATCATCCGCACCCCACAACATGTCATCCTCACTCGCATCCAGTGCGTTCGAGATACCCGTCTTCTTGAAGCTTTTCCTGACGACTTCGTCGGAGATCGCCTGCCACGCTTCCACGATCCAAGCGCACAGCATTTCCACAGGCGGCCTCTTAATCTTACCACCTGGAGTCAGCTGATGTTGCCCTCCAGCCATCCAGGTGGTGTACAGTCTTCGAACATTGTCCTGGAAAGGTTTATTCAAGGACACGTCCAAAGGCTGCAGTATTCATGTGAGACTGCCCGGAATCACTGCCAGATCTGTGCGCAGCTCCTTTAGTTCATCTCGTACGCGGTCTACTAGGTGCCCACGAAAACTGTCCAGGACAAGCATGGACGGCAACAACAGACCACCCGGCCGCCGACCCCAGACTGTTTTCACTCAATCCACCATGAATTCCGCGCTCATCCAGCCTTTTGCCTGAACTCTGACGTAGATGCCTTGAGGGAATTTTGCCTTTGGGAGCGTCTTACGTTTAAAAATAACGTAAGGCGGTAGCTTACGCCCATTCGCTGTCACCGCCAGCATTACGGTGCATCGTTGTTTATCAGCGCCAGACGTTCTGACGGTGACGCTCCGTGCACATTTCTCCTCCACTGTCGTGACCCCAACTCGAAAGTTATCATCACGGACTCCAGGAAAGCATGTACTCATTACTTGCTGGGAGAGATATCCCCCCTAGCCAGCCAAATTCTAAAACGGGCTCTCGCTGATCCAGCCCCGAAACGCATCGTATGGGCTCCTGGCCATCAGGGCCTACGAGGTAATGAGGCCGCTGACGCGGCCGCCCGAGCGCTTACCCACCGGGCTCCTCACCTTGGCTCTTATGACTCGGAGGCCAATACACCGCTGCTGCGGTTCAAAGAAATTCTCACCTATTATCGTGACACTCACCGTCTTTACCCGGCTCCTGCAAAGGGGCTGAGTATGGCGGAAGAGCGAACTCTAAGGTGCCTGCAGACAGGTACTCTACTCTGTCCTGCAATCCTAAAGCATTTCGATGCGAACACAGATGGGCGGTGCCCACACTGTGGGGAGACGTGTGATATCTTCCACATGGTATGGGCATGTACGAAAAATCCCCACCTACCCCCTTCCCCTACCCCTTCCCGAGAGGCATGGGAGACTGCCCTCCTCAACTGCTCATCACTAGAGTCTCAACGGGCTCTGGTGAGACGGGCGCGAGTAGGGGCCTCGTCATGTGGTGTCCCGGACTAAGGACGCCGACCATGTAGCAGGGTCATGGTTTGGCCCCGTACCTCTCTCTTTTGTAATAAATGTTTTTCATCATCATCCACTGTCGTGTTCCACGGCATATCAAAGCAAAGGGGGATCTGATCAGCGTTGCCGATCTGGGACAAAATGAAGTCTTTCTGCTGTCGGAGCTTTATAACAAAACTGTGGAAGTCCACCACTTTGTCCTCATATGCTGCGGGCAAGCGCTGGCACAAGGTGGTCCGCCTTCGCAGTGCGAGGCCATGGCGCCGCATGAAACGAGTTGTCCATCCGGAGCTGGCTTTGAACTCTTTTGCTTCGATGCCCTGCGCTCGGGCTATTCTGCGCGCCTCAGTCTGCACAATATCCAACGACACAGCACAGCCGTCTTGTCGTAGCTCCCGTATATGCCGGACCAGTTGCTCTTCGACGTTCGGAATACCTGCCGGTTTGGCACCGCGGAAAGCCCGTCGTGTCTTCTTTGTCGCCTTAAGTTTTCTTCTTGGTCCCTCAAGTACCGAATACTGGTTTCTCCAACGCCGAAATGCCTGCTTGCAGCCCGGTTGCCGTGCTCCAGCGCGTACTGCACTGCCTTCAGTTTAAACCCAGCCGTGTAGCTCGCGTACTTCCCCATGGTGGAACCAAAGTTCAATACACGACCACAACATACGCACACCGCTTGCAAAATGGCATTTCTTTCTTTTTCTCTGATGGTGGTGATGGCGATCGAGCCCCCGGCATTGTACACGTGACCTCCAAAAAAGCGCGACAATTTGGGGGTATCAGTAATTGATGGAACAGCCGTTTTTTTTTTTTTTCGCTCATGGACGCTTTTTTTTTTTTTCAAGTTTTATTTCGGCAAACACGTTGGTTAGGTCGTTGCACTTCGAATTTTTTTTATTTTCTTGTCGATTTGCCTTCTTTTTTTCTTCAGGGTACGGGGACCGCGTTCCAACTGTACCGCTGGGGGGTAGAATCGTTTCTGATCACGGCCAAGTTCGGGGTGCGCCTATTATGCGCGGAATTAAAAAAAATAGAATTTTCCGCGACCAAACTAGGGGTGCGCCTATTATGCGGCCGATTATGCGAGTAAATACGGTATGTATTCCAGTAGCAAGTATAATATTATCCTTGAAAAAACAGGCGAATGTTGGCATTTTGCAGTAAAAATGAGAGTACGATAAGAACACTTTTGAGAATGAAG